TAAAACATTAGTTTTCCATACAAATTTTCTAGGGGGCGCTTTTGCACCCATTTTTCTTAGATCAATCTGTTCAGGGTCGGGGTGTGAACCCACAATTAAAATTTGAGTGAAATTGGCCAAAGTTTGTGCGACTGGGTGATTTTACCATTGGAATAACATGGAGATTTTATGTCATCGCTATGGCAACACCGTAAAAAATATGGCATGGGTGTCATTGACTTTTTGGATTAGGATGCCAAAACAAAATTTTGTCAAAAATTTCAGAAATTTTTGAAAAACTAAATTTTTTTCTCTCATATTAAATTTAGTTTCAATCTATAGGGGGCGCTAATGTACCAAATTCATTTTTTTTACATTAAGTAGCTTTAGGGCAGAGAGTTTAACAATTGTTTAAAATTTCATTGAAATCGGAGTTCGTTTGAGCAAATGGGAGCAATTTGTAAATCTCCAAAAATCTCCAATATTTTGTGCATTTTTTGTCAAATTTCATGATTGTATGTGCAATTTTTTTGTGTGTGTGTCATTCGTATTCCCTAATGCATTTTTGAGTTGTTTGGGGGCACTGACGAGCCATTTTATTTATTTTTGGAAAATGGAAATAGCCAAAATTTAGAGAAGTGCAAGTTTTAACAGATTGCAAAATTTCAAGACTTTCCGTCATTGTTCAGTGGGTGAAAAATGGGTGAGTTGGTTGGGAAAAAAAATAATAAGAAGAAGAAGGAGAAGAAGAAGAAGAAGAAAGAATAATATTCTGATATGAGAACAATGCTTTTTTTTTGGCCGACAAACTATACATTTTCGGAAACCTCTGGCACATTGCTATGTCATGGCGAGGGTCCCTGGTCACTACGGGCGAGTCACGTCACGCCATTTCATTTTCCGGCCACTAGGAGCATCGCTTTGTGATACTAATAGGCACTTCGCCAGCCTCTGGTGCTCGGGCCTAAAAATAAAATAAGAGCAAAATCATAGAATAGCAATAAATAAATAAAGCCAATAAAATACATTAAAACCAGGGACCACACAACTCAAGAGAATAAAAGTTGCTCTTAAAATGAGACTTAAAACACTCCACTGTGGGGGCTGTTCAGATGTGGGGGGGCAGAGCGTTCCAGAGCTTAGGGCTGACCACAGAGGTGCCCTGTCCCTCCTGGTTTTAAGTCTCTTTAAGTCTTTTATCATTGTGGTATCAGTATCTATATTTCCATATTTTAAAACTACTTAGAGTAATATTGTAGTTTAAACACATATCCTGAATCCTGTGGTGGTGTTTTGAAAGTCCAGGCGCTCTCAAAGTACGCTTCTATAAATACTGAAGATCATGTAGCAGAGTTTATAAGCAGAACATGTCTCCGCCGAGTTGGGACTGACGTCAGAGAATGCAACCGGTTTCTTCCATGTGCTCCAAATGATACGCTTAAACCGCAAAGGACAAAAACATCAATTACAAGTATGATGAATGAGGCCTGTCTGTTTGTATGTGCTTGTTGTCTTAACACAACTCAACACAGCTCACTTCAAATGCAAATGAGTGAAACATGTTGTGGTAAAAGTAGATGGGTTTAGAGTTTGACTGACAGGGCAGGACAGACTGTATATGACCACAAATGTAAGTCTATTCGTTTGATAGTTGTTGAAATCTAAGCTGTGTTGTCATTGGATTTGAGCGCCGCTGCTGCCCCCATCTGACGTAAAAGGGGTATGGCAACAAGAGTCCAGGAATATTTGGCAAATCCACTTTCCAGATTCCAAATGAAACCTTTAAAATATTTCATAGCACTGCGATCTAAAGAGTGTATAAGACAAGGTTATAGGTTTTCCATAGAAGACAATAATGGCAATAATACAATTTAGCTGTTTTTACATCACAGGGAAAATAGGATTACATTTTTTGCCTGTTCATTTTTAAAACAAATTAAAGGGATAGTCTGGAATTTTGGACATAGGACCTCATTTCCTATTTAGCCAGAGTTTTGGAGACATGGGGGACACTTTTTTTTTTTTTCCATCCAGTCTATCTCTTTAAATCTAAATATTATAATAAATTAATGTGCGGTGATGCTCATTTCACTCACACACATTAAAGATACACTGTGTAACTTTTCTGCTGCGGGTTCTATGCTATCAAAACAGTATGGCATTAAAGAAACTGTATATAGCCTGTGCTCTAAATGTTTTCAACTTCATTTAACAGGAATAGTGTAAAATGTAAACTATTTACAGTATATACATTATTATTCATCAATGTTCAGTGTTCAGAGCCTTAACCTGGTGATGCACTCCAAAAAAACAAAATCTAGTCAAGTTAAGGTGACTTGAATTAAGAAAATTTCGATTTGAGTAAATTTCACTTGTCAAGTAAAATTATCTGCCAATGGAACAAGAGTTTTTGTACTTAAAATATGAAAATACATCTTGCTACACTTAAAATATGAAAACTAAATCTAATGTTGCTTAAATTAATAAAAACACACTTATTCCTTTGGTAGAACATTTGACTTGTCAAGTTGAATCGACTCAAATAAAGTAAAATGTTCTTAATTTAAGTAATTTTAACTTACCTAGATACTGTTTTTTTTTTTTTTTTTTTTTTTGTTTTTTTTTGTCTCATTCTCACTTTATGGACAGACTCATGTGAAAGATTAGAACCTTCAGAATTCACTCACTGAGCTGCAGAGGCTGCACTAGCACTGACTCACTGTAGGTTCTGGGGTTTATGTAGTGACTATTCAGATCAGAGAGAAGTATTTTAGGTTTAAACCAACAGGATTTCAGCTTTGAAACTGGAAACGCAAATGAGAGACTCATGTGAGGCTCATTCTGCTTTCTGACTGGAGAATCGCTGTGAACCAAAACACAAAATTATATCCTGTTGGTGCATCACTCGTGGTCAAACTTGGTGTCTTATTTATTTATGTTCTGTGGTGGATGTTTGTGTGGTGCTTTTGTTGTTGTGTTGTCCTGTCTTTGCGATAAAGCATGTGGTCCCCTAGTCTGTTTCATCAGCTGGTTTCACTTCGTAGAAACCGTCTGACCTCGCAGCATAAGGATTCATTCGCTCGACGGTAGGCAAGTACTTTTTTATTTAACCAATCGCTGCTATTTGGTCGTGACGTCTATAATGCATCGCTAACGGGATAAATTGGTATATAAAGCTTTTCCCAAATCCCGTAGAAAGAAGGGCAATAACGTCTTTCCCCTTGATAAAATTTCTTTTACCTTTTCTTTGTTCCGGCTTTAAATCCTCGATCTCGAACTCGCACTTCCGGGGTTTTTACAAACCCTCTGGTGTATTCCGATTCCTGACCTAGTCGCTGGAGAGAATGGGAGACAATAAAGGATTATGTCTTATCTAAAACTAGAAAAGCACTCAGAGAGCGCAGACCTCCGCCAAAGACTACAGTCCCCCTCATATTAATTGTGTTTTCCATAAATATTTGTCTCGTATCTTTCAATTTGGAATATGAAAGAGGATCCCATTGTCCATCCCTGAGTCAAATTTCATGGGGTTTGGTCAATAATTAACCGAGATATTGAGAAACAAAATTTTTGGCCCCATTTACCACAATGTTAACTAAAATACATTCAAAGTGATCCAGAATCCAGGATTTCTTCCGGATCACCCCCAAAATGAAATCAGTTCTTCCTTTTCACATTTCCAACAAATCCTGAAAATTTCATCAAAATCGGTCCATAACTTTTTGAGTTATGTTGCTAACAGACAAACAGACAAACAAACAAACAAACAGACAAACGCCGGCAAAAACATAACCTCCTTGGTGGAGGTAATAAGTAGTAAAAAAGAGCAAGAGACAAGTGTCAAATAAGGCATAACTACGTAAATGTATATGTACAAGTCGAAATAAAATAGAAAAATAAGTAATAAAATATAAAATCTCAGATATATACAAGAGGTTATAGGAAGAAAGTGCCACTAAATTACATTCTTTTTATTCCAAGTGTTTAAAAAAATAAAAAATAAAAACACCTCTTGTCTCCAAGGACATAAACAAGTTGATTACCACTGTAGAAAAGTTATATAGTGCACCAAAACATAAACTATTAGATCATAGTTGAATGCGGGACTGTCACTAACACTCAGAACACATCATTATTCCATACTATTTCCATATATTTCAACTATATCTAATGGTATTGTAGTTTAAATGTTTATCTTGAATACTGTGGTGGTGTTTTGATGGCCCAGGGGCTCAAAGTACGCAGCTATAAATACTGGAGATCATGTAGCAGAGTATAAGCAGCCCATGTCTCCGCTGAGTTGGGACTGACGTCAAAGAATGCCGTCGCTTCCTTCCTTGTGATCCAAATTATATGTTTAAACTGCAAACGTCACATATAATTACAAGTATATCTGATGAATGGGGCATGTATGTGTTATATAGAAGGGTACATGTTGTCTTTGTACCTAATATGCAAATGATTCAAACTGTTGGGCAGTAAAGGTATGTGAGTTTATAGTTTGAGTGACAGGGGTATATGAACACAAATATACGTGTGTGTGTGTGTGTGTTCACCTCACAGTTATGGAAATGTTGAGCACTGCTGCTGCCCCCATCTGACACGTTTGGGGTATGACAGTCCAGAAATATTTGACAACACGACTTCAAAACGAGTTCTTTATTTGAGCTGATTTGAAAGAATAAAAAATCTAACTTGATTTTTAAAATAAATATCATAGTATTGCGGTCGTGTTAACAGTGTACAAGACTTTTAAAATCCTACATCGTCAGGGTGTTCAAAATTCTGAAATAGACGCAAAGTGAAGCTGACAACAGATAACAGATATAAATGCTAATGGTTTTACATTATTAGAAAAAAAATAAACAATTATTTTGACTTTCCAAGGTACATATTATTAGTTAATTTGCTTCTCTATTAAGAAGGATGGAAAAAATAAATTTTTCTAACCTCGAAATTCAGTTTAAGCTTCACAAAAGTACAATTTATGATGAAATGTGTAATATTTCTGTAGACCAGATATGTCAAACTCAGGTACAGTATAATTATATTTGACCCGCGAGATTATATCAAATATGTCTTTGAGCTGGCCCGCCGATTACAGATTACAGATATAGAGACTTTATTTATTTAAAAATTTTGTTATTATTTTATATTATGCTTGTTCTGGGTTCAATGTTTAAGCAAAACTATTATTAAACATGTATTTTAATAAGAAAAGGTTTAACATTACATATCTCGAAAGAAGAGAAAACATGCAAATGTTGATGAAATTTTTCAATAAATATTTAGCTTGGCCCATGACTTAGTCCCAGTTTTAAATTTCGGCCCTCTGTGAATTTGAGTTTGACACCCCTGCTGTAGATGAAGTGAGAAACTGTAGTGGGTTCAACTTTTCAGTAAGAATTTGTTCAGTAAAACCTCAAAATCTTTGTCAAAAATGCTTGGTGTTTATCGTAATCGCTTCTTAATTTAACAAATAACATAAAAGACAATTGTAAATGTTTTTAAAAGTAGTCTCTAATGTCACTCACATGTACCCGGGTGATTTTCATTTGCGAAATTTCCCTTGATTTTTCTGATTTTGTGATTTTAGTCTGAAGTGAATTCCAGTTTTCCCATTGAAATCACATTATGTTAAATTTTTCCTCCAGTTGCCTCCATCATTGCATAATATTTTTGAACTATAAAAGCACCTGTGATTGAATAAATGTAAAGTCGAGCTGTTTAATGTCACACTGTGTCAGCTCTATGGTTCTGACAATGCTTGAGTGACACATGATTAAACCGATTATAGTTATGGTTCAGATGATAGATGCATGTTTCCGCAGGTGCAGGTGTGTTATGTAAGAGCGATGAGATAATTCAGGCATCAAGAACAATTACTTGTACTTGTCTGTCCACAGCAGAGGAGAACACAAAGTACTTCTGTCAGTAACTATTCACGGCCTATTGGGTTGTATAACAAGACACTGGCCCTATCCCGCAATGTGTGCAGGTCAACACTTGGAACGTGCAAGATGATAGTGGTGGAGGTAGTAGTGGTAGTGGTAGTAATAGTAGTGGTAGTAATGATGGTAGTGGTTAGAGTGGTAGTGGTAGTAGTAGTAGTAGTAGTGGTGGAGGAGATATTAGTAGTGGTAGTAATGGTGGTATTAATAACGGTCGTACTAGTAGTGATAGTAGTAGTAGTAATGGTGGTAGTAGTAGTAGTACTAGTAGTAGTAATGGTGGTAGTAGTAGTAGTAGTACTAGTAGTAGTAATGGTGGTAGTAGTAGTAGTAATGGTAGTGGTAGTAGTGGTAATGGTGGTGGTAGTAGTAGTGATAATAGTAGTAGGAATAGTAATGGTAGTAGTAGTAATGCTGGTAGTAGTAGTAGTAGTAGTAAGTAGTAGTAGTAGTAGTAGTAGTAGTAAGTAGTAAGTAGTAGTAGTAGTAGTAGTAGTAGTAGTAGTAGTAGTAGTAGTAGTAGTAGTAGTAGTAATAATAGTAGTAGTAATGGTAGTAATAGTAGTAGTAGTAGTAGTAGTAGTAGTAGTAGTAGTAGTAGTAGTAGTAGTAGTAGTAGTAGTAGTAGTAAGTAGTAGTAGTAGTAGTAGTAGTAGTAGTAGTAGTAGTAGTAGTAGTAGTAGTGTAGTAGTAGTAGTAGTAGTAGTAGTAGTAGTAGTAGTAGTAGTAGTGGTAGTGGTAGTAGTAGTAATGGTAGTAGTGGTAGTAGTAGTAGTAGTAGTAGTAGTAGTAGTAGTAGTAGTAGTAGTAGTGGTAGTAGTAGTGGTAGTAGTGGTAGTAGTAGTAGTAATAGTGGTAGTATGTAGTAGAAGTAGTAATGGTAGTAGCAGTAGTAGTAGTAGTAGTAGTAGTAGTAGTGGTGGTGGTAGTATGTAGTAGAAGTTGTAATGGTAGTAGTAGTAGTAGTAGTACTGGTAGTGGTAGTAGTGGTAATGGTGGTAGTAGTCGTAGTAGTAGTAAAGGTAATAGTAGTAGTAATGGTAGTAGTAATAGTAGTAGTAGTAGTAATGGTAGTAGTAGTAGTAGTGGTAGTAACAGTAGTAGTAGTAGTAGTAGTGGTGGTGGTGGTGGTAGTAGTAGTAATGGTAGTAATGGTAGTCTTAGTAGTAGTAATAGCAATAGTAGTAGTAGTAGTAGTAGTAGTAGTAGTAGTAGTAGTAGTAGTAGTAGTAGTAGTAGTAGTAGTAGTAATGGTAGTAATGGTAGTCTTAGTAGTAGTAATAGTAGTAATAGCAGTAGTAGTAGTAGTAGTAGTAGTAGTAGTAGTAGTGATAGTGATAGTAGTAGTATAGTAGTAGTAGTAGTAGTAGTAGTAGTAGTAGTAGTAGTAGTAGTAGTAGTAGTAGTAGTAGTAGTAGTAGTAGTAGTAGTAGTAGTAGTAGTAGTAGTAGTAGTAGTAGTAGTAGTAGTAGTAGTAGTAGTAGTAGTAGTAGTAGTAGTAGTAGTAGTAGTAATAAATAGTAGTAGCTCAATCCCTCCTGTTATCATTCTAAATGTTATACTCAGTCTCTTTGTGTTTATACTGACATCATGTGGCAGATGTTTATATGTTTTGTCCAAGCATGGTGAAGTTTATTTAAAATATACAGACCTGCCCTAAAAATATCAAAACTATACACAACCAAACCAAACCAAAGTATACTTTTACTTCCACGGTATAAAATAATTTTATAGACTATTGTGTAGAAGTACACTATGGACCAATGAAAAACAGTTCATTATAAACAGTGTGTAAAATGTAAATAAACCTATATAATAATGATAACAATACATTTTATTTATATAGCACTTTTCAGGAGCACATATCAATATATTCAACAGAGCAATAAACAAATAATACAAGATATAAACAGTGAATCATGTGTTGTGTTTCCCGCAGGAGCCCGAGCGAGGGCCTCCAGAGCCAATGGGTCAAACGGCGTGTCCCGGAGCCCACCCAGGCGAGCGGACCCCAACGCGGCCCCCACCCTGCGCTCGCGGGTCCTCGGGCTGCTGCAGACCCTGCGCCTCTCTGTGGAGCTCGTGGTGGCCCTGGCTGCCCTGCTCTGCTGGATCACTGTGGGAGTGGTCATGTTCGACTTTGTAGAATACAAAACTGTACCTGGTGAGTACGACTGAAATACAAACAAATACTTCTGTTTATTAAGGACAGGATACTAATCAGCTCCAGTACTGATATGCGCCGATGTATATACATATTTTAAATCATTATTCACAGAGATGAGTTAATAAGCGCGTTTCACAACTTTCAGAGACTAGAGTGTAGTTTTGCCATAACGGTAATGCTAACAACAACTAGCATTCTAACCCTGCACTTTCTGATTTTCTGATGATAAAATATTTTAAAATTAGATGAAGAGAGCACACAGCTTGTTATGTCATTTTAACCTTAAGAGCTGCTTGTACAATATATATCTATTTATACTGGGACAAAACACATGGGAAATATTTGATACATTCATCCATCTGGGGGATGGGGGCGGCAGTCCCAGACTTCCTTCACCCCGGACACTTCCTCCAGCTCCACCGGGGGGACCCCAAAACATTCCCAGGCCAGCCCAGAGACATAGTCCCTCCAGAGTCTTCTGGGTTTTCCCTGAAGAAAGGGCCTGGGCGCCTCTCTTGGTTTTCCCAAGAGAGGCACCCAGGAGGCATCCGGAACAGATGCCCAAGCCACCTCAGCTGCTTCTCTCGACGTGGAGGAGCAGCGGCTCTACTCCAAGCTCATACCGTGTGACTGAGCTCCTCACCCTATCTCTAAGGGAGCGCCCAGCCACCCTGTGGAGGAAACTCATTCCGCTTGTATCCACGATCTTGTCCTTTCGGTCATTACCCAGAGCTCATGACCATCGGTGATAAATATGAGATGGTGAATGCAGCAAACGCCAGAATAATGTTTTCACTGATTTAATTGTTTATTTCACTCTTTTTTTTAGACATTCAGCAAATTGTCAGTGACCCTGTCCAAGCAGTAACCGACGCTGTGGACGAAGTAACAAGTCTAATTAATAAATTCCAAGGTAAGTTCCTGTTATGGTTTTATATGATTACACACAAAAAACATTGCAGTGAATATTTAAATAACTGAATGTTTGTATTTGTGTTTAGAATGTGCGCCTGACTTAAGTGACCCGATGGCAGCGGCCACTTATGCAGCCGAGGAAATAGCACACGCCAAAGATGGATTTGTACAATATTTCTCAGATGAGGAGGGTAAGATCAGGATTTTGTCTGTCTCTCTGTCCATCCATCAATAATATGTGGGCTGAAGATGTAAAGGGTGAATTATATAAACTTAATCAACGGAAATTCATAAAAAAAAAAAAACAGTCATTTCAAATTCAAAATCTGGTGAAGCAATGAGATGATCTTTCATTTTCAGGACTCTTTATGACAAACTTACACATCTGCGAACATTTTGACAAGCTCTAGTGTAATTTCAAGGCATTTAAGAAGAAAAAAAAATTCTTAGAGAGGGGATGTTACACGAAATCCATCTGTTCGTAAATTTTTGCTCACTAATAATATCATATTTATAAAAAGCTACTACCTAATTTTAGTTCTCTAATTGTTCTAAACTACTTCAAGATACACTATGACACTTTCCTGGTAGACGGTCCGTAACTTGCTTGTCTCCATGGAGAAGATATTGCTTTGCCTGAAATGTTCCACAGTATGGCGTTAAACTTACCTCAATAGACACAAGAGTAGGGTGACCAGACGTCCCTTTTTACCCGGGACAGTCCCGGTTTTCAGCCCTGTGTCACCTGTCCCAGCAGATTTCATCCAAAGCCACTGATATGTCCCAATTTTATACAAAAAATGTCCCAAGTGTCCCTATTTTTGACAAATTTGATCCCTGCCAACAGAAAAGAGAACCAGACATTGTCATTTGTTGAGGTAAAATACAGAAAAGCTGCTTAAAAACGACCAAAACACAAAGAAAATGTGACAATATACTGACTCACATTAGTGCCGACTGCGTAACAATTTTCCTTAATTACCACTCGTTTCACAATTTTATTATTATTTTTGAAAATCTGGTCACCCTAGACAAGCAGGAGATACTCAGAGAACAATATAAATTTCCTTCTAACTTAAAATTTGTGGCTGTTTTATCAGTTAAGTGGCTGGTGAAAGAACAAAGTATAAGTGGTAGTAGAATAGTAGTAGTAGTAGTATGAATATTCTTGTTTATATTTCCTGTTTTACCCTCAGGAGTCTTCTATCTGAGTTACGTGGACCCTGTGGTGATTGGGCGTCGAGCGTTCCACACCGCAGATGAGTTCATGAGTGAGGTGGGGGACACTGTCCAGGAGAGACTGTGTGCTGTGGCGGACTACGTAGCGGACACAGTACTGGACATACACAAAGGTCAGTCTCAAGAACCGTCTGCGGTCTTTAAAAGGGAAGGGTCCGCTCGCCGTAAATTGAGAGCGAGCCATAAATACTTGGACACTGATACTTTGCGGCTGGTGGCATCAACATTTCCAGAGGTGGGGTGAAGCTAACTAAAGCTGTCTGAAGTTCTGTGACTGAATTTAGACGTTATTTTAGCTTTGTAAACACAATCTTACCAGAAAGTACAGACTTAAATAGAACTATAACAGGTGAGCTGATTTGTGCTTCTAAATAATGAACGTTCGTATTGATCACACTGCAAATTTCTCTGATTTGACCAAGATTTTAAAACTTATATCATCAATATATTCATCTTGTTTTCAGATTTATTATCTACTTACTAGACCAGAGACTGATTAATTCTAGTCTAGAAGTCATTTATTTTAAGATAACTTGTCAAGTAAAATTATCTTGCGGCATGGACAGATCATTTCAATACTTTCAAGTCATTTTCTGATAGATTTAAGAGTTTATATCTTCAGTTCTGGTGCTGTTAACATCCAATTTGTATTTTTCCATGAGTTTTCAGGTCATTTAGAAAAATATTAGACTTTACACTGTGTCACCATGGTAATGCTGCTGAACATTCTTCTATAGAACTACATGCTATATCTTCCCCCCAGCAAAATGTCACTGAAAAGTATCAATGATATAATATATTGTACCATGATGTGGTTGTTACAATAAATAGGCTACCGTAGCACTAAACCCCATAGGCCTACTGCTGTAACTGTAAAAAATAAATTACATTATAGTGCAGTTTTTCTGAAGTTAAATGTTTAAAATGTCATCCCTCTTGTAGGAAAACTGGACATAAGTTATTTAGACCCGGTGGTGATAGGCCGAGGAGCCTTCACTGCGACTAATGACTTCATATCTGGTGTCATGGCCAACATCCAGGGGGCGCTCTGTTCCATCGTAGACTCTCTTCTGGACGTGGTCAAAGGTACAACTGGATTTCAATTTCTTTTGTACTTGATTAGGGGGACCAGACGTTCTTATTTGCCCGGGACAGTCCCAGTGTGGAGTCCTGTGTCCTCGTCCCAGCAGATTTGTCCCAGTTTTATACAAGAAATGTCCCAAATGTCCCTATTTTTGACCAATTTGATCCAAACCAGGACTAAACTAAGACTAAACCAGGACTACATCAAGTCTAAACCAGGACTATAACAATTTTTGACTGATCTGATCCCTGCCAACAGTAAAGATGAGCATACATTGTCATTTGTTTTGCCAAAATCCACGTTTGCAAGACCATAAACAAAAAAACACAACGTCAGAAGTCTCTCAAATTATGACTGACGTGAGAATGCGCAATGTTACACACTTTTTTCACCCTATACTTGCTGGGGTTACTATATAAATAAGTGTTTTATTTGTTTTTGCAGGAACTACAGACGTTAGTTTTATAGACCCTGTGGTGATCGGGCGGAGTGCATTCACCGTTACCAATGACGCTGTGGATGGAGTGGTGGGTTACATTCAGGATAAGCTGTGTTTCATAGTAGACTGCATTCTGGACATCACTAAAGGTTGGTCTCAAATATATAATATAGCCTAAATAGCCCTTTCAAGTTTATTTATAAGAAAGAGTAAACCTCAGGTAAAAGCTCAGAACCTCCAGTACGATTGGCTGCAGGCGCTGGGTAAAAGTAAAAGTGACATTTTGAACATGTTTACCTTGTATTTTAGTCAAGTTTATCAAATTTAAAACCTTGCATACTGTTTCAGTTGTATCTTAAGCTACATGCCACGGTAAATGAAATGACTGAAATGTGTTTTTATTCACAGGAACCATCGACCTGAGCTTTATGGACCCTGTGGTCATTGGAAGAAGCGCCTTCACCGTCACCAATGAGTTTGTGAGCGGAATCACATCAAACATCCAGCGAGTCCTCTGCTCTGTCCTGGACATTATTCTGGACACTGTTGGAGGTGAGTGATGCTTTTGACATAGTTGTAGTACTTTTAGTGGTAGCAGAGGTAGTAATGGTAGTCATGGTAGTGGTAGTCTAATTAAGTAGTAGTCGCAGTAGTAGTGGTGGTTGATATAGTAAATTAAAAATAAGTTTCTTCTTTGGTGTCCAGGTGTGATGGAAGCTGTGGGATTCAGTCCCTTGTCAGTTCTGAGGACGACAGCCGACGTCACCAAAGAACAAATGAGCTCGCTCGGTGACTACATCTCCACGACCTTCATGGGTGAACAAGGTACAGTATGTTCAACTTCAATGATTTGGTTAATTATAACGCAAACTTGAAGCAAGATAAATAAACTTCAGTTCTAAAGTCAATGGAGAATGCCAGACATGTGACTAAAAAGTTACCTGTGGTCATGTTGTCCCTAATGTAAACAAAGGTTAGTCTCCAAAGGAAATATGCATAAACTGCCCAGATCTGCTGTGCTGTTGGGATTTTTAGAACAACATATGACATAATACAAGAACTGCTGCATTTGAAAACAAAAAAATGGCTTACTGTGTTTTTCTGACTATAAGTCACACTAGCCAAAAAATGCATAAAGAAGAAGAAAAAACATACATAAGTTGCACATTTTGAGAGAAATTTATTTGATAAAATCAGAGACCAGGAACTGACATTTTATCTTGAAAGGCAAGTTATAGTAATAATAATAGAACAGAGAACAACAGACTGTTAACATCACATATGAACAGTTCTTCAGATAAATATAACATAAACAACAGAACAAATTAAGTTGACCAAACCCTCCATCTCACTCCAAATCACTAAATCCACTGAATTCTTCATCCTCGCTGTCACTTCTGAGCCACTCCGTGACCTCTGGAGGTAAACGGAGTGCCACTTCCCCAGACTCAGCATCAGTTCCAGTTAGAATTATTCCGGCCTTTCTGAATCCTGACAGGATGGTTTTGGTTGTCACTGAAGTCCAGGCTTTGTCGATCCATCCAATGACTTCCAGGAAAGTTGCATGGCACAAACTCCCGGTTACCGTGAAGCTGTGTTCTCCATCCCCACTTTCTGCCAGTCACTCACAAGTTTCTCGCTCACTCCAAACTTTCTTTCTGCTGCTCAATTACTGTTATCGGCTGAATATTTCCTTACTTGCAGCAGGACACATGCAGGAGACATGTGTTGTAGGGCCCCAAGTGACAGTGGTACAGGAGTAATAGGAGCAGCAGATACTGACATACAAGTCTAGAGCCTCTCGCGGCTGTCAGTGTAAAGATTTTAATATATAAGTTGCACCAGAGTATAAGTCGGAGGAAACACCCAAACAATGAAAAAACTGTGTGAAAAATACGGTAATTGAAAAATAATTTATGCTTAAAATGCTCATCAATTATTTGCATTTGTGATTAGTATGCAAATATATAATGCGCTGACTGGCCTTGTCGAGTGCTTGCATTCATGTATTTGTGATTTCAGGGATCCTGCCTGACGTCTCTCTGGAGCCCATGAAGGTGGTGGAAGAGGCTGTGTTGGAAGCTTCAGAAACCAAAAACGCTTTCGTGGCTTATCTGTCCAGCATGTGTTGGCGAACAAGGTATTCACATTTATGCAAAGTCCAAAGGTTGAAACAGATTCCGTGAAATCCTTTTTCCAAAACTAAAATGATTCTTTTTGTTACACAGTGGAGGAAAAGAAGGAAGAACTGCCAGCAGACATAGTGGAAGCGCCTCAAGAAAAGCAAGAAGAAGTAACAACAACTGAAGAAGAAATAACTACCAAAGAGGAGGAGGAGGAGGAGGAGGAAGAGGAAATAACTACTAAAGAGGAGGAGGAGGAGAAGGAAGAGGAGGAAGAGGAGAAAATAACATCTGAGGAGGAGAAGGAAATTGAACCTGCCATCACTCCTGAAGAAATTGAGGAGGATGAAGCTGTTGTGAAAGCTGATACAGTAGAAACATCACCTGTGGAGGAAGAGGAGGAGGAAGAGGAGGCTGTAGCTGTAGAGGAGGAGGAAGAGGAGGTGGAGGCAGAGGCAGTAAAGGTTGACATTGTTGAACCATCACCAGTGGAAGAGGAGGAGGAAGAGGAAGAAGAGGCCGTGAAGGTTGAAACTGCAGAGCCACCAGCTGCTGAGGAGGAAGAGGAGGAGGAAGAGGGCGAGGAAGCAGAGCCATCACCTGTGGAAGTGGAGGAAAAGGAACTGGAGGAGGAGGCAGTGAGGGTTGAGGCAATGGAACCATTACTTGCTGAGGAGGAGGAGGAAGAGGAGGAGGCAGAAGCAGAGAAGCCTTTAGCTGTTGAAGAAGAGGAAGAGGAGGAGGAAGAAGAACCATCACTTGCAGAGGAGGAGGAGGAAGAAGATGAAGAGGCAGTTAAGGTTGACACTGTGACGCCACCACCTGCAGAAGAGGAGGAGAAAGAGGATGAGGAAGAGGGTGAAGAAGAGGCAGTAAAGGTTGACGCTGTGGAACCACCCTCTGCTGAGGAGGAGGAGGAACCATCTGCTGAACCTGCAGTGGAACATGTTTTAGCTGTAAAGCCCCAGAACATCAGCGAGGAAGCAGAGGAAGAGAAGGAGGAAGAGGCAGCTCCAGTCCTGGCAGCCGTGGAGCAGGAGGACTTCTCAGACACCGTGGACGACCACGACGAAAACAACAACAACAGCGAGAAGCTTAAGACCGAACCAGGGAGGAAAAGGAGGCTGCACATCCTCTCCCACAGGCGACGAAGAGACGCTCGCAAAGAAAGACCTGTGGAGGGGAAACCTGACAAAGGTACAGAGAATACTGACATCATTCTTAAGGCCCCATTTACACATACACGGGTATTTTTAAAAACGAGACATTTCCTTCATTTGTACACATCTTTTACATGCAAACAGCAAATTCGCCTCTAAAAACAAATCTTTCTAAAAACTCCGGCTAGAGTGGAGATTCTGGAAAACTACAGTTCGACGTTTACATTTAAAATTAGATAAACAGAGTTGACATACTAAAAGTGAGACCAGTGTTTCCCTTTTACTTTGATGATAATGGAGCATTCAGAGCAGCAGTCGCACACTTTTCATGTGTTTGCATTTGCACACACAGCTGATGTTTCATATCCACGACCAGAGAGAAATGAGGCTCGGAGATCAGCAACTTTGCCACTTCTTTAATAGATCTGTGGAGAGGCGAGCCCACTCACTAATGCACATTTTTCAAGATATTTTTGAGTGATCCTTACAACTGTAATGAAATGAATGCTGCCGGTTTGAATCTAATCCAGGTGCCCCCCAGAGGTTTGGTGTAGTTACGATGGAGCTCGATGGAGTATTTATGCGGGTTGATGTAAATTAAAACTTTTTTGAAAACAATGCTATGTGCATGATGTTATTTTGGAGAATGGAGGGAGGGAAATATTTGTTTCTCAACATACCCGGCTATGTCTTAACGAAGCCTAAGAAAGGTATAGGTTTGTTTTGGGACATGCAGATGACCCATGAACCTTTATATGCCGTTTTGTTTACATTCTATAATTGTACTGTTTTGTTCCAATTTATGATCCACAAACCTTATCATGACTTGTTTGGCTCCACAAACTTGCCATACTCATTTCATGGCTGAAAGTCCTTTCACCTTACTGAATAATGGCACCACTTTCTAAAACTATTGGGTTAAAATTATTTCATTTTTGTTGTTTGTGCTATGAGATAAGACTGTGAACTTTGTGCCATTTTTTGTTGCATGTGGATATGCCTAGTAATCACAGAAACATTATCCATAAACCACAAAAGAAAGCTGCAATCTGACAGTTAAATTTAGTTAAATTAAATTAAATTAAATCATGAAATTGACCATATTACAATGTTTCCCATTCTGTTTCAGATGAAGAGGTTTCCGAAAAAGAACCCGAATCTAAGAAATCTTTGAGGAAGAAAGAAGCTAAAGAAAAAGAGGCCATATCCCTTAAATTAGAAAAAGAAAAGAAACCATCCAAAAGGAAACTAGCCAAAAAGGAGAAGGAACATCTGAAGGAGACTCCCCCAACTCCTGAGGAACCCAAAGAAGAACCTACAAATAAAACCATAATTGAGAAAGCCCCAAAAGAAAAGCCAGTAAAGGAGGACAAGAGGCGTTCTAGAAAGATCAGCCTAATAAGGAAACTTTTGAAACATAAGGAACAGCCCAAAGAAGAGAAAGAAAAGAAGCCTTCAAAAACAAAGGAGGTGGAGAAAGAAGACCTCAAACTTCATAAAGAGGAAAAGCCAGAGAAAAGGGAACCAGCTGAAACAAAAGCAATTAAGAAAGAAGAGGCAGAAAAGGAAGAACCATCTCCACCCAAAACACCGGTAAAGGAACCCTCAAAGGACAAAAAGGAGAAGAAGAGGGATCTAAAAGAAGACAAATTAGTTACCAAAGAGAAAAAAGAAAAGGCTGACAAGATAAAATCCAAAGAAGAGGCGGAAGACAAAGTCAAGCTCAAAGAACCAAAAGAACCCAAGAGACTTCCAAAAGAAGACAAGAAAAAAGAAAAGGAACCTCCCAAAGATAAGAAACAACTCAAAGAAAGGAAGGCCAAAGCAGAGCCTCTCGTCAAAGAAAAGGAGGAGAAGAAACCTATTAAAAAAGAACCAAAAGAGGTTAAGAAATCCAAAGAGCCCAAACAAGAAGAAAAGGAACCAAAGAAGATTCCCAAAGAGTTCAAAAACATAACCACTCCTGCAGCAGAAGTGGTGGAAAAGAAAGCACCAGAAGTGAAGGAGGAAAAAATACCAAAGGAATCTCTCAAAGTGCCAAAGATGGAAAAGATGAAACCTAAAGAAAAGAAAGAAGCAAAGGAGCCTCTCAAGGTCAAGGAAAAGAAAGAGAAGGACATCAAACTCTCCAAAAAGAAGGTTGACGACAAGCTTCCTAAAACAAAAGAGCCTTCAATAGATGAGAAGAAGGTAACACCTGTCAAAGAGAAGAAAGAATCCAAGGAGCCTCCAAAAGAAATCCATCCTCCAACAAAAGAGATGAAGAAACCCAAAGAAAAGAAGGAAAAGGATATCAAAGTATCCAAAGAGGAAAAACCCAAAAAGAAGCCTGAAAAAGAGGCTACTGAAGAAGTAACGCCTCCTAAAGAGAAGGCCCCAAAAGAGAAGAAACCTTCTGTAGAAGAGGTGACACCATCCAAAGAAGAAGAAAAGAAACTCAAAGAAAAGAAAGACGTGAAGGAAGCTCCTAAGGTCAAAGAGGCCAAGAAGGAGAAAGCTTTTAAAGACATCAAGCCTCAGAAAATGAAACCTAAAGAGAAGAAAGAAACCAAAGAGCCCACAAAGAAACCCATGAGAGAGGTTGTGGTGGAACTTCCGAAAGACCTCAAACTAGACAAGAAGGTACCTGAAGAAAAGATCAAAGCAAAGGAAGAGGCTCCTAAAGATGTTTCCAAAGAACCAAAAGAAAAGAAACACGAAAAGGAGATACCCAAGGAGAAGAAAAAGGCAGAAGAACCTTCTAAAATTGAGAAAGAAGAAGTTCCAAAACCCAAAGAAAAAGGACTTCGCAGACATAAGAAGATAGCTGAGGAGAAACCCAAAGAGAAGAAAATTGAGGAACCTTCCAAAGTTCAAAAGGAACAGCCTCCTAAAAATGTCACAGAGGAAACAAAGAAGCCCCAAGAAAAGAAAGTCCTTATAAAAGAGAAGAAACTGGAAAAAGAGAAACCTAAGGAGGAGAAAAAAGTTGAGGAACCTTCTAAAGTTGTGAAAGAAGAAGTTCCAAAACCCAAAGAAAAGGGACTTCGCAGACACAAGAAGATAGCTGAGGAGAAACCCAAAGAGAAAAAAGTTGAAGAACTTCCTAAAGCTGAAAAGAAACAAACTCTTAAAAATGTTACAGAGGAAACAAAGAAACCCCAAGAAAAGAAAGTCCTTCTAAAAGAGAAGAAACTGGAAAAAGAGAAACCCAAGGAGGAGAAAAAAGTTGAGGAACCTCCTAAAATTGTGAAAGAAGAAGTTCCAAAACCCAAAGAAAAGGGACTTCGCAGACACAAGAAGATAGCTGAGGAGAAACCCAAAGAGAAAAAAGTTGAAGAACTTCCTAAAGCTGAAAAGAAACAACCTCTTAAAAATGTTACAGAGGAAACAAAGAAACCCCAAGAAAAGAAAGTCCTTATAAAAGAGAAGAAACTGGAAAAAGAGAAACCCAAGGAGGAGAAAAAAGTTGAGGAACCTCCTAAAATTGTGAAAGAAGAAGTTCCAAAACCCAAAGAAAAGGGACTTCGCAGACACAAGAAGATAGTTGAGGAGAAACCCAAAGAGAAAAAAGTTGAGGAACTTCCTAAAGCTGAGAAGAAACAACCTCTTAAAAATGTTACAGAGGAAACAACGAAACCTAAAGAAAAGAAAGTCCTTCTAAAAGAGAAGGAAAAGAAGATACCCAAAGAGGAGAGGGCAGCAAAGGAAGAGCCTCCAAAAGAAACCAAGGAGAAGAAGGAAAAACCTCTAAAAGTTGCAAAAGCAGAACCCTCTAAAGATGTCAAAGAAGAAATCAAGAAACCCAAAGAAAAGAAGGATAAAAAGGAGGAAAAGCCACTTCCAAAAGAGGACAAACCTGAGAAGAAACCAGTGGCAGATAAGGAGGTGAAGGTTTCTGAAGACAAAAAAGCCAAGGAGCCTTCCAAAGATATTAAAGAAGTTCCAAAACCCAAAGAAAAGGGACTTCGCAGACATAAGAAGATAGTTGATGAGAAACCCAAAGAGAAGAAAGCTGAGGAACCTTCCAAAGTTCAAAAAGAACAGCCTCTTAAAAATGTCACTGAGGAAATAAAGAAACCTCAAGAAAAGAAAGAGAAGAAATTGGAAAAAGAAAAACCCAAGGAAGAGAAAAAGAAAAAAGTGGAAGAACCTACAAAAGCTGATAAGAAACCTGTCAAAGAAGAGAAAGAAAAGAAACCAAAAGATGACAAAGAAGTAAAGAAGGTTCCAAAAGAAATTCCCAAAGACAAAAAAGTGGGAAAGAAGGAACCTACTAAAGAAAAGAAAGAGGACAAGAAACACAAAGAGAAAGAAGTCCCCAAAGAACCTTCCAAAGAGGAGAAGAAAAAAGTCAAGGAAATTGCACCTCCTAAAGATGAACCGAAGGAGGAAAAGGTGAAGAAATCCCCAAAAGAAAAGAAAGAAAAGGAACCAACCAAGGACAAAAAGGAAATCCCAGCAGAAATCAAAGAGGTGCCCAAAGAAAAGAAAGAGAAAAAAGAAATGAAGATCATCCCATCTGTGGAGCTAAAAGAGAAGAAGGTCTCCAAAGAAAAGGTAAAAGAACCAAAAGAAGAGAAACCACCCAAAGAAGAGAAAGAAGTGAAGAAACCTACCAAGGAAAAGGCGAAGGAAGACGAGAAGGAGCCCAAAAAGACTAAAGGTGGGCTGTAGGTTGAGATGTAGGCTAGTTTTGAAAGTACTCTTTAAAGTATTTTGGTTTCGTTTGTAGATGTTCCACGGCATAGGACAGTTCGTAGAATCCAGGTAGTCAAGAAGGAAGTTGCGTCCGTGGTGAAGAAGGAACATCTGAACGTCACAAAAACAGGTAAGTGCACAGTAATGGAATATTTAGAGTTTTTCTTAGCTTTTCAATTGTTTCAGACATAAAACTTGAATTTTCTTATCTTTAATAATTTCACTCTTTAGCTTCCAAAATGCCATATTTCTTATCACTCCTATCACTGTTGTTATCTCAGCTCCTCTGTGTTTTGAAAGTTCATGCACCATCAACTTTTTGTGCATTTCTTTCCTGATTTTAAATCTTCTAAATAAATACCTATTGTAAAGTCACGGTATGAAACTTTTCTGGTACAAGGGGCCCATCAGGTATACACGCCTGATCTGTGGAGAAGCAACATAAAATCTTAGCATAAATACAAGATATTTTTAAAGCCATACTGTGGAACATCATGATACGGAAGCCCCGAGCGGCAAGCAAAAAAAAAAAAAAAAAAGGCGTGTCATTTGGGCTCAATTTTCAAATTAATTTTTTATTTTTATTTTTTTCTTAAAAAAATAAATAAATAAATAAATAAATAAATCTAAATTTTTCATTTTTTTTTTCTTGCACCAACAACTTAAAAATGTTTTTCTCATCTTTTTTTTTCTTTGCAGCAACAGCATTTTTTTCCCCACCTATTGACGTGGCTGATAAAAAAAAAAAAAAAAAAAGCTAATGCTCCCTAAATTTTCTTGCATTAAAAATATTTGAGGGGGGCTCCTCATTCTACCTCAACTTACCTGAACTGTACAACTGTTTTCTGTTTCGTTGCAGAGGTCAAAGCTCCCAAAGACAAAGTAAAAGCCGCCCCTGTGAAGCCTGGTATGTTTTTAGGAATTCACAATTTTCCAAAACATTTCCTTCAATAATAATGTATTTTTAATGTGAAAATAATTGTTTTCAGAACCTGTTTCCAAAAAGACCAAAGTAGCCCCAGTAGTTAAAGGTGAGTTACACTAACAGCAATATGAACACAGCTGTATCATGATTAAAGCCACAGTACGCCACTTTTTAGCTCGAATTCAATTGATACCTTTTTTTTTTTTGCAGAAGCTGAAGCTCCTGCCAAAAACGAGTCTCTATTCAAAGAAAAAGTGAAGATACAGCCGATAAAGAAAGGTAAGTCTGACTGTTTTTTTTTTTTTGTTTTTTTTTAAGGTAATTAAACAACCAAAAAAACTGTTATTGTTACTTAGTGCTGGTGAGACCAAAAGAGAAAATCAGAGCGGTACTCAGACACAAAGGTAATTACTTAATAAATACTGCAATCTGGCAAGTATTGTGTAACGCTGCATAGGTTGTTAGTTAAAGGTGTTCTGTATCTCTTATCGTAGCACCTGTTTCCAAAGTCAAACGGCCATTAGCTGTTCACAAGAAAGGTACACAGTTCTCTGCAGTAGCCTATGCAGTACAGAACAATATGCAGAGAGCTCGCATATTGTTTAAAGGCCCATATGACGCTATTTTCTGATCTATGTTATAATGTTTCCTCATCACAAACAGACCTGGAGTTGTGTTTTGTTTCATTCATGTTTAAATCCTGCATATTTAGTCTGAGTTCTTTTCTCAAAACAATCTGAAGCCTCCAATGTGTTTTTAAACTCCGTACACCTTCACTAGAATCATTTGGATCATTTCGAACCTGGAATTGCCAAACTCTATTGAACCAAAGGTCAAAAAGTCGCTGTTAATTTGAAAATTAACTTCATTTTGAGCTATGGAGATATAGTCAGACTCACAATAACGGATTATTTAGACATATGTGAATGAAACAAAACACAACTTCTGGGGTGTTTTTGATGAGGTAGCAGCATTATAACAGGATTAAAGCTCACGATAATCCTTTTTGTGTAACGTAGGACATGTGTAGCATGTGAGAAACGTGTAATAGATAGTTTTTCCAATTCATCAACCATTCACAACCAGACATTGCCAGCTTTGCACTAATAAGAACTTTAGCTAATTCCAGACTGGCAGCTTACTGGACCTTGTAACCGTTCAACATATTCTCATATTTTCTGAATGTTATTTCTTCCTCAAAAACATACCATTTTATTTAGGCTAAATTCTTTTCTCAAACTGTTCCACACTCTGTTCCATATCATCACTAGAATCATTTGGATAATTTCAGATGTGGAATTGTCAGTCTCTTCTGAACTAAAGGTAAAATGTAGTTACTAACTGGAAAACTACAGCTTCATGACATCACAAGGTGGAACAGATCATTTTGGTGCTTTGGAAATGTAGATAGACTAATAAAGGGTTACTTAAACATGCGTGAATGAAACAAAATGCAAGTCTAGATATGTTTTTGAGGCAATAACAACATAAAAATATGGCTTAAAGCTCACAAGAGTCAATATTGTGTAATATACAGTACCAGTGAAAAGTTTTAGAACATCCTACTTTTTCTAGTTATTTATTGCAATTCAAGTCGTGCAAGTCCAATGAAGAGCTTGAAATGGTAAAAAGGTAAAAACTGAACAGTCAGAGGTTAAAAAAAGATTAAAAAATAAATAAATAAATAACAAAACACAAGTCCAAGCTCTGCCAAAACTACCTCAGGAAAAAAGAACAAGATGTTAAAATTGAAAACATGGAGTGTCCAGCAGCACAGTGTCCAGACTTAAACCCCATCGAGCTGGTTTGGGATGAACTGGACAGAAGAGTGAAGCAACCTACAAGTGCCACACATTTATGGAAACTTCTGCAACAGACTTGGGAAGAACTTTCTGAAGAATATTTGATTTCTATCGTAAAAAGAACAAGCCACGAGTGTGTTCAGCTGTTCTATCTGCCAAAGCTGGACACTTTCATGAATCAAAAGTTTAGAATATGTTTCGGTCAACAGTAAAAAGTTAAAAACTGGAAAACATGTGGTGTTCTAAAACTTTTGACCTGTAGCGTAGAACCTTTAAGACGTGTTTATGGCCCAAACACTAAAACATGAGCAGGTAAGTGTGTAATCAAGTCCATACTTTTAACATGTGGTTTTCTTTTACTATAGAAGCTGAAATCAAACCTTTGTCCATCAGAGAAGGTAAAGCATTGCACATACACACATACACTTGAATGTCCATATTTTGTGTATTATCGTGAGAAAAACTGATTAGATATAGTCAGTGTTGGGGAGTAACAGATTACATGTACCAGAGTTACGTAATCAGAGTACAAATTATAAGTAACTGTATTCGGTTACAGTTACTGTTTCCATGAGTGGTAATTGGATTACAGTTTCTCACATTTTGGGCTATATCCCTTTTTTTTTTTTGGTAATTCCACTCATTGCCGGACACTAAACCAGGACTAAAACCAAGTCTAAACCAGGACTAAATCAGGATTGAACCAGGACTGAACCCAGGTCTAAACCAGGACTAAAACCAGGTCTAAACTAGATCTAAACCAGGTCTAAACTAGATCTAAACCAGGTCTAAACCAGGACTAAATCAGGATTGAACCAGGACTGAACCCAGGTCTAAACCAGGACTAAAACCAGGTCTAAACTAGATCTAAACCAGGTCTAATCTAGATCTAAACCAGGGCTAAAACCAGGTGTAAACCAGGATTAAAACCAGGTCAAAACCAGAGCTAAAACCAGGTCTAAACCAGGACTAAAACCAGGTTCAAACCAGGACTAAACCAGGTCTAAACTAAATCTAAACTGGGGCCAAAACCAGGTCTAAACTAGATCTAAACCAGGTCTAAACTAGATCTAAACTGGGGCTAAAATCAGGTCTAAACTAGGTCTAAACCAGGTCCATTTTTAATATGTAAGTAAGTAAAGTAAAAAGTAAAGACTGGGCTTTTAATTGTCTTTTAGCAAACAAAACATCTTGTGTGAAGATTTCCTGATCTTTGCTTCTCTATAGAAAATCAAGTAATCCAAAGTATTCAGATTACGTTACTCACTTTAAGTAATTTAATGGATTATGTTACAAACTACATTTTGGGGTATGTAATCTGTAATCTGTAGGGGAATACATTTTAAAAGTAACCTTCCCAACACTGAATATAGTCCATATTTTCTTCTTATATTAACATTATAAACATGATCAAATGCCTTTCTCCCTGGTCACTGAACAGCGTTAAAGGGAGAGCCCAGGCCTGTCCGCATGAGGAAAGGTACCAAACTGTAAACCTAAACTTGTGTGCAGACGTACAGTAGATGAGCTTAAAGCTGCTTTTGGAATGGCTTTGACCACACCGCCAGCTCAGACCATCCACACTGTTTGAAAGAGAATACCATCTGGATAGAGTTTGCTCAGATAACTTTCATTTAAAGACCTGATTTTTCCCCATATTTGATCAAACTTTGTCCTGCTCTACAGTAGTACAGATGTATTGGCAAAGCAGCTCAAAATAAGTCCGCTGTGTGCTCTCTGCATTTAATTATGAAGCGCTTTTTTGTAGTAATTAGCATGCTAGTTGTTTTAACGCCACTCTGGTCCCTGAGAGTTTTGAAAAGTGCTTATAAACTCTTAAACTTATAAATAATTAGGATGCTCAGAATCCACAAGGTAAGTGAGGAATAATTTTGAACCACTGCGAACTGTAGTGTAGTGAACTAGTTTTGTTTTTCATGTTTTCAGTAAAAATCATATACAGCGCTTTTAAACTGTCACCTTCACTAACATCTTGCAGCTCATGTAACACGCCTGATGCAGCATAAATAAGTGAATATAATTTTTGTACTATGTCTGACTCTGTGTTTCTCTTACAGAAGTGGAGGATCTTAAAGAGAAGGAGAAAGCTCCAGTAAAGAAAGGTAGCCTACTCTAACTATCTCATATCAAATTTGAGCATTACAATAACTTAAAATAATTGTACTTAGCATTTGAAACATTGCAGTAACATCACATTGGGGGTGTTCTACCTGTGTCTCTAGGTTGCACAGAGTTCCTTTAAATAGCTGGTCAATCATTTATAAGGTACCATGTTTTATTAGCCTACAAGTCCTTATTGGAATACTGGTGAAGTATTATAAAAATATTTGTGTAAAAAAATATAAAGTAATTGAGGGTAGTAAACATTTATAACCTGTGTATCATTTGTTCATTCGTTTTTCAAAATAAAACCAAAAATAAGAAAATGAAAAAAAAATATATATATATACAGTATATATATTTTCTTCATTGTTTATCTCCAAAACCAAAATGAAAAAACGGATAACGGCCGTTTCCGAGACTTAAACTGCGATGCCGGACTAAACCAGCACTGAACCAGGACAAAACCAGGACTAAGACAGGACTAAGACATGACTAAGCCAGGACTAAAGCCAGGACTAAACCAGGACTACGCCAGGACTAAACCGGTCTTAGTCCCGATCTCAGGTTTGGTCTGGTCTCTGTCCCAGTCTCATTCCTGGTCCTGGTTCCTGTCTGGTCCCTGTCTCTATCCTGGTCTCAGTCCTTATCACCCAACAGTCTAAGCGGCCGCTGACAGTCAGTACTGGTTCAGTCCTGGTTTAGTCTTGGTTTAGATCTGGTTTAGTGCTCTTTTAGTCCTGTTTTAGTCCTGGTTCAGTCTGGTATCGCAGTTTATGTCATAGAAACGGGAAATGACGGTTATTTGTTTTTTTTCCATTACAGTATTTATTTAAACACAAAATCGAAAACTGAAAAAACGAATCGTTATCTATTTTTTTATTTTGGTTTTGGAGACAAATAAAGAGAAAACTGCTGTTTTTTCAATTTCTTATTTTTGGTTTTATATTGAAAAATGAATGATACATGGAATATTTATACTGACTCAGGTGACTGGACAGTCCCAGTTTTGAGCCCTGTGTCCCCTGTCTCAGTGGATTTATCCAGAACCTCTGATTTGTCCCAGTTTTATACAAGAAATGTCCCAGGTGTCCCTATTTTTGACCAATCTGATCCCTGCCAACAATAAAGAGAGGCATAAATTGTCACTTGTTGCTTAAAAATGCCCAAAACACAAAGTAAATGTGACTATACTGACTCACGTTAGTGCCGAGTGCAGAACAGTTTTCCTTAATTACACAATCGTTTCACAATTTTATTATTACCAACTACCTCAGACTGGGGGTGTCTCAGTTTTTGATTTTGAAAAGCTGATCACCCTGAAACTTTTCAGTGACACCGAGCTGGTGGTGTCCTACATGTATCTGTATGGTAGAATGTTCAACAGGAGACACAATGCACACTGTCATTAGCAAACACTCTTGAAAAAGTTTTAAGACAGTCAGAAAACTCAAGAAAAAATACAAAATGGATTTAATCAGCGCATTTTCAGGCGCCTGTGATCAAAACCAATCTCTATGGTCCTGTTTAAGTTTGATTTTCAGCAAAAAGGTGAGAGTGACTGACTGAAAAACTGTTTAGATTTTGTTAACACAAAGCTCAGATTAAGCAAATTAATTAATGTACCACACCACCAAGCTGTAAAGTATCAGTACCCCTCTATGTATTATTCAGGCTGCACCACATATCCAGATGGAGACAGAATAATCCAAACGTATCCACATGTAACCTACTTCTGTTTTGTTTGCACTGATCCTGTGAACAGCAGCTGCCGTGACTATTGTTCATTAATTAGGTCAGCTTTGTCACTCCGATGTCACTCCGAGGAAGAATGAACATTTGTGATTTGTGTCGTCCTTAATTGTTTTATTGTTCTATGGTTACATTATTTAGATCACGTGAAGCGTCTATTAGCTGATCTGAGAAGAGGTACAGCTTTCAATAACAGTAGGAGTGCACTGTAGCGCTTCCTAATGGCTAATGGTGGTACTGCAGTTACATGCTTCGTGCTAAATTTGCTTTAACCAAAAATGTCATGGCATTTTGTCTAGTAAAAAATCACAGAGCTTTGTGAGTAGTGGACGTGTTATGAATTACAATTCTGGCTGATAAATGTCTAATATGATTTGTTTTTTCTCCTTTTTCAGAAAAACTAATAGAGAAAAAGAAGTCCAAGGAGGAGAAAGGTAAGTTCAGTTAGTTATATGACTCTGAGGAAGGATCGCTTTTGTAGTAGTAGTTGTAGTACTTTTCCTCTACTCCTTGTCCGTCACGGCGATGTTATTGCTTTGCCTGGAATGTGCCATACAGGTGTTTTTATTTCTAAAAATACACTCTGACCTGTATCGTGTCCTTCGTGGGGACAAGCGCCACCGCACAGTTATGCAGTGCACCCGCCCATGGGTGAGTGACAGGGTGACACTGGGTCAAGTGGGAGAGTTGTCATCTAATAACCCAGATTCCCCTCTCGTCAGTTCATCCTGTCTTTCACTCTCCTGTGTGAATGTGCTGTGAGGGATCATCATCATTATTAGCGGGTCCCTGTCAGTCCCAGAGACGCTGTAATCTTCCACCACAGTCCAACACAGATAGATAGATAGATAGATAGATAGATAGATAGATAGATAGATAGATAGACGGAGAGATAGACGGAGAGATAGATGAATAGATGGATAGATAGATGAATAGATAGATAGATAGATAGATAGATAGATAGATAGATAGATAGATAGATAGATAGATAGATAGATAGATAGATAGATAGATAGATAGATAGATAGATAGATAGATAGACGGAGAGATAGATGAACATAGATGGATAGATAGATAGATAGATAGATAGATAGATAGATAGATAGATAGATAGATAGATAGATAGATAGATAGATAGATAGATAGATAGATAGATAGATAGATAGATAGATGGATGGATAGATGGATAGATGGATAGATAGATGGAAGAATGGATGATAGATGGATAGATGAATGGATGATGGATGGATGGATGGATAAAAAGAAGGATAGATGGATAGATGAATGGATGATAGATGGATAGATGGATGGATAAATAGAAGGATGGATAAATAGAAGGATGGGTGGATAGATGGATGTATGGATGTATGATAGATGGATGGATAAATAGAAGGATGGATAAATAGAAGGATGGATGGATAGATGGATGGATGGATGATAGATGGATAGATGGATGGATAAATAGAAGGATGGATAAATAGAAGGATGGATGGATAGATGGATGGATGGATGATAGATGGATAGATGGATGGATAAATAGAAGGATGGATGGATAGATGGATGGATGATAGATGGATGGATAAATAGAAGGATGGATGGATGGATGGATGGATGGATGGATGATAGATGGATAGATGGATGAATAAATAGAAGGATGGATGGATAGATGGATGGATAAATAGAAAGATGGATGGATAGATGGATGGATAAATAAAAGGATGGATAAATAGAAGGATGGATGGATAGATGGATGGATGATAGATGGATGGATAAATAGAAGGATGGATGGATGGATGGATGGATGATAGATGGATAGATGGATGAATAAATAGAAGGATGGATGGATAGATGGATGGATAAATAGAAAGATGGATGGATAGATGGATGGATAAATAAAAGGATGGATAAATAGAAGGATGGATGGATAGATGGATGGATGATAGATGGATGGATAAATAGAAGGATGGATGGATGGATGGATGGATGGATGGATGGATGATAGATGGATAGATGGATGAATAAATAGAAGGATGGATGGATAGATGGATGGATAAATAGAAAGATGAATGGATAGATGGATGGATACATAAAAGGATGGATAAATAGAAGGATGGATGGATAGATGGATGGATGAATGATAGATGGATAGATGGATGGATAAATAGAAGGATGGATGGATAGATGGATGGATGATAGATGGATAGATAAATGGATGATAGATGGATGGATGAATGATAGATGGATAGATGGATGGATAAATAGAAGGATGGATGGATAGATGGATGATGGATGGATAGATGGATGGATAAATAGAAGGATGGATGGATAGATGGATGGATGATAGATGGATAGATGGATGGATGATAGATGGATAGATGGATGGATGATAGATGGATGGATGATAAATGGATAGATGGATGGATAAATAGAAGGATGGATGGATAGGTGGATGATGGATGGATAGATGGATGGACAGATGGATAGATAGAAGGATGGGTAGATGCCTTCCATACTGTGGGACATTCTTTGCAATGCAATAACATCTCCATGGAGACAAGCAGGCGGACCTCCCATCAGAAAAGATACAAAGTGCAGCATTTGATGAAGACTTGTGCTTGATCCACAAGTGAAATTATTTGGACGCAGTAACTCACACATCACATTATATTACAATAACACAGAATAAAAAAAAAATGTTTAAAAATTTGAATAAACTTCTAAATAAGTAGCAATAAAAAATAGCAAGAGATTGGAATCAATAAAACACAAATTGAACAAATGTATGTACAGTAAGTAAAAAACAAATATTGTAATATAAATACAATATACACAGCAGTAGCAGTAGCTCCTTATAAAACTTTCTCTAAGAATAGGTAATTAAAGTACTTCCTGCATGTTTTGTTTCCTGATACTGATACTTGACTTAAATAATTTATCTTTGCAGAAGAGAAGGTTCTCAAAGAAAAAGCTGAGCCCGTAAAGAAAGCTCCTAAAGAAGAACCTAAAGGTACTGCAGAGTCCTACAGTACACACTCACTCTAACTCTGACATGTACTGCAGTATTACAGTACACACTCACTCTAACTCTGACATGTACTGCAGTATTACAGTACACACTCACACCAACTCTGACATGTACTGCAGTATTACAGTACACACTCACACCAACTCTGACATGTACTGCAGTATTACAGTACACACTCACTCTAACTCTGACATGTACTGCAGTATTACAGTACACACTCACACCAACTCTGACATGTACTGCAGTATTACAGTACACACTACACCTGACATGATGGAATACATGTTTTATTGTTTTTGTTTTGTGTCTCACAGCTTCAGCACCAGAGAGCATCACAGTGGAAGGTAAGTGCACATTCTCCCCTCCCTCTGTTGGTGGGTGGGGCTGTGGGGGTTGTGGGTGTCCGTGGGTGGAGCTGTGGGTGCCGGTGGAGGGTGTGTCTGATGTTTTGTGCTGTTTCCCCTGTGTCTCCAGAGGATCTGCCCTACTTCCAGTGCTTCTTTGTGGACGAGGACGAGGCCCAGTTCCCGTTCTACTCCTTCTCCCCGCTGGTGTTCTGAGCGACCCAGGGGACTTCCTGTCATGTGACTGGGGCAGAGGAGGGTCTGAGGGGCTAAGAGGCTGGAGCTCTGAGCTGCCTCACCTCTCCTGTTTGGTGGAGCTCTCTCACACATACAGATAGTGTTGTTCTCTCTGTTTAACTGTCTGTCTCAAATGAGGTGCTCTTATCTATATGGAACCAGTGCACTTTGTCACATTACAACATTATTGAAACAAGTGCTAGTGTGATGCACAGGACAGACTTGAGTATCTGATTACTACTTGAAAAGTACGTGTATACCACGTTTGTCTATTTCCATATCAGGGTTTTATTTTTTTTGTTGTTTTCAGCACTCATTTGTACCTGTTTGTTTCGAAGGGAACAGCCATGCCTTGTATTTGAGAGCTCCCAAACATACCTGACGAGTCTTATGCGTGTGCACCCTGTGGCCTCTGGGGCAGGCACAGAGCTGTGCTGTGGTGCTGTGGAGCTCAGCTCAAGCATTCACTACATGATGTTTTATTGAGTCACTTAGAAACATGTGGCAAACAGCCACTCTGCTCTGCATTCTAATGTGGCCCTTTGTGCAGCCGGACACTGACACAATGTGAGTCTGAGCTGTTACAAACAGTGAAAGCATAGAGCTGGATCACAGCACTATTGTTTATGAGAGTGCAAAAAGACATTTAGGAAATGATGAAACTATATGGACCAATATGAGCAGTATGAGCTAGCCCTCTGCTCGTCCAATAGTACAGAAGAAAACATGTAAACAAACTCTATAACTATTTATGAAACAAACTCAAACGCACTGTTCTCGTGCACTGGCCACTGTTGTGTTCACACAAACACATGATTGATTTAACAGTGCACTCATAGTGCATACTGTACATTTGATTTAATTTTTTTGTATTTGAAATGATTTGTATTTTCTCCATGAGTGTTGTGTTTAATATTTATTGAGGACCTATGTGCAATAGTCTGCTGCACACTTTATTTAAGCAGTTATTGCCAGTTCCATTTGTAAACATGAGTTTGTTGGAGATTGATCATCAAATACATAGGCCCTCCCTCCCATTGTCAGGAGCAGGAGTGACAGTATAGGGGTCTGGTATTTCACAGGACAGGACCAGTCTGAGACAGAGGCTCTGCTGCAGGTCAGAGCAGCACAGAGCCAGTACATCCCATAATACTCTCTATGGACCCTGACCTGAGGAAACCAGACTGCTATACTTTAGTCTATTAGATGATCTCTGCTGTTTCAGCAGCACAGTTTGGGGTGTGGTAGTAGTTAATTTTAGATTTATATTAGTATTAATGTGTAATTGGCCTCACATCTCGTATTTATAAGTGATTCAAGTGAACTCCTGATAACAGGAGTCAAACCAGGTCAAAGAGATCTCAATGTTAAATCCACAGTCTAACAGGGTATGTGCAGTCTATTGTATCAGAGCAGAGCACAGTATGTTTGAGTGCATGCATGAGTCTTTAAATATGTCACACAGTTCTGTCAGTATCAGACGCCTGCTCTAAATTGGCTCTTCTGTTCCATTCTAATCATTGATATCATGTTCAAATTCGATTAAAATCAGAAATGTGCATGTTTCATAAGTCTCTGCTGTTTCCTTTAATGCTCACATTAAGACACTTAATGATTTACTCTAATAACTGTAAATGTGTTTGGAGGAAAGCAAACACAGATAGGAGAGGTTACATGGAGTCATTCCCCTGACGCAGTCGGCTCTGCCTCTGCTCCTCAGACACAGAAGATACAGTGTAGTTACAGCCACGGTCAGCTTTCCTCCTCCTCGACATTTCAGCTGCACACACCAGCCTTTGAACGCAACTTTTCTATTGTGCAAAGTTGTGAGAAAACCAGACATTTTGGGCCCCGTCTAAAGAAGCCCAGATTTGATTAAAATGAATAGACTGGCCCGGATCCAGAGGGGTTGAGTCCAGTTAGCAGGGAGCTTTTGTTACTACGCTCATTCAGAGGTGCAAACTCTTGGCAGCGGCGAGCATAGCAGACAGAGCACTCCCAGACCGCTCACACTGACGCTCACACTGCCCAGATTCATGCTGCGCTGTGGGAATGATGAAGGCTGGACAAAGGAGCCAGAGAATTCCCAAAGAGCTAGGCAGGGCACATACACGCACACAAGTGGGTAGAGTAGCCGAAAATTGTTCTAAAGTACGGGAATTGTTACTTAATATTACTCAAATAGAAGAGCAAAGTTGTGGTTCAAGAATTGACTCAAGTAAGTGTGAAAAAGTATTTGGGAATAGTACTATCCAAGTAAGAGTGAAAACATCTGCTTTAAAATTTGTTGTGAAAGGTCAAAATATAAAATAATGCACAAAATCTGGTGTCAAGAGTACTGTTTCTTTAAACCAAATATCGCTAAAGTAGAAGTACAAGGGAGTGGACAAAGACAATACTCAAAGTATTTGGTAACTTAAATCATATCAGAAAGAGTTGTGCAAGAAACACAAATGTTCATATTGTCAACAACTTTTGTCACTTGTAGACTTACTTTTTAATACATAGAGAAAGATTTCCATAAGTAATAATAGAAAAAAACATAACTTTTGCTCAAGTAAGAGGACTGTTACTTCAAACTAAATATTACTCAAGTAGCTAGTAATAGTAGCTGTAGTTTTGGTAGCCCAAGTAATGATTCAAGTAAAAAGGCACTTGGGAAAAGTACTACACAAGAAATTGAAAGAGAAACTGTCAGGATGAAACATCTGGTTTAAAGTTTGCTGTGAATGTAATTGGAAGGACAAAATATTAAATAATGCACAAAATCTGGTACTTTAAACTAAATATTGCTAAAGTGGAAGTACAAGGTAGTGGTCCAAGAAATTACTCAAAGTATTTGGAAATTGCAGTACTCAACTAAGGATAACTTCATATCTGAAGGAGAAGTGCAAGAAACACAAATGTCCATACTGTCAATGTCCTTTTGTCATTTGTAGACTAACTTTTTTACATATAGCCAGAGATTTTAATACGTAATAATACAAAAAACACAACTTTTACTCAAGTAAGAAGACTGTTACTTCAAACTAAATATTACTGAAGTAACTAGTAGTAGTAGTAGTTGTAGTAGTCCAAGAAATTACTCAAGTAAAAAGGCACTTGGGAAAAGTATTACTCAAGTAATTGAAAGAGAAACTGTAAGGACTAAACATCTGATTTATAATTTACTGAAACACAGAGTGGGAAGAGTAACCCAAACTTTTACTCAAGTAAGAGTACTGTTACCTTAAACTAAATATTGCTGAAGTTGAAGTACAAGGTAGTGGCCCAAGAAATTATTCAAAGTATTTATAAATAGTATTACTCCAGTAAAGGTAACTTAAGTCATATCTGAAGGAGCAGTGCAAGAAACACAACAACTCTGGTCAATAGTAGACTTACTTTTTATAAGTATATAGAGAGATTTTAAGTATGTAATAAGTAATAATACAAAAACACAGTTTTTACTGAAGTAGGCACATGAGAAAAGTACTACTCAAAAAATTAAAAAAGAAACTGATTTATAATTTACTGAAACACACAGTGGGAAGAGTAATCCAAACATTTACTCAAGTAAGAGCATTATTACTTCAAACTAAATATTACTCAAGTAGGAGTAAAAGTATGGTTAAAAAGGTTATTCAAGTAAATGTAACTGAGTACTATACACCACTACACACACAGGGAGGGGTACTTTTCTGGCCCACATACAAAGCTTTATTGACACACTATTTATAGTGCGGTGTACTACGGCACCGAGGGTGAGATAGTGACCTGTTTTTGCGCCCGGGGACTCACTCACGGTTGGTTGGTTCACACAATCGAATGATGCCTCTACGTAATGACACCACAAGTTAAAGCGGATTAGCCAGAGTGATGTCAGCGAAGACGAAGAAGAGGAGGAGGAGGACGGCGAGGAGGAGGAGGAGGGGGAGAAGGACGAGGGGTCACTACAGGTCATCCCTGGAGCTGCCCCGACCCGAGCCTGCAGCTGTCACCTGGGCCGGAGCGTACAGCCAGGCTCTGTTCCCACACTCGCCGTCACATAGACTAAAGAAATTCTGGGTTCACTAAAGACACGTCCTGCAGATCGGTCAGTCAAATAAAAAAGGAGGCGTGGCAAAAGCTCTCAAAACTTTTACATGTCTGTGTATCTACCCCCAAACAAGTATTTATGCAGAGAAAAGTACCAGAACTTTATATAAAGAATGATTTAACTTGTAAATCATGAGTTCAATCTGCCTAAATTCCAAAAATTAGGGATGCAACAATCAATTTTTTCAGTTCCGATAACAATACTTTGATTTTAAGTACCTGCTGATACTTGAAAAAAAACTGTGATTTACTATACATTATTATTATTACTAGGGATGTAAAAATAACCGAAATATTGTGACATCGTATTGTCAAAAGTCTCACAATAATATCGAATTACAAGTTCCTTTGCTTAAATACATGGTTTAATAGTAGCAACAACTAGTAGACATCAGGAACTACAAATCCCATGATTCATTTCAATGCAGACAACATGAAGAAATATGTTTTTAACTTGAATTTTTAGGATTCTGCCAGTAATAATTCACACCAGAATCTTGTCAATGTATTTCAAAAGCAAAAAAGTGTCCTATCTACAATAATATTAGTCTCTCCAAAGTATCGCAATAAATATCGTACCATGAAAATATTGTATCGAGAGATTTGGATATCATTACATCCCTAATTATTCCTGCTACAAGATATAATTGTGTTATGTAACAGCGATTTATCCTTAAAATAACTTCAGAACAGCTTTGTATGAATAAATGTTCAAACATTATGAGACGTTCTAGGCCAAAATTTGCCTGTAAATAGCTTTATTACATCCAATTAATGAATCGTTATCATGGAACTGATACCAAATCTAGCAATTTTTTCAGTATTGGCGCCGATATTTTATACCAGTATCGGTATCAGTGCATCCCTATAAAGAGAAAACTCTGCAAAGTCATTTGCTTCTCCTTTCTACTGTTGTCCACATAAATCCTTAATAGTAACAATCGAAAATAAAACAATTAGTTGACTAAGACTCCATCGACTACAGCCCTGACAGACTCAAAAGAGAGCAGAGAGTAAAAGTTTGGAAAAATGTGACTTTTATTAGCTGTTCTTTTGAGACAACAATGCGAACATTCAAACTGTTTAATTGGGAATGGGTTAAAAAAAATTGTTTGCAAAAAGGTGTTCCAAAACGGTTTTAGATCAGACCTTACATTCCAAATCGGATGCAGGTGCAGATGGTTATGCTTTCTCGTACGTGCGCACCGCCTGGACCCCCTCGAAAGATACAGTCTGGAAAACAAGCACAGGAAATCACATTTACACATTAAATTTTAGTTTTGTGATTACATGCCTGAAGGGCTGCAACTATCAATTATTTTCATAGTGGACGAGCCAGCAAATCATTTTTACAATATTATATAATACGATATTATCAATTTCAAACTGGATTTCGATGATACTGATACTCGACACCAATTTTGACAACACAATGAGGCAAAAAAAAAAGTTAGACAATAGAATTTTGTCATTTTCAACACAAAATAATAGTGCTTTGTTTAAGTTATCATGTGGTTCTCTACTGGTGTTGATAAAGTTAATATAGATTCGCATTTTTTCAGTATCGATACGTGTTAAATTGAGTCGATACTGGCTTTAGCATCGATTAGTGTCTGATTTTTATGAATAAAATGTATTATTGATGAAATTATGAACTTTTGATTTCATAATAGTACTGTCTTTGTTATAAAAAAGTATTTCTTGTATATGTTTTAGTGTCTGTCTGGCTCTGTTTGAATTGAATAAACATAACTCACCATAACCATCTTGCCATCTTTGATTTCTCTGACAAATCTGGTCTCTTTGTTGTCCCACTTCTGGACCTGCACGAACTTGTCTCCTTCCAACGTGAAAGTAGACTAAAAAGATTCAAATAAAAAGTTGTTAAAACGTTATAAAAGTCTCGATATCTGTCTGAGGTCTTGTTGATGGACTGACTTTGACGTGGCGGTCGTCGGGGGTGGTCTCATCGAACTCCTCTCCCAGTTTGGCCGACAGCTCCGTGTTCCTGAAGGTGCTCAGGGTCTTCACCACCACCTTGTCTCCGTCCTGGCTGATCACCACCGTGGGCTTGGTCACATTGCCCACCTGCCTGGTCGCGAAGCCCACCCCTGCAGCAAAATCATTACAACAGTCTTCATTTGGCAAAAACATGTGATCAAACTTAAAAAGAGTTAAACCTCTGAAAGGATCTGAATTATTTTTTTAGTTTTTTTTTTACCTAAAACCTCTGCATAGATTTGAATTATTTATGTTTTTCTTTTTATAATTTTTTTATATTGAAAATCTCTACAGAGATATGATTTTTTTCTATTCTATTTGGATTTTTAAAATTTTAATATTTATGTAGATTGTGTTTTTATTTTTATTTATTTATTTATTTTTTAACAAATATGCAGTAAAATGCAGAAATAAGGCCAGGGATGGGTATACACTTCTATTTTAGACACATTTACACAGTGAATCGGTAAAAAAAGAAGTGTTGTTGGTGTTTAGTGACTCTTTAACACCTCGACATGGAATTTGAATTATTCTTTTAATATTCTATGCATTTATTTTTTTTATTTTAAACCTCTGCCTAGATGTTAATTGTTTATTTATTCATGTATTTTCTCTATTTATTTAATTTTTACATGAGAAATTTGTATTACATTTGATGAATTTAGCACTGAAGACGAAATAATGTATGCTAGTGTGCACATGCATGATAACAAGCAATGAATGGACAGTCTTGGGCTAATAGTTAAGATAATAAAAACAGTGTTATAAAGTTAAATCAAACTTACCCAGTGCCTTCATATATTCGTCAAAGTTTTGGCTGTCGATGAGTTTCCAGGTGGCGCAGAAAGCCTCCATTTTTGTGCGGGGAGAAGTGTTAGATTTGCGGGGTTTAGATGTGAGAGGTCGCGGTGCAGACGGAGCCGAGCAGAGCCGCGTCCAGCAGGATTATAATGACCAGGGGGCGGGATTACGGGCCCCACGCTGCACGCTCATTGGACAGTTCAGTCTCATGTCCGGCGCTGATTGGCTACTGAAAAATCAGACGCTCCGCTTTTGTGTATTTGTCAGGTTTTGTGAGGGAATTTATTTAGGCGAGTTAGTTAAGGACAGGGGTCTGCAGGTTCGAGCTCTGTCAGCTTTTTAAAGGCCTGTAGCAACCGATAAATAATGTTATAACGGCCAATAACGTAATCATTTGGCCAAGCTTAAATGCAATAAGCCTGTAATGTAATAACAGGCCAATAAAGTAAAAACTACTAACACGTTGCCATCAATTACTACATTATTGGACACAGTTATTACATTATCAGAGAAAATTTTCCTTGTCAGGCCAAATATGTCACCAGCCAATAATGTAATCACTTATTAGAGTGTGACAGTGTTTCTCAACTTGTGCCACTGGTGGTACACAGGCTCCTTGTGGTGAGTTTGCCTAATTTAGAGTTCATTTTATCCACTTTCTTGTCCTCCTTTGCAGAGGCGGTTAGCCTGATTCACCAGCCGGTTTCACTTCGTAGAAACCGTCTGACCTCGCAGCATTAGGATTCGTTCGCTCGAGGGTAGGAGGGTAATTTTTATCATTTAACCAATCGTTGCTATTTGGTCGTGATGTATGTAATGCACCACTAATGGGGCTAACTGTTGTATTAAGCTTTTCCATTAACTCGTAGGAAGAAGGGCAATAACATCTTTCTCCTGGATCAAATTCACCAAACACTCTCTTTGTTTCAGCTTTAAATCCTCAATCTTGGGAATCATTGACAACACAGAATATATGGCTTTTCGCTGATTGCCTGGTGCCTGAACTCGCACTTTTTGCAAACCGTCTAATGTATTCTGATTCCTGACCTAGTCGCTGGAGAGAAATTAAATTGAGTGGAGGCACTAGGTGGCACCAGCCTGGCTAAGAGGTGGTGGTACCATTAAGCAATAGTCGGGCAGCTGAACTTAGGGGCTCCCGATTAATTGCCTTTTAGGGCCACTAATGGTTTCAGACTCATTACATATTCATAATCATAATAAATTTGAGTACTTTACTTTTAAATAAGAAAACACTCTCACATTAACATCGTATTGTCAGAGCTGTAGCTATCCATCCAGACTCTGTGCCGGCAAAATTGAGGACCAGGACACGACTATCGTACAGCAAGCACTTATTGTTTATTGTCAAATCCATTCAGGTTAGAATGGATTAGTCCATGACAGTGCACTGAGTGGGAGGGGCCCTGCGTCCTTCCTTCCTTGCATCCTTGCTTCCCTGTGTCCTTCCCTCCTTCCCTCCATGCCTTGCTGTCCTTTTAATGCTGCCAGAATGAAATATGTGAAAGAGCTACATAGATAAATACTAAATACTAATAATATCCATCACCTCCCTTCTAACACCAGACACAGAGAATCTGGTGAACAAAGGATTTCTGGTAGATGAACTGGTGTGTGGGAAAGTCCATCATCCATCCTTCTTGTCCAGGCAGGCACAGATGCTCGAGGTGGATGTCCTTAGGTTCATTGCTCGGCCAAGGGTCCATGTGGAGAGGCTCAGGAGAACAAACTTTTTGTTTCCGTCATCCCTCTTTCCTTTTCCTGGAGTATAAATCAAACTTTTGCCGTTGTATGTCTCCTCACAAACTACCAGTATGAGCCACTGGTCAAAAAATTGGTGTTTTCCTAAAGGTTTGTAGGTTGGAATGTGTTAAAAGTCAACTGAAGTGTGTTTGAAGAGCAAAGCTGCAGGATTCAGGATATTTAGTTTAAACATTGGGGAGAGCAGGATGTAACAGCGCTGGTTTCAAGCTGTTACATGTTGCTCTCCCACAGGTTTAAACTAAATATCCTAAATTGCAAAATCTTCTTAGTTCCCAGATCTTCATCTCTTCAAATGCACTTTAATTGATTTTTAACACATTTTCTTACAATATTTCAGAGAAAACAAAGAAATGGTAATTTAATTGACTGTGTACTGTAAATCTCATGTTGTGAAATATATTTGATTAAAAGTATAAATGTAGTAGTTCATATTTTTGTCTTCTCTCAGATGTTTATGGCTGGTTGTGTGTTAATCAGATAAATCTTAACTATAATCAGCTAATAAGTTTTTTTTTAATATATATATATATATATATATATTTTAACTGTTTATAGTCCAATCACTTTATGAGGCAGTACTCCCAAACAGCATCTGCCTCCAGCTCCAAGCCTCTCTTCATCTCTTCTTCGTCTGGTGTGTATCCTTTAGGATGCATCCAGCAAGAAACTCTTCAGAGGCCTCTCCCACGTAACACACTTCTCTAAAATGTGAAGCTGTTACCCATGGTCTTTGAAGGTTGTGCCATTAAGGTTCCTGAGTTTGCCATTTCCAGGGTTGTCTCCAGACTGTGTAGATGAAGCTGCTGTTTCCTAGAGCGCACAAACGTGTAATCTGACTGTTGAGGTCTGTAGTTCTGGAGGAGAAGAAGCACCATGGAAAGTTTGAGCTTTCCTGTTTGCTGGCTACTGATAGGAGAGCAGACTTCCTAATTGCACCTTGCCAAAAACTGAGTCCATCTGGGGCACATCACCATTGATTTCCATGCTGCAAATCATGGGACGGTCAACAGTAGAGAGGTTTTTGTACATTTCTGCGACGTCAGGGAGGTCCCCACAAACACCTTTGTACAATGTGCTCCTGGAGGTAATGAAAAAAAATTATACAAATTTAAATCAACAAGTAGTGAAAGCTTTATGTAGTGACTTAATTATTGTGACAACAGGACAAAATATTTCAGTCCATGAAAGAAAACCTTTGAGATGTTTCATAGAGATTATTTAAATCTGACGGATGCTGATATTAATGTTGCTTGTATCTTAAATTTACAGTCACTAACTACGTGACATCAGCTGCCCAGCCTGCTTTCTTTCTCCAAAATCCTGCCCTATCAGCATTTTTTAATCAAGATTGCAAGCACTTACCCTCTGTGGTCTTTCTGGTCGTAGGTTTTACAGAAGGCACTGCCATTTTATCCACAGGACCAGGCCTTACTCCTTATTATAATATGGTAACGAAGGATTGTTTAAAGGTTTTGCCATGAGGTAACAACACTCGGACATGACTAAAAACTCACAAAACAGAAATCATAGTGGTACTGCTCTTTAATATAATTGTATTTAAATTGATAAAATATTGTATGGATAACATGTATTACTTTTTACAGTCTGCAAACAGGAACATTTCTTGGCAGCATGTTACTGTCCATTATCCTTGTAGGCGCTTTTCACAACGTTTCAAACTCAAAATTCTTGGCACAGACTAAGGCCAGATCAAAATTTAACAAAATCTGCAATTAAAAAAGAAAAAAAAACAAAATGCAACTCTCAAACAAAATACACAACACATTACCGTTTAGGTTTACACAACGGATTAACAGTCACCTTTCGGATCATTTAAAGATGCAATACGTCACTTTTCAGGAGGGGAGTTTGCCAGGTGCGAAATGCTTTTGCTTTGTCTGGAATGTTCCAAAGTACGGCATTAAACAGATACACTTAAAACTTTATAATTGAATACTTTGTTATGTTGCTAAAAATAAATACTTGCATTCTTACTCCACAGATCTGACCTTGTCTCTGTGGAGTTTAATGTCAAACTGTGGAACATTAGAGACAAAGCAGCAACATCTCCACGGAGACAAGCAAGTGGTGGGCCTTCCTCCAGAAAAGTGACCCAGTGCGGCTTTAGAAGAAAAGAAAAGAGAGGGAGAAAGAGAGAGGTAGTGAGGACAGAGCTGCTCTCAGACTGCTCTGGTTAAGGCCATGTTCTCCCTTTAGTGCAGTGCTTCTCAATTAGTGGGGCGCGCCCCCCTGGGGGGGCGCGAGGCTCCGTCAAGGGGGGCGCGTTTGACCTCGGGGAGCATGCTTTTTTATTTTTTTATTTTGATTTTTTTTACTGTCTTAAGGGCCGTTCACACCAACGCGTCAAAAAACGCCTTGACGCCTCTATTTGGAGCATTTGCATTTGAGTTTAGACGCCCCCCGACGCGCATCTTTGACGCCGTGGACGAACGGGACAAAAATACTTGACGCGCGTCCGTTGCCCTGGAAACAAGAGCCCGGTCCCGCTCTTTTCCCGAAACAATGTCAGACCAGACTGAGAGAGTGTTTTTATGACATAAAACATCAACGGAGGAGATCGGGTCGACGACTGGGGCGTATATATATTTCTACTCCGCTAATGACACTGGATCAGTCCCGGTCTAGTCCTGGTCTAATACCGGTCTGGTCCCGGTCTAGTCCTGGTCTAATCACGGTCTAGTCCCGGTCTAGTCCTGGTCTAATCACGGTCTAGTCCCGGTCTGGTCCTGGTCTAATCACGGTCTAGTCCCGGTCTAGTCCTTGTTTAGTCTCGGTCTAGTCTCGGTCTAGTCCTGGTTTGGTCCTGGTCCGGTCCTGGTGTAGTCCTCGCGATCGGCTCGGTGATTGTGGCGTATATATTTATTCTCCGTTCATGTTTGTGGTTCTCGTTCTGGTTCTCGGGTCTTTCTTCCTGATAATAACGTCGCTGCGTCACTGGATACTCGTCCCTGATTGATTGACGCGGCTCGTCTGACGCGAAAAGTTCAGCATTTTCAACTTCTTGACGCTGACGCCTTGGACGCGCGTCTTGGCCGCTGACGCCAAAACGCTGAAGACGCGCCGCGCTGACGCCAGATTCGCGCCGCGCTGACGCCGTAAACGCGCTGGAAAAAACGCAGGACGCTCTAGTCGCGCGTCCACATAGACTTTACATAGAAAGTGGACGATTTGACGCTTTGGTCTGAACAGGCCTTTAGAATAAAGTGCAATTGCACTTCCACTACATTAGGGGCAGAGCGCTCTCATTGGCAGAGTGTGCGCAGGGAGCATTCGCTCGGTGGTGTAGGAGTTTTGTTTGCACTGAGCATGCGCGCTTTGCACACAGCACAGAGTTTGAGTATGAAGTATAGACACGAAGTGTAGCAGACCCTCAAGTGACACCATGAAAAAATATTTAACAGGGATGAGAAGACAGGCGGAGAGAGTCGGAGATAAAGAGACAAACTTTGTGACTGCTACTTCAGTAAACCAGCGAGCGTTGTTGGCGTCATATAAGGTGGCAGTGTTACGCACAGGTGTACTTATAACAATTTTATAGACAAATTATACTATCTATAGTCACGCGGGGTTGGGGGGGGGGGGGGGCGCGAGATGTTTTATTCGTCCTAGGGGGGGCATGACAGAAAATAATTGAGAAGCACTGCTTTAGTGGAACAATTAAACATATACTTTTTTAATCAAAGTGCACATGACAGGTAAGACTAATCAATTCAGTTAGTTAACGCAATATTTTTTAATGTTTTGGGTCATAACCTTACTTCCTGGTAGGACACAGGCAGCAAATATGGTAAAACAAAGGCCAAAACTTATGATTAGACCTGTATAAATAAATTACAACACCTTTATTTTGGTAAAAGAAGGTTTAAGGTTTCTTGTGCTTATACTGTCCCTGCATTTTGTTGATTTTGTTTTAGAAATCAGCCCTGCTTCGTGTATTTTTGTACTTTTCTTCTTAGTTAAGTGGCAGTTTCTGGGAGAAAAAAAAACACAAAACTGATGTAAAACTATAAATATTGACCACAGGTATTACCCCACCAAACTAAATCAAAATGAGAAAAACATGAAAACCTGTCATATGCGCTTTAAAAGATCTTATAATGGCCATCCTCATTTTCATTTATTATACTTATACTAAAAACAACAAAAACATGACATTAAAAAGCCATTAAACACCATCCTGAAGCTTTACTCCGTCCCTAAGCAAAATCTGAAAAATCCTCCAAAGTGGGTGATCGTGCTGGAGGACTGACAACTGACAACACGGCGTAGACCGGTGTGTTTCATACTTTGAAACAGAGCGAACATTTGTGCTTGGATCATGCCGTTTCCCTTTTGTCCCGACACGGCAGGACATCGCGGGGCTGAGAGGAGCTCCCCACGTCCCGCCCGTAGACACCGGTGGCAGTCCTTGTCACGCAATAACCTGCATCTGACTCACTGGCGCCCGTTAGTCCAAGGGGTGTGCAAAAAGATCAAAATATCAATATATCATATCGTTTAATGTGATGATACAGTATCAACATCATGGGCTGCTGTATCGATATATCGTATTTTTTGGCTTATTTTACCAATTATTTGTTACAGCGCTACAGTTTTGTTGCGGAAAGGAAACTCGTTTATGCGACACATTTAACATTTTCACTGTTTTCATGATTAAAATCGGTGAGTTTCATATTCACATTGCACAAGAAGTAGTTTAACAAAGACATTTAGTATCACAGCCATGATTTAGGTTTTATTTTGACTGAACCGTATCGAATCGATTTGAAATATATTCATATATATATATATATATATATATATATATATATATATATATATATATATATATATAATATATATATATATATATATATATATAATATATATATATATATATATATATATATATATATATATATATATATAATATATACGAACTGAAAGTGCGCTGTATCAAGATGCGTATCGTATCGTGGCTTATGAATCGAGGTATGTATTGTATCGGCAACTTCTTAATGATACTCAGTCCTAGTTAGTCCGACCCAAAAATTCAAATGTACTGGCCGTAGTTGATCCTAAAGAGACCGTTTACAGACACGACTTTGACCCAAAAGTCAGATTTTTTACAAATATGCACTAAAAATCCCAAAAAAGGCCAGGGGTAGGTGTACATTTCTATTTTAGACCCATTTACACAGATAATCATTAGGAAAAAAAAGTGACTTTGGTGTTTAGTGGCCCTTTAAAGTCTGATAATGGCAGCAGGTACAGGTACAAATTTGCCCCACCTGGCAACTTTTACAGTATTTGAATGAAAAAAAAAATTACCCCAAAATCTGAAGAACAAAAACCATAACAAAATTAAATCACAGTGTTTGGTAGAAACTTGTGTCTATAAATGTGTTCTTATAGTATACAAGGTTTTTGCAAAAGCCAAGATGTTACAAATAGAAATATTGCATAGAGGAGCCCATTATATACAAAATCGAGTTGGGGCTTCCCTCTCTTGTGACAGTATTGACTTCATATTGATGCTGTGTGGGTGCACTGGAGGCAGACTGCTATCTGAACTCCCCCACGCTGATCGACAGTCCCACTTCTGGCTTCCTGGCCTTGGGTGGTCCACCTTTCTTCTTTTGCTCAGTGCAGTTGAAGCCTGCAGCCTGGTCTCTGTAAGGACAAAAAAATACTATTTGATAGAGTCTATTGAAATTATTATTAAAGTGTCTGTATTATGTTTAACTGACTTTTTGATCTTTAAACGGTGGTGTACACTTGTTGTTTTTAGCAACAAGCATGAGTGAAACAAAACGTGTATGGTTAGTGATGCTGGAGCATTGTTTGTGTGGATCAATGCATCCCTATAAAACTCTTCATAACGAGTCTGCTCTGCGTACACAGGACACCATGTGCCTTTTTCTCGTCTCTCGCTGTTTCCTTTTGGTGTTAATAAGGTAAAGACTACAGGTCTTTGTGCAGGTAACACATGCAACTATCACTACGATGTGTGTCAGAAAGAACATGTTAATTATTACTGTCATACTCGTCCATGCCTAACTTAGGACCTCTATTTAGATTCAGTGGGGACATTCAAGGTACGTACAGTGAGTACAGGCATACTCCTGATATAACCTGCACTCTCACTGTTACTGTAATCACAAATGAGCCTGTGTTGCTAGAGCCTTAAACTGCAGATACAGGACACAACTAAGTTTGTCTCATTGCCAGTTTATGGACAGACCAGGCCTCATGTGAAAGGCCAGAACCTGCAGAATTCACTCACTGAGATGCTTTTTTTGTCTTATCTGGCAACCCAAATGAGAGATTTAATTGTGGTTCATTTTGCTTTTTGATTGGACAATCATTTTGAGAATGGAAACACCAAAAGGGGGCATCAAATCCCAATTATTTTGTAAATAAAGAATAAAGCAGCTGTACAATAGTTACAAGTATAATCGTATAAACTGTAACAAATAACCCTATGTCCTGTAAATCCTCATAATTTTTGCGCTGTCTTCCTTATGACCTCTTGTTTATATGTGAGATTTTTTTATTACCTATTTTTCTATTTTATTTTGATTTGTACATATATATTTATATAATTATGCCTTATTGGACACTTGTCTCTTACTATTTTTACTCTTTGTTATTATATTATATTGTGATTTGTGAGCTACTGTGTCCAAATAATTTCCCTTGTGGATCAATAAAGTTTGTCAAAGTCTTGGTCTAAGTTATAACTCTATTTTGGTAATTCGGTAACATTTGTGAAATTTTATGTACAAATTGTAAATACATTCCCTTTAACCCATTTAATAAAACTAATGTTAAGGTAAAGTGTCCAAAATGAAACACTTTTAAAACAATAGTTAATCTAAAGAAAGGAGGACTGACCCTTTGTTCATCTGTGCTTGTTCTCGGAGCCTCTGCTGACACAGTCTGTCCTCCACGGTGCAGAAGTCCCGGTTGTTGTCAATCAGCAGATTCTAGGAGGAAGAAGGTAGCACGGTTACATGGCCACATTATAGATCCAGTGTAAAAGTCCTATATCTCTGCAAATGGACACGTGGACCAGGAGTCGCTCTTTGGAATACCTTGACGCCGATGGTGTCTCCGTCCATCAGATGAAAAGGCCCTCCCAGTAAGGATTCAGTCCGCTTTTTCTTCTTCTTTTTGGAAACCTGCTGATTCTAAAACAAAGATCACAACGATTGAAATAAAAAGGACATAACAAATATTAACAACATAAGCAACTAATCAGATTAATCTCAACAAAACTATCATTGAAATAACAGGAATTACATCAAAATTAAACAAAAAACATTCTGTCAATTGATAAACTTAATCCAAATGACATTACTTAAAGCTTCCATCTGTAATTACAGTAGATTGGCCGGCCGCCCCTGTTGCATTCTCACACTTCACCACTAGATGCTCTCGATGGTATGGTATGTTTATTTGTACAGGGACAGTGCGCAATGATTTGGGATGTAACGATAACCGAAATATTGTGATATCGTATCATCAGAAGTCTCACAATAATATCGAGAGCTGCCACAATATATCAGTTTAAATGTTCCTTTGCTTAAATGCATTGTTCTTTAGTAGGAGCCGCTAATAATCATATGGAACTACATATCCCATGATTCATTTCAGCACAGACAGCATGAAGAAATATGTTTTTTACTTCAATTCTTGAGATTAACAAATAATAAGACCATAATAATTCACACCAAAATATTTTCAAGGTATTTTAAAAGCAGAAAAGTGTCCTATCTAGAAATATATTAGCCTCTCCAAAATATCGCAGTAAATATCGTACCGTGAGATTTGGATATTGTTACATCTCTAACAACAATACTTTTACCAAGACAGAAGTCAAAGGAAAGATGCTGGTGTCAGGTCATAGCACAGATGCTCATTTACACCTGTAGTCGCTGAGCAGGTTGAAGAAGAAAACACACACTTCAGCTGCTACCAGATTTGTGTCATCTCGGTTTGTCGTTACGCCACGGACACAAACATGATACACATTTTTTCACGTTTGTTCTATCGATAACTAAGCAGCAGCTGGAGAATTCTATCATCGCGCTTTATGTCTGTTGGCTGAGGAGGGGAAGGGAAGAGTATTGGAGAAGGGAGGAAGACAAACTGAGTCAACGGCCCACTCCCACATCCCGCTCGAAAATCCAAAGAGCAGTGGATGAAAGTCCGAAGCCAGGACTGGTGGAGCCAGATTGTCCGGATCGCATCAGAAGGGATTATTTTTAAGAAGAATAAACGTTTACATGATAGAGGAATAAATTAATTTGGCTTTAAAATTGGAATAAACCACCCACTTACTTCTGAAATAAGTTTAGTAAAATTTCATTAAGAATTAAGTGTTTACATGGTCTTTTTAAAGCTGAATAAATTTTTATTTAGAGTTAAATAATTTTTATTCAGAATTAAAGTTTTCATGTAAACGTGGCAAATATCTATCCGCATGAAACTGGCACAAAGTTCAATGTCTTTTTTGTCAGTATGAATAAACAAAAGTGAAATAATGGTTTCACAATAGTTTTAGAAAACTGAGCCATTTAAAATGACAACTCTGTGAAGCCAGTCCCAAACAAATAATGATACGGTTCAACATTTGTGAATCATTAGTTTGGATATTTCTTGCAGAAGCAGTGAATCGTTCATAGAGTTACTGTATATAACCACCTTATACAATTCTACAGCATGAACGCAACCAACATTTTATGATTTTGCAGAACAATGTGTCCAACTGACCCATGAAGAGATCTCCTCCCAGGTGTGTTTGTCGGGGTGAAACTTGGCGAGGAGCAGAGAGTCTGGGGACAGTCCGTAGTGCGAGGCCAGGCAGGAGCGCAGGGAGCGAGGGGACGGGTCTTTAGAAGCATCCCAGAGCAGCTCCTCTGAGGGGTAGTACCGGCCTTCACCAGGAACGCCCATCTTCACACTCAGGACCACCTCTTTGGGCCTATATCAACACCAACAATCACACATGAGCATGAGTTTTCAAAAGATAATTCTAACTTTATGATTTATGTGAGATCTTACCCAAGGTTTTCCTCTTTAAAGAGCTGTTGAATGCAGAGACTGGTCCCACCGGTTATCTTCAGCTTCCTAAAATAAAACCAAAAAAGAAAGCCATGTAGATTTTAAAAGGTAAAAGCTGGTTTAAACTTTTGGAGTTGGGTCCTTATCTCCATGAATATGTTGCTGCTTTGCCTGAATGTTTCACAATATGGCATTAAACTTCATTGCTCAGAGACTTTCAGAAACATGTGATTGTTGTTGCTTCTCCACAGATCTGACTCGCCCTATGGTGTCACTTGCTTGTCTCCATGGAAATAGATATTACACTGCGGAACAGGACTAACTACATAAGACTAATTAGTTCATTATTATATCGAAGAACTCACTGGGAACATTTGTTATGCGTACGAAAACTCCTACATTTCTAGACCTGCACCAGTCTAGCTTTTTCAAATCCAATACCAATTTTGACCATTTGACTTTAATTATCTGCAAAGACCCGTTAAACAGATACCACTGCAGATACTAACAATTATATTTATTTCCTTAAAGTGACAGTAGGAAACTATCTGGCAGTTTAAAGTCAGCTCCAAGCCAGCTCCTTCCAAGGAGATAGGAAGTTGAAACCAGACTTCAGAACATTCTTCAAGGAGATAAATAAGTGTTACGCCAGACTGTGGAATGTTAAAGCCAAAGGAACAATATTTCCAAAGAAACAGAAGTACATTATTGTGAAAACATCTAACATTGCTCAGAATGTAACACTCCTCATTTTTGTGCAAAAATGTAACATACTGTGGTAGGGTGGTTCAAAAATGTTTTTTTTTTTTACATTCCTCTAGACTACAACTCTGCATTTGGTTCCATATCTGGCTAAAATACTTGGGTCCAAATTTAATGCAAATTTGTTGATATTTAGAGGTTGCTTAAGACTTGAAAACTGCCCTATAGAGCCTGTACATAGAACCAAATAAATAAGGCTTATTTAAATAAGATGGCATTTTATTCTGCAAACACAAACTGAAACTTGCATAAAAGTTACTTAGACAGTCCAGCTCCACTGTGGCTTTGTTGGCGTCACAAAAGCTGTGTCTGCATTCTTTGACAACCTGCAGTAGATATTGTTTCTAATCTTCATTCTTTGTTCGGCTACAGTTAAAATCTTGAACAAGCTTCACTCCCTTTCAGCAACATCATGGACAACGTTCCTGGAATGCACAATTTTAGCTCCTTCTGAAAGTCTGCATCATCAACGCAGTGATGAGGGAATTGTTAAAAACTATTTTAGCAGATCAAGAGCATCGAAGAAACGCATTGTGCTGGTGGTGACAAAATCACTGATGTGCTTCTCTTCATAATCTGCTTGATTAAGGGCATCGTACTGCTTTGGTGGAACCTCTGAACCTTCCTTTTCCATAATATTGTGAACAGTCAGCTTCTTCTGTTCTTCTGTCACTCTGGAATCAAAGAATGCCAGGCCAAGCATTTCTTCACTCAAGTGTCGGCCTGAAGATGTAATGACTGCTTTCTTGACAACTGAATTTTCATACTGTGACAACTTCATGCAACTTGAGCAACCTCTAAAACATCCCATTTTTCTTCAAAATTTCTTCCTAAATCATCTTTTGGATGTTAAAACCTAATGCAGGGTTCTTATCAAGGTTATCTGACACTTTACTTTTTACCATGCTTCTGATAGACCACCCTAATACTGGGACTTAAAAACTAAAATAACACATGACAAAACTGATGCATAAATGTGTTGAGTAAAATTGAAATAGATTGAACAGAGCCGTATGGCATGTTAGAATAAAAATGTATGTGGTTGTTTAGATCTGGAGGTGCACCTGAGTGTGAGCTGTGGTCCCCTGAGTACCCGTGCCAGCTTCCTGCCCTCCAGCTGCCACACTCTGAGGAAGGCACAGGTGGGCACGCACAGGTCTGAGAGGGCGGGGAGGGTCAGAGCCTGGACAGAGGGCGGGGTTATAACAAAGGCATTGTGGTTAACGTGGAAAAGGAGGGATGGGTCACAGAAAGCACCTGTGTTTTGAGGTCGTCCAGCGAGGCCTCGTCTGAGATCTCCACCTGCCCCACGTCCCTGAGCTCTGGGGAACTACAGCTGCACAGAGGGACGTGGTCTCCTCCGTTCACTGTCGCCTCTGTAAAGCCATTGGCAGTGCAAGGTCTGCTCTCACCCACAAACAACCACACACACAGCTTCAGGAAACCCTACAAAAGACACACAAGTACAAAAAGTTAATCACAGAGGTGGAAAGTAGCCAATTACTTGAGTACTTGAGCAGCTTTGGGTAATTGTACCTTTTTGGGTATATTTATAAACCTGTAATTGTAATTAACTATAGTTCAAGTCTAATTTGCCCTAATGCATGCTTGTTTCTTTCTTTACCCACTAACACACATAACAGCATCGCCTGCTTTGATTGGCCAAAGCTCAGAGACAGTTCAAGTGGTGAAGTTTTAAAAGAATGATCCAAAATGCCTCTAAAATTATGCAAAAGTGACCTGTAGCTAATACTTTGAGTAGGATTTTTCTTGCGTACATTTTACTGAGTACATTTTGGCTGCAGTACTTGTATTTAAGTAAATTATTAGTCAAGTAAAGGTATTTTTACATGAACAAAATAATATACATTTTAATTTAGAGCACGAGTGTCAAACTCAAATTCACAGAAGGCCAAAATTTTAAACTCAGACAGTCATGGACCAAACTAAATATTTACTGAAAAATTGCAACAACATCTGCATGTTTTCTCTTCTTTCGAGATATGTAATGTTAAACCTTTTCTTATTAAAATAAATGTTTGATAATAGTTTGTTTAAACATTGAATCTAGAACAAACATAATATAAAATAATAACAATATTTTAAATAAATAATGTCTCTATATCTGTAATCTGTAGCCGGGGGGCAGCTCTAATACATATTTGATATGATCTTGTGGGCCAAATATAATTACATCGTGGGTCAAATTTGGCCCCCGGGCCTGAGTTTGACATATCTGGTTTAGAGTATGTGTTTTTCGAGGAGGACCTTTGGAGGCAGCTGTCCTTCTGCAATGATCAGAGTCTCTCCGTTGCTTATCTTCAGATCAGGCAGTGGTGCATCCTGGGAAAAAAATGCATTTATTATGATCATGATCATTTATTCAAAGCTATTTCCAAATCAAGCACAAATAATTATTACTTATTGTGGTTGGATTTTTACCTGATTTTATTTTCTTGAAGAAGACACACTATGTTTTATTGTTACTTTGTTTTACTACACATGGTGATGATCATCTAACATGTTGTACATTGTAAACAACACTAAACTGATGTAAAACTGTTTAAGAATAGAAGTGGGACATCCGGTTTAAAACTGTAGAACTGACAGGATGTTCCGCTTGGGCAATGACATGAGATGAATTATTTTCAACCCAGTGTTCATGATTTGGAACTTAATTGAAAAAAACACACAACTAAGTACAGAATTGTGGACGCCTTGACAACAGGACAATACAGAAAACTCAAGCATGCATGAATAACTCGAAATACAACTCTAAGTTAAAAACAAAATCTAAAATAAATTCATAATTCTTTATAAATCAGTATTTGAAATGTGATTTGACACTTCAGTTAGTAAAACACCAAACATGTCATAAATAGAAAAGGCCTCACTTCATCCATGAGTGGTTCTCCGACCTCCTCACACCAGTCGAGGCGTCTCAGGTGCCAGCCCGTGCCTGCGACAGACAAAGTTAAGCTTAGAAACAAACTCTTCAAAACAAATTCAAATCAGAAGGAAATCAGAAGCTTTACCCTCCAGACCAACAGTATCCAGCATTTGCTTCAAACACTGTCAAGAAAAATGATAGTTTGAAATGTCATTCCTTTTAGCAAATAAATCTTCTTTGTTTTTGTCCTTAATTACACACCTCCTTGACAGTGCAAGTCTTTTCCACAATGATGTCCATTTCCAAACCAGCAGAGGGCGCCGCACCCACAGAAAAGTTCAAGAAGAGCTGCAGAGAGGATCAGAACATCAATCACTTACTTAATGCTTACTTAATGGTTTAAACCTACAAAAAACTTTCTGATGTGATCTAAATGGTCACCATTTAAACCCCAGCATCTGAAAGCCAATCATGAATCAGTGCTCGTGCTCAGGGAGTAAATTCTGGAGGTTCTGAGCTTTCACATGAGGCCTGGTCTGTCCATACTGAGAATGATATATCCTCTAGCTGCAGGTTAAGGCTCTTGTTAACATAGGTTCAGTTGTGATTGTACAGGTGCACCATTTTCTAAAGTGCACAGGCCACGTACAGTTCCTTTAATGTCAGTTTCATAGTAGTTTTCCCTCTTAGCGTGTGTGTCTAAACGTTGTGTGGTGTGACTGTGCAGCTGTGAGTACAAAGGCTTGTTGAGGACATAAATCCCGAGCACCTGTGAGGCCTTGGGGGCCCGTCCGCGGCACAGAGTCAGTGTGGTCATGAGCCGGACGCCCGCTTCACGCACACTCAGCTCCTCACACACTGCAACACACAGGGACAGAGAGAGAGAGAAAAAGAGAGCGTCATAAAATTTGAGAGGAGGATCAGAGCCAGGGGAAGTACCAGAACGAGAGAAGAGGGGAGGAGGAAAAGAGGAGGGGAGGGAGGTTTGACATGGAACAAACGACATGATACCTGGAGGCAGGAGTTTCCCCGTGCAGTCCACCTGTCTGAGGCAGTACTCTGCACCTGCTCACAAAAACACACGCAGGTTAGTGACATTTAGATTTCCTGCCATAAACGGGTATTTTTTTTTTTTCCCCCAAGTAGTCATGGGTTTGAACTTTTGAATACTTTATTCCCCAGAGAAATATACTTCTTTTAAATAGGTTGCATAATAAGTTGGGCACAAGCCTCTGTAAGTTTATGGGAGATTCACCATTTAAGATTCACTGCCTCAAAAACCAGATTTGATCGAAAAATACGGTCATTGCACAGCCTTAGATTTTACTGGTAATTTCTGACTATAAGTCGCGCTTATACTCCGGTGCGACTTATATATTAAAATGTTCAGACTGACAGTCGTGAGAGGGCGCTCTAGGCTTGTGTGTCAGTATCTGCTACTCTTGTACCACTGTCACTTCGAACTCTACTGCGAATGCCTCCTGCAGAAAAAGCCGCTGTCCTGCTGCAAATAGTGAAATATTCAGCCAAAAACGTTAATCGAGCAGCAGAAAGAAAGTTTGGAGTGAATGAGAAACTTGTGAGGGACTGGCAGAAAGTAGGGATGGAGAACCCAGCTTCACAGCAACCGGGCGAGTGCACCGTGCAACTTTGCTGGAAGTCACTGGATGAATCGACAAAGCCTGAACTTCAATGACAACCGAAACCATCCTGTTGGGATTCAGAACGGTGGGAATAATTCTAATAGGAACTGATGCCGAGTCTGACGACAGCTACGCAGAAGAGGAAGCGGTGCGCTGTTTACATCATGGATCTATGATTTATCTCCGGAGGTTTTGCAGAAGTGAAACCGAGGACGAAGAACTCAATTTAGTGATTTGGAGTGAGATCGTGAGTTTGGTAATGTGGTAATGCTTATATTCTGTTGTTTATGCTATAATTATCTGAATAACTGTTAATATGTTACATTAACATATTAATGCCTATTAAGCCTGTTGTTATTCCTATATATGTTTTTTTCTTTTTCATTGCGCATTTTTTGGCTGGTGCGACTTATACTCCGGAGCGACCTATAGTCCGGAAAATACAGTAATCAAATTTTGATCGCGATTTCAATTTATGTGTCAAACGATCTCCAAATTCATATAATCGAGTTGAAATTATTTAAAACTTAACAAAGTTTATTTGGGGATTTTTAAAAATATAAATAAGTATATTTATTTTATTTTTTAAACATAACTATTGTAGAACAGCTGGATATATATTTTATTTTGGATACATTTATGTTTTTCTATGCCTTATTTCATGTTCAAAATATATTTTATTAATTTTATGTTTTATACATCGCAAAACTGCTCTAAGGAAAGGTCTAATTTGAAGCCTATATTTATTCTCAGTTTGAAAGTTTTGTGTAAATTCTCAATAACAAAGAGAGAGAAATGCTGAATAAACGCATCGTGTAACCAAAAAATAATCGTGATTTCAGTATTGACCAAAATAATCGTGATGATGATTTTTTCCATAATCAAGCAGCCCTAGTCAAATCTAAGGCGTCATTATCAGAAACAGAACTGGATGGAGGCACTGGCCAGTGGCATCCTTTTGAACTTGTTTCACTCTTTTGAAAGCACTGTGATTTGTTTGTCTTTACTTCAGATGCCTTCACGGAACAAGTGATTTTTGACTTGCCAATTTTGTTTGATGGATGACTCTACTGCCACAAAGCTGTCTGGTATTTCTAGCTGACAAAGTTCAAAGGCCTGTACGTGATTTTAATGCATTTTTGTTAATATAAATGCTCTTTACATCGTCCAAAAACATTGAGACTATAAAATATAATCTGTTCATTTTACACAACAGCTTCTGCATTCTTACCTGAGAAAATGTAACTATCAGGTGCGTTTTCAAGAGTGAGCAAAATATAAATAGTAGCTTGAGACTGAAGAATTATAAGGAAACAATTACATGATGGCACGATTCCAGGCAGCTGTTCCTGTGTCATGGTGCAATCTGATACGGGCAGGGTTAAAAGTTCAAACTAAAACATGACTCATGGTTTGAAATTATGTTAACAGCCATTTAAATAGCGGTGAATAGGCCCACTGTGCAACAATATCTGACTAATGCACTATATGTACAGTGCTACCTTCCAGTGGCTTCTGCTCCAGCTCTTGTATTTTCTCCAGCGCCCTCTGCTTGACCTCCATCAGCAGCTGTAAACAAAGACATGTGCATTTCTGTTTTGCTTCAGCTTTGTGATAGCTTCAAAGTTTCAAAGCTCACAGTATTTCCTGTAGCCAGCACTTTGACTCTGTTAGGCTCCTCCTCTTTCTGACCGTGCCGTATGTTGGGCTGATGATCGACCTGAAGCCAGCGGCAGTCAGACGGCGTCGTCACGGTTACCACGTCTCCATTTAGAGTGAAAACGCTGCAAAAAGAAAAGAAAATGTGATGAAACATACAGCTATATTTTATGGCAGGTGTGAGCAATTATTTTTTCCATGGGGGCCACATGAGAAACAGAAAATATTGTGGAGGGCCGGGTCAAAATTCTTAACTCAATTCTGTATAATATTAATTGTATTTCTTTATAAAAAGCAGTAAGCAGCATTGTTCTGACGAGCTGGTAAGACTGGTAAGAGTAAATGTTATGACTTACAAAAACATGTAATTTAAAAAACACTTCTAAAATAAGAGCAATGCAGCTTTAGTCCATGCATGAGGTAAAATGATAAAATATGTTTTTTGTAATTCCAAATTAGGTTAAAAGAGCCGGTCAACTAAAGGGATGTATGTGGCCCAGGAGCTGTACAACGCCCAGGTCTGTTCTATCGTGTCTCGACAGCGGGACAGGGGCATTTCAGGTTAAACAAATGAAATCTGTTATCATTTCTCACAAAGATTAAAGAAATACGATGAGACATTAATGCCAGGTTAAAGGGCTGATATTATGCCATTTTCTGATTGCTGTTATAAAAAACAGACCCGGAGTTGTGTTTTGTTTCATTCACACATGTTTCACACTCTTGAGTTCTTCTCTCAAAATGAAAACACAATGTTTCACCTTGTGATGTCACGTACACAGCATGTGCTCCACTGTGTTTTAAACCTTCACTAGGTTGAATTATTTCAGCCCTGGAATGGCCAATCTCTGTTGAACTAAAGGTAGCAGTAGCTGTTAAAAAGAAAAGTACCACTACACAAGCTCCTGAAATGCATTTGTTTGTTTTGTTTAAATCCATTTTGTATTTTTTTTCTTGAGCTGTCAGATGATTTTAAAACTCAATCGGCCGTGTTTGCTAATGTGTGCACTCTCCATGGTAACTGGTGAGTAGGGCTGGGTATCATTAAGAAGTTGCCGAAACAATACATACCTTTCGATTTGGTACGATATATTTCAAATATGGTTCAATAAAAAATAAAAGGCTAAATCATGGCTGTGATCTTTGTTAAGCCACTTCTTATGCAACGATAATATGAAACACATATTTTAATCATCAAAACAGTGAAAATGTCAAATGTGTCGCATAAACAAGTTTACTTCCTCTGAACAAGCAACAAAACTGTAGTGCTGTAACTGCGCTGTAAAATAATTTAGTACAATATATCAAAAAATACTCTTGGTGATATATTGATACAGCAGCCTGCGATATTGATACTGTATCATCACTTTAAACAATACGATATATTGATATTTCAACATTTTTGCACACTCCTGCTGGTGAACATTCTGCCAATGCACATACATGTAAAACACTCCCGTGGAATCATTGATAGGACCTACCTGCTGTCAAAGGACTGTGGCTCCAGCACCAGCAGAGCGTCCCCGTCCTTCAGAGACAGCTCCTTCAGGGTGCGCAGCATGTCGTCCGGGGGGAACACCCTCCAGCCGCTCGCCCCTCCGCCCTCGCCCGCTCCAGCCTCCACCTTGCCCCAAGCCTCCTGACACAGCACACTGTCCTTAGGCTCGCCCAGGGCCGCCCTCACCTCGCCCAGGGTCGCTCCGCCCGCGAACCCCCTGGCCTCCCTCCTGAGCCCGGGCGCCTGGCTCTCACTCAGGGTGTGGTCTTCGTCGCCACCGTCCTCCATGTTGTTTTCAGGGTCGAGGAAAGGGCGGACGACGGTGAGCAGCACGGGCTCCCACTCTGCTCCGGTCAGGACGGCAGCGCCACAAACCTGACAGGAAGTACAATGAGCACATTAACTGGGATAATTAAACACATTTTTATCAGTGAAATGTGTTTTCTTTACCTCTTTGCCGTTCCAAACAAACAGATCAGTGTTATTTGTAATTCCAGCGCTGTACAGGGACACACCATCATCTGTAAGAAAAGAGAAGATGAACCTTTATTTGACCCACTATGGGTAAATTACTTTTGTTTCCTATTTGTTAGACACGAGTTTAAATGTACACTGTTGCCATTTTGAAACTAGAGTACACAATCAAATATTCACAGACGAAATTCAGTACTGAGCATGGAAGGACTCTACGTTATGAATTTATTTATTTATTATTTATTTATTTATTTATTTGAGACAGGGACAGCGCACAATTTTCACATTAACCTTGACAGGAGAGATGCATTGTACATCAGGTTGTAGCATCAGTGCTAATTTCCACCTGTCGTCCCTGGACAGGTTCACTGATTGATTGTATTTAACTGACCTTGACTATCAACTGTTCTGGAGACCTGTAGCATGTTTTGGGTTGATGGGGGAAACCCATCCAGACACGGGGAGAAACATGCAAACTCCAAACAGAAAGGCCTCTGGGCGACCCGGGGGATCGAACCCAGAACCTTCTTGCTGTGAGGCGTGAGTGCTAGCCACTCAGCCACCATGCCGTGGTCACGATAACACATTTTTAAGTATGATATATTGCTTAAAAATTAATACAGGTGATAAACGATAATATTGAAACTAATCTATGCCACTGACACAACCCAAGAGCAGATTTAAACCACAGAAAATTCTAAATGTTGTTAAAAAAGCATGAGCTGCGATAAATAAATAGCAAAATTAAGCACCTCAGTACTTAGTTTGCATTTGTAATGAGTCATAAAACTTATTAATTCTACCTTTTGCTAATTAAATCTCATTATTTAGCCAGAAAATAACATAAAATTTCCCAGTACTGCAAAGAACAAAAACACAACAACAGAACCCCAAAATATATTGTTCCAGCTTTCATGTATCGTGACAGGCCTAATTATGAATCTGAGCTGTTCTTACCTGTGAGAGTGTTGTATAAGTGGAGCCCCGCTGGAAGACTCTTAGCCACGGTCAGAGCCATGTCTCCATCCCAAGGGTCTTGCATCTTTTTTAAAAACACAGAACATAAAAAAAGAGTCCGGATTATGCCATTTTCTGATCTATGTTGTAGTTGTTATCATGAGTCGCGTCTGCGTAATCGAGCATATTTGATTAAAGCCGATGTGAAGCCAAAAGTATTTAAAAGTTAATATCTTTGTCATTCCTGGATCTATCAACGTGAAATAAAAAGTGAAAGATAAAACCTTCCCCTTTTAGAATATTTCAGCTGGACGTCCCTATAGAGCCGCTTTCTTGCATCTGAGGGGGACGCTGCGATAACTGTTTTCCTTTTGGACCAAAATAAATGACAACACAGCACGCCTGGAAGGACAACTGCACATTGACCGAACACGTGCACTAAATCGTTACACCAGTATCGAATGATTTGGTACTATATCAAATATCGTCACATCCCTAGTAGTAAGACAGGAAGGGCTCAAATATGTTTTTTTAAATCCATACACATTTACTAACATCATTTGGGTACAGTCACTCCTTGAATTTCCAATCTCTACTAAACAAAAGGTGAAAGAAGCTGTTAAATTGAAAACTTTCACCTCATAACATCACAAGCTGGAACAGAGCATTTTAAGCTTTGGAGATGTACACAGACGAATAGCAAAGAGTTAATCAAACATGTGTGAATGAAATAAAACACAACCCCAGGTCTGTTTTTGATGACGTAATTATATTTTAACATGGCTTGAAGCTCACAAGAGTCAATTTTGAGTAACATAGCACATTTAAATACGTTCCCATTATTTATCCTTTTAGTGTTGAGATTTGAGTCTGTACCTGATAGATGCTTAGGCGCAGGTCTCCCACAGTTTTCCTGCGGTCAAAGCTCAGAGTGGTGGTCCCGGGCTGTTGCTCGCAGATCGGTTGCAAGGCTCCGTTTTCTAGTTTATACAACGGGGCTAAGTGCAGGTGCAGATCTATAGTGTTGTTAGTGGCTTCGAACTCCTCACTGCAATGATAAGTATGAAAATGAATAAAGTTTAAAGATGAAATATTAAAGAAGAACACTGGAAATACATACCGGAGCTGCTGTAGTTTAGTGTTCTCCTCCTGAGCCATCTTGATGAGTTGAAGAGGTACTTTGTATTGAGGATTGTTCAGTGCTGTAATGAGAAAAATGTGTGGATTCTTGTGAGCTTTAAGCCTTGTTATAATGTTGTTACCCTGAGTTATGTTTGTTTCATTCACACATGTTTTAGTAATCCTGGTTTATTAATGATGAAGTGGTAGTTTTTCCAAGTTTTTTTTCAATTTTAAAGTTAACAGCTACTTTTATCTTAAAGTAAAGATCGGCAATTCCAGGGCTGAAGTTATCCAATGAGTCTAGCGAAGGTGCATGGAGTTTAAAAACACAATGGAGAACTTCTTGTATTGCCACATGACATCGCAAGGTGGACCATAGTGTTTTCCGTTTGAGAGAAGAACTCAGCCTAAATATGCAGGGTCTGTCTGTTAAACATGTGTGAATGAAACAAAACACAACTCCAGGTCTGTTTGTGATGAGGAAACAACAACACAGATCAGAAAATAGTGTGATATGGGCCCTTTAAATTCTAGATATAGTCTGAGTTATGTGTGTACCTTGTGGGGGCCGCTGCAGCTGTGTTTTCCTGTAGAACAGCATGTAGGCGCTCTCTTTGCCTTGGAACTGCTTCTCGATATCTGCCTCTCTGATGGAGGTCACCGTGGAGTCGTTCAGGTCGAACCAGTGGCTGCCCTGCAAACACCAAACACACAGTTTCCCAGGACATCAATAGTGAGGATAAAGCAACTTCTATGACTGGATTAAGATACATAAAGCCCATAGGAATTAAGAAGTTCTGATAATCGTCAAATTTCTTATATGTATTGTGTGCATTTTAGTTTAATTAATTTTTTATTTATTCAAAAATACATAACATTTCGTAATTTCATTTTTTTTTTTTTAAAGGGGCTGTAGCTTTTATTTTCATGTAATAAATGAAAATGTACACATATGTTGTCAAATTTAACTCTCTAGAGCATTTCATTTTTACTGCGAAACTGGAAGTGTGCCATTAGCATGCTATTGTTCATTAGTTTTACCACGATGGTAAACTTCACTGGCCTTTGAAAGTTGTGAAAAGCACGCTGAAAAAAGCAGCTCACTCCTTGTGCGCTGATGCGATCAGTTTCTGTCGAATTTACTCCGCGAGGCTCCTGACTACGATAGCTGTAATGCTCCGACAATCCATCAAATGGTGCGGCTTAGTACTTTACCAAAGTCATGTAAAAACATTTTGACAGATTTTTGAGCGCCGTGTACCACATAAAATGAGTTTGAGGTCAGTAACCACGACCAGAATTAATACATATACATACGGATTATAAGGCACACTGACGATTTTTGAGAAAATTAAAGGATTTTAATTGCGCCTTATAGTATGAGAAATACGGTATTAAGAAGATGCTGTACCTCTGGCTCATCCTCCACCTCCTGGTCTCCTCCAGCCTGTGCGTCAGTGGTTGTTTCTCCAGAGTCGGTGCTCTGCTGTGGGCCTGGGACCTCTGTCAGGGGACTGGGGGGGTTGGCCTTCAGCGTTACTCGAGAACCATTAGACACCAGCATGAAGATGTCACTGTGGGACTGCAGGAACTACACAAAAAAAGAACACAGGATTTAAAAATGTTATGTCAGTGAAATGTTCAAAAGTACATGGCAGAGGTGACTAGAGGATCTAAATATTAATGGTTTTAAGGGTTTCTAACAAAAAATGAGCAACAATTTAAGATTTCCAGGGTATAAGTGTCAGTTTTTTCACACATTTATAGCCAGAACACAAAAATATACTCATTTGAGATGTTACTGATATTAAAAAAAAACCATTCATAGGACAGAAATTAACCCTTGGACTACTATGGAGAGTGTATTTTATTATATAGTGGTATCGGAAATTGGTATCTATTTCCAGTAAATCACATTATGCTCCACTTCACTTCCATTCTTGAATTTTTAAAGGCTCAACTATAGACAACTGTTAAGTATAAAAGCTCAATAAATACAGATAAACGTACCTTTCCTATGGCTCCATATTGCTTTTTAAATTTTTTATTCCATGAGAAACAGAACTTATCCAGGAGTTTTTGGCCAAGTTGGTCCACTAAAACAGTCTTGGAAGGCTCCTGGTAAAATAGGAAATCCAAATAGCATTGAGCGTAGATTACAAAACCATTCTGTAACATATGAACACATACTTAATTCATTAATAATACCTGTGCGATGATGGCAGTGAGGATGGACAGTGGATCGTCCTCCTGTGGCTTTGGTGCACACACTTTACTCTCACTAGATTTCTTCTTTGTCTTGGGTTTAGAGTCCTCTTCCTGGTAAAAAAAAAATAAAAAAAGACAGAATTGTGCCAAGTTATAGACGGTGAAATTGGTTCTGTAATGTGCTCATATGTAGATTACTCACTGGAGGCTCCCATCGGCCAAGCTGGTCAATGTCCTTAATGTAAACGTGGTAATGGCCGCCATAGCAGCCGCCCTTGTGGATGATGACTGAGAACAGCTCGTAGGAATAATCCGAGTCATCTCCCTTTGTCTGTAAAGTACAGAAGCATTACTATTATGTAATAGTGTACAAAGTGTAGTTAGAATGAGAGTGGAGCACAGACAGACCTGTTCACAGAAGGGCCGCAGGTTGATGCGGAGAGGAAAGCTGTAGCGGCCGGTCTCTTTGTATCGCTCACATTTGGTGAAGTCAAAACTGAATCTCAGCAGAGACATGGTCATGAAGGGAGGGAGCTTCCTCATCTTTGCCGACTACACACGGTGCACAACATGTGTCATCTACATGTTTATACAAGTACAAGTGCACATTCACATAAACTGACCTTGACCGCTGTCACAAGCTTGTTGCACTGAGCACAGCGATACAGATTATTGCCCTCAAAGACTTCCTCTTCCACAAACATGCTCCATAGCGCCTCCTCCAGGCTGGACACTCCAGATACACACGCCGTCAGGTCCAGGAAGTCCTCCTGAAATAAAAAACTGAGATGTTTCTCTGGAGCTGAAGACGTTACATAGAACAAATGTGTTATGGACGCACCTGTCTCTGGCTCACATTGCCACACTCTTTACACACAATGATGCTGTTGACTATGGTGCCGTGGTACAAGCTGTTTATAAAGGAGCTTCCACTGGTGCCCACCAGGGAGTGCTCAAGAGCACTGAACAGAATCCTGTTGAGCTCCTGCACATCGTGCTGGTTTGTCCCCTGCACATAGAACCAGTGTGAGGATTTACACTTGGAATATGAACAAAAAGTCTCCTCCACAGAGGTTCATTCCAATGTAACACCGCACCCCATCATAAAAGAAGGCAGATAAAGACAGACCTCAGTGGTGTTCCAGCCGAAGCTGTCAGTGAGCTCGGCTGTGGACGCGCTTTGCTGGTCCACCAACAGGAGGCGAGCAAACAGCCTCTGCAGCTGCAGGGGAATCACCCTCACCTGTACACAGACAGCACACTGATATTACACTCATGAGAGACACACTCCTCACTATATGTTTGTGTGACACTTTCTTTGGCTCCAGGTGTGTCTTTGTCTTCCAGACATCCCAGCTCCTCTGGGCCCAGGTTGAACAGCTCCTCTGGAACAGAAACACAGTGTGAGGGCAGAATATTTCACATGTGTACAATGGTTTTATGGTCTCTATAGATCAGGGGCTTATTCTTCTAAACTGCAGAGCTGCTCCCCTGACCTCTCACCTCTGAACTCCGGGGTGAAGAGCAGGGTCTGCAGCAGAGAGTTGAGGTAGCAGGTGCCTCCCTGGTTCTTGATGCCGCACAGATTGCTTCTTCCTCGGGGTGGAGGGGGCTCCTCGGGCCCCTTCAGGACTCTGCCCTTGGAGGACATGGAAGAGGAGCCCTCTTCGTCGTCCTCCTCAAACAGATTTCCAAACATGGTGTGTGTGTGTGTTTGCCGTCCGCGCTGCCCTCTCGCTATCTCATCTTGGTCTTCCCCAGTTCTGTGTTAATAATGGCAGGACTGACTCTGAAGAAAGAAGACTTGATGGGGCTGAACATAGCGGATCTTCCAGTGTGAGAGATGGGACAGCTCTATGCTCTATGCTAGCAAAGGGCTGGACAAAGGCAAACTCGAAACTGATACCAGCGTTGACAGCTCAGCGAAATGAAGCAGCCGAGTGAGAGGAAAGAGACGAAAGAGACATACGGAGGCGCAGATTTGCGTAACGTCGCTCACGTTCTCCACAGACACCGATATTAAACTGTAATGTTTCTTCAGAGAGACGCGTTTGTCCCGTGTCTCTTTAGAAAGCTCAAAAATGACACCACATGAAACGTAAATAAAAATGCCGTCGGTGAACAGTAGGCAGCCATGTTGGTTTCTGCAGAGGATGCAGCGTTGCATTATGGTACTTGTAGTATGTTCTATGAAACGCTCAACAACTCAACGATTTTATTATCTAATTTTTAAGAATTATTATTATATAACATCAAGTGTTTGCAACAAATTGAAAAAAACACTGTTTTAAAAAATAATATTACAACAATTTGTCCATCTCATGTCTTGAGGAATTAGTTATACTGTTGTGTGATGGCTTTTATTGACTTTTAAGTTGCCAACCTCACAACAGTATCTTCCTAAAATAATCACACATACTACTACTACAACAACTACTACTAGTACTACTACTACTACTACTACTACTATTACTATTACTTTTACTACTACTGCTACTACTATTACTATTACTATTACTATTACTACTACTACTACTATTACTACTAGTACTACTATTACTACTACTACTACTACTACTACTACTACTACTATTACTACTACTAATAATAATAATATTAATAATAATAATAATAATAATAATAATAATAATAATAATAATAATAATAATAATAATAATAATAATCACACATTTGTTATTATTTTATTTATTTGTACATTTATACATTTTTAAAGACAGTGACTATAGATCAAATGAGCCTGCAGCAGTGCCCAACATGAACACCTGTCAGTCCAGCGCAATGCTGATGTTTGAATAAATCTATGGCAAGTTCGGGCAAATCTATTAATTAGTTTTGGACGGACTTAAAAAAAATAAAAATAAAACAAAATAAAGAAAGGCAACCACAAACATACACCCATTCAATTTCAAATATTGCACTTCAAGTCTCAAACAAGGTAACAGTGTTCTTATGATCAGTAGAGTGTCTCTTAATACGTCTTGAGCTTAAAAACCTTGGATAGAGGAGCTTTCGCACTGGAGTACATCAGATAGGACTCGCCCTTCCAGGTGAAAAACTCCCAGTCACTGCACCCAATAGTGGGGAGGAAGTGGACAGGAACAAAGCCTTCATAACCCTGCCACCTACAGCAGAAGAAAACAGATCATGAGATGCACTGAGATTTTAACATTTCTTTATATCAAGAGAAGAATGCTGCAGATTATCAGGTTTTAAAGGGGGAATGCTATGTGTAATTCTGGCTTTTTGGGAGGGGGTAGATGTTTTTGCAGCAGTTGTTCTTTGACATTCCATCTGAATGCTTAAACTGCAGGTAACAATGAGAGCTATGCATTTTGAAAAGACAAAATAGAAGCATAGGTACTGTCAAAAGGAAGTTAACAGACAGATAGTGAAGGCAATTTAAGCATTAAAACTCATATTATTCATTCTAACATCTTTAATTCTCTTTAAAACCTGCTTTTGTTCACCTTAGAATTAGTATTTCACATTTTCTAACTTAAAATAATGTCTGAATTTGGACAAAAAACTTTTCCATTGAGGCATTGAGGCATTAGAGCTCCCTCTGCTGTCAGCAATGAGAATGAACAATGGGAAAATAAATAATGCTCTTATGTAATGCAGTTTATTATGCCAATAGAGTCATTTGACTGCAGAATGAGTCTGATCATGACTAATGGCCAGTGGGCTTAAAAACTGCGTAGGAGAAGTCTTGATTTTTGAGTGTGACGTAACAATCCTGACAAAAATGAAAACAGAACAATTTTTAGTGCTAAGAGAAGACAACTTGTATTGATGAAACAAGAGTGAATTAAGCAAAAATACAACTCTAAGCATGTTTTTGATGAGAGGATAACAGTGTAACATGATTAAAAGCTCTTAAACAGGGGTGTCAAACTCAAACATTCACAAAGGGCCGAAAATAAAAACTGGGATTAAGTGGTGGGCGAAACAAAATATTTACTGAAAAATTTCAACAGCGTCTGCATGTTTTCTCTTCTTTCGAGATATGCAATGTTAAACCTTTTCTTATTAAAATAAATGTTTAATAATAGTTTTGCTTAAACATTGAATCCAGAACAAGCATAATATAAAATAATAACAACATTTTAAATAAATAATGTCTATATAGCCTGTATCTGTAGCAGGCGGGCCAGATCTAATACATATTTGATATGATCGTGGGCCAAATTTAGCTCCCGGGTCTGAGTTTGACATGTCTGCTCTAAAAAGTCAGTTTCATTCTTTGCATGTCAGGTCTGTTGAAATAAATCCTGCCTACATTGCACTGCCAGTCAAAAATGCCATTAAAGGACCCATGTTACACTATTTTCTGATCTATTATAATGTTGTTTCCTTATCACAAACAGACCTGGGGTTGTGTTTTGTTTCATTCACACATGTTTAACACACAAACCCTGCAGATTTGGGTTGAGTTCTTCTCCCAAACAGAAAAATGTTCCACCTTGTGCTACTACAGGAAGTGCCCCACTGTGTTTTTAAACTGCATACACCTTCACAAGAATCATTTTGATAATTTCAGCCCTGGAATAGCCAATCTGTACTAAACTAAACACTACACACTTTTTGAGCTTTGGATATGCAGACAGACTAATCATGCAGGATTACTTAAACATGTGCAAATGAAACAAAACACAACTCCAGGTATGTTTTTGTTGACATAACAACATTCTAACACAACTAAAAGCTCACCAGAGTCAATTTGGCGTTATATGGGTCCTTTAATCAACATTACAAGCAGTCATATAATGCTCACGTACAAAGACAGAGCACCCTTCCCTCCAGCTGTGATTGATTTTACAAGCTGACACCGATGAGTACCTGTACAGAACGCTGTTGAGAGAGTAGGTTTCTCCGCTGAAAGAATTGGCCACAACCAAAAAGTATTGTTCCCCCAGGCTGAAGAACTCCCAGTCCACCGCGCTGTAGACAGAAGAAGAGTTATGTGGTGAGTGACGATAACTGGGTACACCTAGTATCTGTTCCTCTTGTACCTGTAGGTGGTAATATCTTGGAAGCGAACAAACATGCGTGCGTGGAGGTCCAGTTCGTAGATAGTGGAGTTGATGGCATAGCGGCCCTGTCCACTCCCAACCAGTCTGTGCCCGTTGGCTACGACGAGGAAGACTCTCCCTCCGATTTGGAACATTTCCCAGTCTGTAGCGCAGTATGTCTGAGAAAAAAATAAGGTCATATACAATTTGATGATGTACTAATTTGAGACGGAAAGCAGTAGTCATTGTAACTTTCTTTCATTCTTCACTGAGATATCCAACTTTGATCTACAAATGCTGGCCTTTATCGTTATAGACCCCACAAACTCTAGCCTGATTCATCAGATGGTTTCACTTCATAGAAACCGTCTGACCTCACAGTGTTAGAATTCATTTGCTCGATGATAGTTGGGTACTTTCTTCTTTAACCAATTGCTGCTATTTGGTCATGATGTATGCACCACTAATGGGGCTAACTGGTATATTAAGCTTTTCCCAGATCCCGTAGGAAGAAGGGCAATAACATCTTTCCCCTTGATAAAATTCACCAAACATTGTCTTTTCTGGTTTTAAATACTTGATCTCAGGGATTGTTGCCAACACAGAATATAACTCACATTCCGTGGTTCTTGCAAACTGTCTAGTGTATTCCTATTCCTGATCTAGTCGCTGGAGAGAAATTTAATTGAGCAGAGACACTAGGTGGCACCAGCTTGGCTACACAAACCTGACAACAGCGAAATAATAATATCACTCACAAATAGTGCAATAAAATATCAGTCCAATATGTGGAGACACTGGTAAGACTGGTCTTTTAAAACTTTTTTTTTTTAAACTGACCATGAGTCCAGAATAAAGATGAATTGAACTGAACTGAACAATTTCTTGAATAGGAATGCACTGATTCAGCTTTTTCAGATCCCATCCTGATTCCCATATCCACAACACAACAGACTCCAGGCACTCCAGAGAAGTAAAAATCGTACCAAATTCGCACCAGTTCCCACACTACTGCTTTAAATATCTGCCGATCTCCAATATCATCTGATACCAATGAACAGACTGAAAATGGTATTTATTTCCTTAAAATTAAAATAACATAAGACAAAACTGATCCAAATCTGTTATATAGCTGTTATTTATCTCTCCAGTAACTACAGAACAGTTTTGTACAAATAAAAATTCTGAGAAAATTCTGAGACTATGACCAGTAAAGTCTTAATAGGATAACAGCTGAACCAATATCTGGAAGCTTATATCTGAAAATATTTCAGGATCGGCACAGATATCCAATACCAGTATTGGATCTATGCATCCCTGGTTTTTAGGTTTGAATATGGCACCACCTTCTAAATCTATTGTTTATTTACCTGCACCCATAATGTGGACTGCGGAGTGTCTGGAGAGAGTCTGTTGTTCTGGAGTGAATGAATTGAATGATGATTTTGATAAAGGATGATGATTTTAAGATGCTGAGAGAACTGGATGTGAATGAGGATACAGAGTTGTTATGATGCTCTGGACATTATAAAGACATTCTGTTTGTATGTTTGATTTTAGGAACTATAACATCAACCTGCCCAGGAACTACAGGTGGAAATTAGCTCTAGTGCTACGACCTGGCACAGTGCAGCTCTCCTGTTAAGGTTAATGTAAATTGTGCACTGTTCCTGTCTCATTAAATAAATAAACTAAATTAATTTATACTGACAGGGAAGACACTGAACCTTGTGAATGTTGTGCCAGTTTTGGTTTCATGTGGATAAGCCCAGTAATTACAGAGATATTCATCACAAAAACAGATCAACAAATCTACAATCTGACCGTAAACAGCAATTTACACCACAGAATTACGACCTGTCCTTCAGATCAGTTTTTATAATAAACCTTTAATTTTTGGTTAGGAATTAGATTAAAAAATTTACCATATTAATTTTGCAATTTTGAGTTTTTTTCAATTGAATAGCACTTTTTAAAGCTATAAAAATATTTAACCTTCACTCATTTGTGCAAACAGAACAGAGGCAGCGCTACCATTAGGCAAAAGTAGGCAGCTGCCGAGGGTCCCCAAACCTGGAGGGGCCCCCAACCAATTGCCCTCAGTGCCACTAATCTCCGAGGCCTCAGAGCAATTTGATTTTCTCTCAATGACATTACATGAGAATAGTTTACTTTTAAACAATAATCATAAGAAAAATAATAATAATCATATGTAATGGATGTAAACAAAAATGTATGCATGTATAAATGTATGCAAAAAAAATAATACTACTTCTAGTTCTGGTTATCTAGGCGACTGAACTAAGACTACATTTACACTGAAATGAATCACCGTATCACTGTGTCACCGTATCTGCATCCAGACACGTAATTTCTGTGTCCACAAGCCTTCCCTATCCACACAGCTTTGAGCATATGTGTTTATGTCATACAGAAACAAAACTTAAAACCACATGGCTAATTTGCATAAACGAAGCAATCAAAAGACAGCTCCCTATTGTGCGCTGATGCAGTTCAGCTTCTGTCGGACTAAAGGACACGACTCAGTGGAATATATGTATTCTTTCTGCGACAGAGGGATGTTTTGCTGATGGTGAGTCTATTCTGTGTATTATATTAAACTTTTCAGAGATTATACGTCTGCAGGTCGTACACATAGGCCGTATATGTGAATGAACATATATTCTAGCCTCTTAGCGTTTTGGCGGTGAATTACTTTGTGGAGCATAGACCTACATCTGCATATCAGTGTTTTCAGGCGTCCACACAGTGCCAGATCAGATCCGTAGTCAGATGAATTCATGGAAGCTGGCGGCACCAGCTCGTTCCTTCTCTGGAGTTGTTTTCCATCGGATTAGTGTGGACGAACACTGCATCCACAACAAAAATGACTCGAATAGGTATTAGTGTGGATGGGGCCTAATAAGGCAAGTTTCCAGTCCACCCTAATTCAAATAAAAAGAGATGTGCATGTCTCAAGAACAATGGGGAAAAATGACAATAAATAGATTAAAAAAAACAAAAAAACGGTGCATAATAGTGAGGGCCCCAAACTCAAATTCGCCTAGGGCCCTCCAAACTGCTAACTCCACCACTGAAACAGAATATATATTATTAGTCTATACAGTATTATTATATTATGGGTTTCAGTTTCATGTAAATAGGCCAAGAAATTGGAGTTCATTTGAGGTTAAATAGCAGCTGCTAACCTTAAACTACCACTAAATTACATCACAAGGTGGAACAGAGCCTTTTGAGCTTTGGGGATGCAGACAGACTAATCCAGGATTACTCAAACAGGTGTGAATGAAACAAAACACAATTCCAGGTATGTTGTTGATGAGGCGTTCTAAAATGGCTTAAAGGTGCATTGTGTAACATTTCTTGCTTTGTTTGGGATGTTTCACAGTGTGTTTTTATTTTCATGGAGACCAAACCAGACCAAGTTACCAGTCAGATCTTACTCACAGTCAGAATACATGTTTGTTTTTCTGGGTATTTCTGAGCTCTTAAATCACCTGTAATTGAATAAATGTAAAATAAAGCTGTTTAAAGCTGTGATACTGTAGAACATCTCCATAGAAACAGGCAACCAAAACGTTACGTAGTGCACGTTCAAAGCTCACGTGAGTCAGAGTTTTGCGTAATACAGGCCCTGTAAACTATCAGCTCTTGTTTAGATGTGCAAAGTCAACCCATCACAACCCGTCATGTCTCGACTCGACCTGTGATAAAACCTAAACACCTAAATGAGCCCAAAGTGTAAACAAAGCCAGACTAACTATGTGTTTTAATGCTTGTGTTGGATAAATTAGCAGCGGCCTGGAGCTACACTTGTAAGATTCATGTCTGGTGGAGTTCCCCTAAAATCATACAGCGTCTTATGGTTTGTGCACAACCATCAATGCGTCACCACTTGTGCTTTAAATGTGGCCAGCGTGCTCATTATCCACTATGTCAAAGCGCGGCTGTATATCAAATACTGTTTAGAAGCTGGGCTATCAAACGCACGTACTCTTTTGCTGTCTTTTAGGTGGGCAGTACTCAAATACACATACTCAGATACACTTACTTTAGGTGGGTAGTACTCGAATACACTTACTTTGGGTGGGTAGCACTCAAATACTTTAGTTGGGTAATACTCAAATACACTTATTCAAATACACTTTCTTGAGGTGGACAGTACTCAAATACACTTACTTTAGGTGGATAATACTAGTACTCAAATAGATTTACTTTAGGTGGGTAGTACTCAAATACACGTACTTTAGGTGGGTAGTATTCAAATACTTTAGGTGGGAAATACTCAAATATACTTTCTTTAGGTGAGCAGTACTCAAATACATGTATTCAAATATGCATACATTAGGTGGGTAGTACTCAAATACTTTAAGTTGGTAGTACTCTAATACTTTAGGTGGGTAGTACTCTAATACACTTACTTTAGATGGGCAGTACTCAAATACTTTAGGTGGGTAGTACTTATATACTTTAATGGGTAGTACTCAAATAAAGGTATTTCAGGTAGGTAGTACTCAAATACAGTTACTTTAGGTGAGTACTAGTACTCAAATGCACTTACTTTTGATGGGTAGTACTCAAATACAGTTACTTTACATGGGTAGTACTCAAATACATTTATTTTAGGTGGGTAGTACTGGAATACTTTAGGTAGGAAGTACACAAATACATGTACTTTAGGTGGGTAATACTCAAATACACTTCTTTTAAGTGGGTAGTACTCAAAGACACTTTCTTTAGGTGAGTAGTACTCAAATACACTTAGTTTAGGTGGGCAATACTCAGATACACTCACATACTTTTACTTATTCTTGAATAATATATTTTATATACTAACAGTGTTCATTCCTCTCTGACTACTTTCCCAGACATCATACTTTTACTTGTACTTGAGTAATATATATCTGATAGTGTAATAGTACTTTAGCTTGACTACAGTGAGAAAAAGTGTTACATTAACAATATTAAATGATTTGAACGTTTGTGTTTCTTGCACTACTCCCTGCAGATGTGGTAGTACTTTTACTCAAGTGCACTTACTTGAGCAACGTTTTAATAAAATTGTAATCATACTTGTACTTCAACTTGAGTAATATATTGGAGAGTGTAACAGTACTTACACTTGAATAAAAGTCACAGTTTCTTAAAATCTCCATCAGCTGCTGAAATATAGTAGTAGTTATTCTTCTTGGGGTCTCAGGTACTCAGTTACTTTTACTCATTTATTTGAGTAACTTTTGAATAAAATTGTACTTCTCAGAGTACTTTTAGACATACTTGATTAATATATTGGACAGTGTAACAATACTTATACTTGAGTAAAAGTGACAGTTTATTAAGACTTTAGTTAGTTGCTTAACTATAGTAGTAGCTATTTTCTCATGTACTCACTTACTTTTACTCATTTATTTAAGTAACTTTTGAATAAAATTGAACTTCTCTGAGGACGTCACAGACATCAGTACTCCTACCTGATTAAAAAAATGTTACTGTGAGTAAGTCTACAAGTGACAAAATTACTGCTGATTCACTGATGATTAAGTTTTTCCCAAATTTTTGTGGTTTATCCTTTGAAAACACCTGATTTTGTACCCTATTTTCTTTGGTTTTGTTTTAATGTATTGCATTTTAATTTTATTTGCCCTTCTAATTACAAACCTCTGAACTCTTACTTAATAGTAGCATCTTGAATCACTTCTTTGTACTTCTATTTTAGTACAATTTTGGGTGACTTTGCCCTTTTGCTGTTCTGATTTGATCTCATCCCAGGTGTGTAGCTCGCTCTCTGTGTTACCTACATCCATTTTCATACCGATCGTCTAACATCACAATCTGCACAAATCAAATAACAGCTTTCTTCTTTTTTCTATAGACCTATAAAGCAAATATACGACCCTATAACAGGGCTTTTGTGAGGTTACGGCGGTAAAGAGTTCAAGATCAAATGGGGTTTAATGACGACGCACACACACATGCACATGCACACACACACACACACACCTTAATAGTCTGGAACACCTGGAAAGCTTCATTGACCCAAACATAGATGACAGAGTCCACAGACGTCGTGACCCCATCAAAGGCGTTGGCAACCACCAGAAAGTGGTAGGGCCCCACGCTGAAGAACTCCCAGTCGTAGGCTCCTGATGTGGGCAGGCGCTGGTGAAGCTCAAAGGCCTTGGCTAACCTGTTCCACTTGTAGATCAGGCTGTCTATGGTGTGGTTATTTCCTGTAAGACAAAAGTCAGCGTTAGTGAATGTACACACACTGTTTAGTCAGGCCACTGTGTAAAGAGAAAGTAAAACATACACACATGTTGTATTGTAAATGAGAAGACATATGGGCATATGGAGAAAATAAATAAGGTTGTTTGAGTTTAATAGCAGCATTAAAGGGCAAAAAGTACGCTATTTCCTGATCTTATGAGGTTATAATGTTGTTTCTTCATCAAAAACATACCTGGAGTTGTGTTTTGTTTCATTCACACATGTTTAACGCACACACCCTGCATATTTAGGCTGAGTTCTTCTCTCAAATTGAAAACACTCCATTCACCTTCATTAGAAACTTTCAATTATTTCAGCCCTGGAATTGTTGATCTCTACTGAACTAAAGGTAAAAGATTAAATCTACTGCTTCATGAGTACTCGAATACTTAAACATATGAGAATTAAACAAAACACAACTCCAGGTATCTCACAAGAGTTACTTTTGTGTAATATGGGACCTTTAAGACATTGGCAAGCAAGACAAATGTTCAAATCCTTTAACACTGACAACATAAAGGATTTGTCACTTGTAGAGTTACTGGGAAAAGTAACCAAACTTTTTACTCAAGTAAGAGTACTGCTACGCTGTCAAATATATTACTCAAGTAGAAATGAAAGCATGGTGTCAGAAAACTTCTCAGATAAGTAACTTTGTATTAAAGGAACTGGAACTGGAAGATTTGGATTTTAAATTTCATAAACTTAGCCTGTGATCTATGTTCACAGATATGAGCTAGACATGTTCAAATCAAATATAGATTTTACTGATAGCAATGGAATTCAAAAACATTGGACATGATGAAAAATGTATTTTTGTTATCATTTTGTGTTTTAGTTCTAGAGGAAATTATCCAGTCAGAAAGCAGAATGAGAATTGCACGAGTCTCTCATTTGTGTTGCCAGTTTCAAAGCTGAAATCCAGTTGGTTAAACTTAAAATGCATCTCTCTGATCTGAATGGTCACTACCTAAACCCCAGCATCTGCAGCCAGTTATTAATTAGTGCTATAGTGCAGACTCTGCAGCTCAGTGAGTGAATTCTGAAGCTTCTGAGCTTTCACATGATGTTCAGAATGGAACAAACTAGGACGTGTCTCTATCTGCAGGTTAATGCTCAAGCAACCCAGATTCAGCTGTAATTTTAGTAACAGTGAGAGCACAAGCCTGATACAGTTCCTTTAAAAGTAAAACACCTGTTTAGAACAACTTTTCATCAAATGAAATGACATATTATGTTTCAGTAGAGCATGTGTTTAGTTGAGTTTGTACCTATCCTGTGATTGGCCACAGCGAGGTAGTGTTGCTGGTTGATGGTGAAGGCCTCCCAGTCTCGTGCACAGTGTGTCTGCAGCGTCTGTAAACGCACAAACCTCCTCCTCTTCCTGCTCCATTTGTAAATGACCGAGAAGTCTATCTCAGGTTCTAAGTCTGATCTGTCTCCTCCTCCTGCTCCGAAGTTGGACACCACCAGGTAGGACTGAGGACCACAGCAAACACAGGAAATCATTTTTTCTATTATTGCAATTATGACTGCATTTTCTGTACAACTACTAGTTACGTTTTAATTTGGGCTTTTTTAAAATCTGAGCTATACTAACATTTTGTTATGGTACACTTATTGCCCGGAAAAGTAGCATTTGACCATCCTTCAGTGGCACTGGGAAACCTATCTGGAACTCCAGGTCCAGGTTTGGTTTGTAATTCTAACATGGAGGATTGGCCTATTGTGTAAGTTTGAAAAAAGATCAGGGAAACTGGGGTACAGAGAGAAAAGGCCACCAACCCAGGCACAGAGAGAACATGCAAACCCCACAGTCCACATAAAAAGGCCCCACCCAGGAATCAAACCCAGAACCTTCTTGCTGGCCACACGCCTTTGGTCAGCATTATGTGGGGGAGTTTTGGTCTAACACATCCTTGAGAATATACTGCACTCACTGAGCTGATCAATATTTTAAAGTACAGTGTGTTTTCTTTTCAGTTCCTATTGCTAATCATTACATTTGTGGACAGTCAGAGCAGTCAGATATGTGTCAGCTGCTGATCTCACTGGAGATTATTGCTGCTTAGCTCTGAATGTTCCCCAGTAAAGCATTAAACTCTACTGGAAGAACCATGCGACACAACCGGCCACGTTGCAGGTCGAATCTTCTGTCTTATTCTACATAAAAACTGTTAATACTGTAGTTTAGATCTGTAAAAACATATTCCAAAACGTGATTATTGTATTAGTTTGTCAGTTCATATTTCGGTGTTTTTCAATTTCTCTGGACCACAACCACATTTAGATATTTTTCCCAAATCACTCAGCCCTGGTCCCTCTCCTCCTCTCCTCCTCTCCTGTTACTTGTACCTTCTTGCCTATCTTGAAGTGTCTCCAGGCCAGAGCTCCATGCGTGCTAATATTCTGGTAGATCTGGAATCCTTCTCGTGTCCACAGGTACACAGTCGACCCGGGGGCTGAGGAGCGGTGAGCTAGGGCAGCCATCACGCCCATACCCGCCACTTGGAACACCTGCGGGACGAAACAGCAGGTCACCACACAATAGCATGAGGTATTCCGGAGAGTATATGATAGTATTGTTTGCAGACGTCATGGCCCTGTTATTTTCTCGCATTGCTTTACACGACACGAGATGTTGACGTTTGTGATTCAAAACAGAGGGCCAGGTGGAGTTCACGGGGTCTGCGGAGTTAGTGATACCTCGATATCGTTTGTCTCGGAGGTGGTGGTGAGGATTTGGTGTTCCAGGATGTAGTCCAGTCTGTGGTGATCTGGAAGGTAGAGGTGTGGATTAGGAAAAGTAATAGTAGAACAGTAGGGAAATTGGTAAAAGGTATGAATTAGTTTTATTTATTTTTTTAAATAAAGGACCTATATTACACAAAACTGACTCTTGTGAGCTTTATGTCAAGTTGTAATGTTACTAAGGGTGTGCATTGCCTTGAGTCTGATGATACAATACATTTGATATTCGATATATCCCGATACTAAAACATAGAACGATACATTGCGATTTATCAATAATTACTTCTATTAATACAATCAACAAGCCAAGCTGGCGCCACCTAGTGCCTCCACTCAATTTCATTTCGACTAGATCAGGAATCGGAATACACTAGACGGTCTGCAAGAACCCTGGAAGTTGTAGACCGTGCACCGGCCAATCACTGAAGAGCTGTGAAGCCATGAAGTCAAACTCAAGCGCCTGTGTGTGTGCCTTTTGTGGTACAGTACAACAGTAAACAAAATGATCGAGATGGATGTAGACGAAGACAGACATTCTGTGTTGGCAACGATTCCCGAGATTGAGGATTTAAAGCCGGAACAAAGAGAATGTTTGGCAAATTTTATCAAGGGGAAAGACGTAATTGCCCTTCTTCCTATAGGATTTGGCACATTACATACGTCACGACCAAATAGCAGCAATTGGTTAAATAAAAGTACCCGCCTACTGTTGAGCGAACGAATCATCAACTGCACCTTCACGAGAACACAATTGTATGAAATATGATTTATAAAAATGTTTAAATCATCAAAACAGTGAACATAAATCATGAATTTTTGAGAAAAATATTATTTAAAAAATCATTTCGGATGCATTTTCAAGAATTGTGCAATGAAGTATCGCGATATATCACTGAATAAATTTTTTCTTACACCCCTAGTTGTTACCTCATCAAAAACAAACCTGGAGTATGTTTTGTTTCATTCACACTTGTTTGAGTAACTATTTATTATCAGTCTATCACTCCAAAGCTCAAAATGCTCTGTTCCAACTTGTGATGTCATGAAGCTGCAGTTTTTACATTTAGTTCAGTATAGATTCCAGGGTCCATGGCAATTCCAGGGTTGAAATCATCCAATTGATCCTAGTGAAAGTGTATGGAGTTTAAAAACACAGCAGAGCACTTCCTGTATCACCGCATGACATCACAAGGTGGAACAGAGTGTTTTCTGTGTGAGAGAATTCAGTCTATGTATGCAGATGTGTGCGTTAAACATGTGTGAATGAAACAAAACACAACTCCAGATCAGTTTGTGATGAGGAAACAACATTACAACATACTGTAGATCAGAAATTAGCGTCATAAGAGCCCTTTAAGAAACACTTAACTACACCTTAATTAGCCTTAATAAATCATGAATAAAGCATGAGTAGTAAAAATGAAAGACTACTATTAATGCAAACGATCCTAACCTTAATTAAAGCCACAGTATAGAACTTTTTAGCCAAAAATAGACTACAATATTTTAATTTGGGACTATAAATACTGTCTGCGTTACTTCTGCTTCTCTCCATGTGTCTAATTTCAATGTGGAATCTATATGCATAAAGTATAATCCAAGCGTTACTGTGAGCAGGCTTGCATCTCCACAAACCTGACTCTTCTCTTGCTTGTTTCCATCGGAATGTCGTTACTTTGACTGTAATATTCCAGAGAGTTTCAGGTATTTACTAAGCCTGAATCTTAATAAAGCTTGTCATTATGAATTCAGTCGTGTTCATTCTTTATTAGGGTTAATTGGGGCTGGTTATTACAAAGTGGCACCTTGAACATATTATTATTTCACTTGGCTGCTCATTAAATTGTTTTTTTTTTTGTCTTTATTTTTCGTAAAGGGTGGGGTTTTGGGGAGTGCGTGGGATGGAATCTTTGTAAAACATACGTGACGTTCATACCTTGTGTGATGTGACTTTATGATCACAGAAGTCATAACCAGAGAATCCACATTAAATTAATCTAGAACAAAGAAAATAAAAGCTTTAGTTACCCTGCAGCATCGTGACCCAGTGGGAGCCGTCACACAGGTACAGAGCTTTCTTCAGAGGGTTGAACCAGAGCTGGCCCTGTGTGTGCTCCGAGCAGGGACGGTCCAGGCCCACAGAGATACCAGACTCTGAGGAGGACAGTTAAACAATGGAGATTCAAACAGCAGCACATTTAACATTTAACATATAATAAATGTTATACTATGTTCAGGGTTCCCAATCTTTTTCACTGACAAAATTTCAAAACTTTTCCATAACTTTTTCATGACCTAAAGTGAATTTTAAATGACTTTACAACACCTACATGTGTAGAATTGATCAGACTTTTAGGGCTAAATATGAAATGTTAACCCTTTCCACTCACCTGCTGGTTTGATATTATAGTTTTTTAACATTCAAAATACTGTCAGTGCATTTATTGTCGTCCTTTTTAAACAAAAGTTGTAGATGTTCAGAAATAATCATAATAACCTAATGAGAACTTAACAAAATGCTGGAGTTGCGTGAAAGAGGTACAAAAATTCCATGATTTTTCCAAAACTTTCATCGAATTTAGAAAAATTCCAGGACTTTTTCCGTGACATTTTCAATTTCCATGACTTTTCCAGGTTTTCCATGGTTGTGGGAACCCTGTATGTTATATATTCAGAAATATAGTCAGAATGCAGTCAGTGTAATTGCTTAAACTTGGTGAGTATCTTTGTGTGTCCAGAAAGCAATGTAAAGGGGTAGACTGACGGAAGCAAACAATCTCTGACCCCACTGACACGCACACACCCCTTTGATACAAGTACTACCTAGTGCCTCAACTATCGATTAAATTTCTCTCTAGCAACTAGGTCAGGAATCGGAAAACACTAGACGGTTAGCAAGAACCTCGGAAGTGAGAGTTCGGGCATCGGCCAATCAGCGAATAGCCATACATTCTGTGTTGGCAACGATTCCTGAGATCAAGGATTTAAAGTCGGAACAAAGAGAATGTTTGGTGAATTTTATCAAGGGTAAAGACGTTATTGTCCTTCTTCCTGTGGGATTTGGGCATTACATACGTCGCGACCAAATAGCAGTGATTAGTTAAATAAAAAAGTACCCTCCTACCGTTGAGCGAACGAATCCTAATGCTGCGAGGTCAGTCTGATAAATCAGACTAGAAATGTCATGCCTAAGGAGTCAACTACAAAACACAACTACACAAAAGCCACTGCTGCCCCACTGTGGCCCCTGATATTTCCAGTGGTCATCCATCAATGTACTAACTAGGCCCAGCTCCGGGATCACAATGAGATTGGGATCAGATGTTACAGCCATGAAACACAAAATCAAAATCACACATTTGGAAGGGAGAATTTGACAGTCATAAAAACATCTAGATTTTGATATTATTATAATATTTTGTGTATTATAATAACAAATCAATTTACTGTGGTCATGTACCATGCCTCGTCCCTGTTTCCTCCCCCTCTCTCCCCGTGTTGGGCAGGTCGAGCAGAGTCGGGGGCACAGACAGGGCCGTGAGCTGGGGCTCGGGCGAGGGGCACATGTGGGCAGCACCATCACGACCAGGGACCAACACCAACTGTCTCAGCAAACCCTGAAAACACCAAACAACACCACAGGATTATCACATGATGGATAGAGAGAGAGATCGGAAAATAGAGAGAGAGAGAGAGAAAGAAAGAGACAGCTGGACCGATAGAGAGAGGAAGAGAGATGGATAGAAAGACCAACAGAGAGATAGATAGATAGACCGACAGAGAGAGCAGAAGAGAGACTGAAGATAGATAGAGAGACACAGACAGCGACAGACTGACAGAAAGATAGACAGAAAGGAGAGAGACAGAGAGAGAGAGAGAGAGATGGACAGATTGAAAGATAGATAGAGAGATAAAGAAACACAGACAGATAGAAAGATATACAGAAAGAGAGAGATGGACAGATTCAAAGATAGATAGAGTGACAGATAGAGAGAGACAGACAGACTGACAGAAAGATAGACAGAGGGAGAGAGAGAGTGAGAGAGATGAACAGATTGAAAGATAGATCAAGAGATAAAGAGACACAGACAAATAGACAGACAGATAGAAAGATACGTAGAAAGAGAGAGATGCCAGACATAGACGAAAAGGTAGATAAATAAAATAAAATCAGTCTTACTGAGAAAAGACCTTTCCATCGTCCCCGACTTCCAACGTAGAATCTGGATTCGTGGATGTTGAGCTCTGACGGGAAAGGCTCAGAGGGAACACTGTTTGGAATAAATATAAAAGTTATAATTAATTATTTATATAAAGTTTGTTGTAATAAGGAAACCAAGTACAATGCCCTTCACTAATATTACCAGTACTTATGAAACAATCCTTATGTGTCCCCAGAAATTTGTCTTGTCGTTATTTGTATTCTGTGTGTTTTTTTTTTTTTTTTTATTTACCATTTTTTATCATGTGAGGGCTGCAGTTTCAGACAGGGGGAGTTTGGAAAATCTGGGAAAGGCTTTGAGGAAAACCGGGAATCACTATCAGAACCACTATAGTTGGGTATACATTTGTTTAACTTTGTGTTTAAGTTTTGAAGGAGCACACATCACAGACATTATAGTAGATTTAGATAAGATAAAGACTTGTTTTACTCAAAAGCGTGTGATAGTAACATGGTAATAGCATTGTAACTAAACGTATAATAATGGTAATAGCATAGTAATTAGTTGTGATATTCTAAAACAGTATAAAAGTCAATTGCCAAGATGTTTTTTTTTTTTTTTTTCCATTATAATTTAAAATAGTAACAATGATATTTTATAATTTTTTGGTCTAACAGTGAGCATTTGCATTGATTGTAAAATATGCTGCATTCATTGTACATATTGAAAGTCTAGTTGCTGGTATTCCCTCTTTTAAGCAGCCAGAGGGAGTTTCCGCTCACACTATCTATCACGCACTGTCAGGTCACTGTGATGTGGCTGTAGGCTCAGAGCCACTTTGGAGCACAGCCATTGTATTGTGTCGACAGATCTGCTTTACCTCAAGGGATTTTCAAACTGGAGAGAGGGACACAGAAAGGAGAACTTATCAGCTTACGTTTAGGGGTGGGCAACACTGACAAAAATAACTTAGTATTTCTATTTCTTCTTCTCAATGACAACGTGCGGACGATGTTATGATAGAAATGTGCTAAAATATGCCTGTAAATGTCATGGTTTGAAGTTCAAGAATCATAAAAGTTGTCATCAAGGTTAAAAAAATGTTTTAAAAGGTTCACTGGGTAATTTTTCAGGTTGGGAATCCACTACCATGGAGATAATACTTTGCCTGTCAAAAAAATATTCAAAAAAGATGCATTTATTCAATTATGGGGTTTTTTATAGCTCAAAAATACCTTTTAAAGCAAAACTGGCCTGGTGGTAGTCCTGCTTGTTTTTATATGGAGATTGAAAAGTTTAATGCCATACTTTGGAACATTGTAGATAAAGCAATGACAAGCAACTGGTGGGCCACAGTGCACCTTTAAAGAACTCATATATGCTTGCAGTTATTATATATTTATAATCTAGGACATCCCTGGATCATTATGTTACAATTGGGATATTTTAAATTGCAATATTTATCTAAAACGACTTAATAAAAGAAACAAATTTGCTGACTTCCACTTTAGAAAACTGTGGGGGCAATGTTAGCTGATGTAACTAAGGCTGGGTATCATTAAGAAGTTGCATATGATTCATACCTCGATACATAGGCCACGATACGATATATATCTTGATACAATGCACTTTCGATCCGATACAATATATTTCAAAATGATTCGATACGGTTGAATAAAATATAAAGGCTAAATCATGGTTGTGATACTTAAAGTCTTTGTTAAACCACTTCTTGTGCAAAGTTATTACTAAACACAAACGTTTTACTCATCAAAACAGTGAAAATGTCAAATTTGTTGCATAAACAAGTCTCTTTCCTCTAAAGAATCAACAAAACTATAGCGCTGTAACAAAATATTCTAAGTAAGTAAATAAGTTTTTATGTATGTAGCGCTTTTCACAGACATATATCACAAAGACACTTTACAGAGCATTATTCAGTCACTCCACACTCAGTGGTAAGCTGCTATTGTAGACACAGCTGCCCTGACTGACTGAAATGTGACTGCCAATCGGTCCCTCTGACCACAACCATTATTCATGCACACAACACTTTCACACTAGGCAATGTGGGGGAAGTGCCTTGCCTAAGGACACAGCAGCAGTTTTTACCACTGGCACCCCACTGTGGCACCTGATTTTCCCAGATCTCCCATCCAAGAACTAACCAGGCCCGGTCCTGCTGAGCTTCTGACATCTGATGGAATTTAGTAAAATATACCAAAAATACTGTTGGCGATATATATCAGTACAACAGCCCATCATATCGATACTGTATCATGACATTAAACAATATGATATATTGATATTTCACTATTTTTGCACACCCCTAGAGGTCACTGTAAACATCATTACAACAGTCAGCTCTTCTTATGAATAGCTGCACATCACACTATCGAGTTATGGATTTATTTTATTTTATTTTTTTCATTTGGACTAAAATTATGTTGCTGAATCCTCGATTAAGAAAATAAAATTGGAGAGCAAAGTAATTACAGAGCAGTGGACGTGTACCAGTGGCAGTGAAAATGGGAGTCTACTCAAACATGCACGAATCACTCCAAATACAAGTTCAAGACGGTAAATGAGAAAAGGAAAACAACAAAACAACAACAAAAGTCGATTTTGTGGAATAGCTCCACTTTAAAGGTCGCAGACTGTCACTGTAGTTCTAGGCAAAGCAATAACATCTCCGAGGCGACAAGCAGTTCACATAAAAAGTTACATAGTGCACCTCTAAAATAGATTGTATATTGGAATTTTACATCTCTTCAAAACAACAATTGTAGTATTATAATTTTATCCATATCTCCCACCTCTACTCACATTTCCACTGGAAGGTTGCAGTCCACAGTCAGCGTCACTGAACTGCTTTTGACGTTTAGTACAAAAGTGTGCCAGTGATTGTCGGCTAGTCCGGCTGTTCTGAACACCAGCCTCTTCACCTGTCCGTGTGGCTCTCTGTAGAGGAAGTGGAGGCGTCTTCGGGAGTACCTCAGGCCCAGCAGGAGGGGCCCCCGGTCGAGCGAGGGTACCTGTCTCTCTTGGGTGTCTTTGGTGGTCGTCTGGGAAGTTTTAAAAATATTGCTCTTCTGCTTCTTGATTCTGGCTCTGTCTGAACTGTTGGTGTCCATCAAAGAGAAGATGTAGTCGTTTCTCTGCAGAACAAAGGGAAATAGTTTGACTGTTAATGGTCTGATATTACACAAAACTGACTCGTGTGAGCTTTACGCCATGTTAGAACAGTGTTAACTCATCAAAAACAAACCTGGAGTTGTCTTTTTTTTCATTCACACACTTTTGAGTAACCCTTTATTATTAGTCTGTACATCCCCAAAGCTCAAAATGGTCTGTTCCACCTTGTGAGGTCATGAAGAGGAAGTGTTATCAGCTACCGTTTACCTTAAGTTTTGTACAGATTGGCAATTCCTGGTCTGAAACTATCCAAATGATTCTAGTGAAGGTGTATAGAGTTTAAAAACACAGTGAAGCACTTCCTGTATTACCACATGGCATCACAATGTGGAAAAGTTTTCAGTTTGAAAGAAAAACTCAGCCTAAATATATTAGATAGGCTGGCCCAACCTAGTGCCTCTGCTCAATTTCATTTCTCTCTAGCAACTAGGTCAGGAATCGGAATACACTAGACCACATGTGTCAAACATAAGGCCCGAGGGCCAGATCTGGCCCTCCAAGACCTTTAATCTGGCCCTCGGCTGATTTTCTACTAAAATGTTTTAATTATATTTTCTATTTAAATATTGGTAATTTGGTCTCCAGCGTCTCTGTGCGTGGCCCCTCCCACCAGAGCAGCACAAATGAAGACTTGTCTCTTTCCAAACGCTCTTAAAGGACGATCGTTTTGACTGTTGACCGTGACACCCTCATCAGAAAAATGTCCAACATGAGAAAAGTGGACGCAGAGTGAAAAATTTACTTATACCTATTTTCATATGAGTTAATGTTAAAACATTGTGTTGAAATTGTATTTTTCTTAAAGTTTCAGGTTGTTCATAATATTATAACATTTTGTAAAATAAAGAGTTCATCAATTAAAAAAGATTTTTGTAATAGATTTACGTTTCTCTGCACAAATATTTTAACTTATTGTTATTTTTGGGGTTTATATGACATGAGTTTTCTGATCCGGCCCCTTTGGGATCAAAATCGGTTGGATACGGCCCCCGGACCAAAATGAGTTTTACACCCCTGCACTAGACGGTTTACAAGAACCTCAGAAGTTGTAGACCACACACCGGCCAATCAGCAAAGAGCTGTGAAGCCATGAAGTCAAACTCAAGCACCTGTCTGTGTCCTTTTGTGGTACAGCACAACAGTAAAAAAAAGCGGTCGAGATGAATGTAGATGAAGGCATACATTCTGTGTTGGCAACAATTCCTGAGACTGAGGATTTAAAGCCGGAATAAAGAGAATGTTTGGTGAATTTTATCAAGGGGAAATATGTTATTGCCCTTCTTCCTACAGGATTTGGTGCATTACATACGTCACGACCAAACAGCAGTGATTGGTTAAATAAAAAAAGTACCCACCTACCGTCAAACAAACAAATCCTAATGCTGCGAGGTCAGATGGTTTCCACAAAGTGAAACAATGAATCAGGCTATAAATATGCAGGGTTTGTGAGTTAAACATGTGTGAATGAAACAAAACACAACTCCTGGTCTGTTTTTGATAAGGAAACATTATAAGGTGGATCAGAAAAGACAGTGATATTGGTACTTTAAAACTGAAATGTGAGGCTAGGGGCACTACTGCTAAAAGAAATGACAACATGGGAAAAACATGATTAACAGTACAGTAAATATCTTCTCGCTTACATCCTCATCTGACTCTGCTCTGTTACCTGTGGGTCCTTGTGAGAGATGGACAGTGTGACCACAATGGAGAACTCATGTGGGAAGAGGTGACAGTCGGGGAGCAGCTCAGAGGAGGGGAAGGACATGGAGCGATGTGGACTGGAGAACCTGAGCCCCCTCACAGCCTGAGCCTGCTCTATGTGCACACCAGGAACCAGGCTGGAAGGATCCCTCTCCAGCACCAAGGACAGCAGGTCCAGAGGAACCCCCCCTGCACACACACACACATAGAACAGATATTTTACATTGTGGGGTTATGTCAGGCGTGTCCAAACTTTTTTCATCAAGGGCCACATCTCAAAACAGAGATGAAGCAGAGGGCCGATCGAGGGCTGTAGACTGGAGCTCAATACAGTGAATAATTGAAATTTGTGCATGTTTAACACATGATAATGAGCCATCAGTCTTTATTCATGCTAAGATCCTTAAAACCACACACTAAATATTAAATATTTGCTTTATCAAGGTAGATTTTCAAAAAACTTGCAGTAAAATGCTCATTTTTAACTGATACAAGGTAATTTGGGTTCGTGGGGCCGCATTTGGCCCCCGGGCCATAGTTTGGACATGCCTGGGTTATGTTAAGGATTGGGGTTATGGTTTGAATTTAGTTGATTTCAAAATCCATAGTAAGCCCACAAATTATTGTAACGTTCACAAATGAACCTTGTGTTTAATTTGCCATAAATGCAAATCACAACTGAACCTGTGTTGCCAGTGCCTCCCTGCAGTTAGAGAACATATACACGTTTTGCCAACTGGTAATAGTGGTAATGTAGGTCAAATACGTCACCACTCCATTATTAAATGAAATGAATGAATGAATAAAGTAAAGGTTCTAAAGTCATTCACGTATATTGTAAGCTGTACAAAAGATGCACTGTCATGCCCTTGCTATTCTTGTCTGTGGAAACCCTGTAATAGAGCTTAATAGGACTTAATAGGGCCGTGAACTGGCCTGATTGACATAGTTAGCATTTTTACAACATGATGCATAGATAATGATCGGGAGGAGCTGCTGTAAACTAATCAATTCATTGACGCTTATGCATCATGAAGCCTGCAGTGCGAGAACAAGCCAAGAGTGGAGACTACATACAGCTGCAAAATAAACAAAAACTAAAATTATTTTCCAAGAACTGCTTAACTAATACAAAACTTCCACACAATTCAGAACTAAACTAGGAATTTATGGATTTTAACTTCCTGTTTATCCATGGGTTTGAGAATGATGAAAAATTAGGACCGTTGCCATAGCGATTAACCATTTAAAGGTAAATATTACATGTTTGCAGAAGTCTAAACTACAGGAATTTGTAGATTTTAACTCAGAACAATCCCCACAGCAATTAACAATTTCATCTGAACTACAGGAATTCATGGATTGTAAACTTCTAATTCATCCATGGGTTTGAGAATGATGAAAAATTAGAACTGTTACCATAGCGATTAACAATATAAAACTAAATATTACATGTTTGTAGAAGTCTAAACTACACAAATTGATTGATTTGAACTTCTTGTTTAACCATGGGCTTCAGAATGATGAAAAATTTGGACCATTCCCATAGCGATTAACCATCTAAAGCCAATATTACATGTTTGCACAGATCAAAACTACAGGAAATTATGGATTTTAACTTCTTGTGTATCCATGGGTTTCAGAATGATGAAAATTTTGAACCGTTCCCATAGGGATTAACCATTTAAAGCCAAATATTACATGTTTGTAGTGATCTAAACTACAAAGATTGATGGTTTTGAACTTTAACCATGGGCTTCTGAATGATGAAAAATTAGGACCTTTGCCAAAGCGATTAACAGTATAACAGTAAATATTACATGTTTGTGAGGTCTAAAGTACAGGAATTTATGGATTTCAACTTCTTGTGTGTCCACGGGTTTCAGAATGATGAAAAATTTGGACCGTTGCCATAGCGATTAACCATTTAAAGCCAATATTACATGTTTGCAGAGGTCTAAAGTACAAGAATTTATGGATTTTAACTTCTCGTGTGTCCATGGGTTTCAGAATGATGAAAAATCTGGACAATTACTATAGCGATTAACCATTTAAAGCCAATATTACATGATTGTAGAGGTTTTAACTACAGGAATTTATGCATTTTAACTTCTTGTGTATCCATGGGTTTTAGAATGATGAAAAATTTGGACTGTTCCCATAGCGATTAACCATTTAAAGCCAATATTACACGACTGAAGTGGTCTAAACTACACAAATTGATTGATATAAACTTCAGAATGATGAAACATGTAGAGAGCTGCCATAGCGATTAACCATTTAAACAAAACATTACATCTTTTAAATGGTAAAAACTCCTCAGAACGTTGCATAATATGACAGGCAATATTTTTTAGAGCATTTATTTCAAATTGTTAATCGCTATGGCAACCGTCCACATTTTTCACCATTATGAAACGCATGAAAACCAGCTTTTGTCGTAAGAAAATCACAACTTTTAAAAAAATTTTCATTGTATTTGGAGAATTTTTAAACTGCGATTCAAATCCTCTTGCAATAAATTATGCAGCCCCGGAGCCAATTTCCAGACTTCCCACCGGTTTAACCTGACGACACCCGAACCCCATACGCAATCCTAACTTTACATACGTATAATTCATAAATGTAATAATATTCAAACATGCACTTAGCAGCAGCGCTCCCATTCCACAGACAGCCCGGTACGCTCACACAGTTGGAATGAGCCAAAAGAATGTGTGCTGCAGGGCTTTCCCAGTCTCCGCCAAACACTGATAATCATTAAGTTCTTAAGCGCTACAGGAGCAGACAGCAAGCAGACAAAGTAGTAGTAGTAGTAGTAGTAAATGTAGGAGTAGTAGTAGTAGTAGTAGTAGTAGGACTAACCTTCACACTGCTTCCATGGTGTTGTGCTGCTGTGTGCAAGTCCAACTCCTACAAGAAACAGCGGCATAAAAATAAGCACAGACATGGTTCAGTTGCTTGTGTAATTATCCATATTATCTACAAATTAGTTTTTCGTATAGATCTAAACGCATTATATAGCTCGTGTCCAGCTCGTCTATAGAATGAAAGCGCAGTGGGGAGGTAGAATGACATGAGGATGCAGATCAGGGAGGAGACGCTCGTGTGTGTTTGTGTGTGTGTGTGTGTGTGTGTGTGTGTGAGGACTGCCCTACACCTGCAGAGACTTTAAATACCAGAGCCATGCAAATCAGAGCCACTACAGCCTCCAGCCTCCAGACGCAACCACCGTGACTACTGCTGCCGCTGGAGGAGGAGGGTGGAGGGTGGAGGAGGAGGAGGAGGAGGAGGGGGGGGTCCTGTTACACATTCAAAACACGGTGAAGCAGATGTCAGATTTCAGCGCACTTTGAGTTAGTGTTAGGATGTTAAATGGTCCGTGTTAAGCTGTTTTCTGATCTTTGCCTCATCAAAAACATACCTGGAGTTGTGTTTTGTTTCATTCACACATGTTTAACACACAAATCCTGCATATTTACACTGAGCTCTTCTCTCAAACTGACTGATTGACTGACTAACTGTGGTGATTCAAGAGGTGCTCCACTGTGTTGTTAAACTTCATACACCTTCACTTAGAATCATTTAGGGTAATTTCAACCCTTAAGTTGCCGCTCTCTGCTGAACAAAAGGTAAAAGGGGGCTGTGTGAAAAATCTCTCAGTCATCCAAGGTAGAAGCTGGGCTAGCGCCACCTAATGCCTCCGCTCAATTTCATTTCTCTTCAGCGACTAGGTCAGGAATCGGAATACACTAACCTACACCCTAACAGTTTACAAGAACCCCAGAAGTGCGAGTTCAATTACCAGCCAATCAGCAAAGAGATATACATTCTGTGTTGGCAACGATTCCGGAGATCATGAATTTATAGCTGGAACAAAGAGAATGTTTGGTGAATTTTATCAAGGAGAAAGATGTTATTGCCCTTCTTCCTATGGGATTTGGGAAAAGCTCAATATACGAGTTAGTCCTGTTAGTGGCGCATTACATATGTCACAACCAAACAGCAGCGATTGGTTAAGTGAAAAAAGTACCCACCTACTGTTGAGCAAATGAATCCTAATGCTGTGAAGTCAGACAGTTTCCACAAAGTGAAACCGGCTGATGAATCAGGCAAGGTACAATCCAATGCAAAGGAGAAATTCAGTTTGTCGACTGGACTAAAGTTTATTTGGTCGAACAAATCGATCAAATTTCCTTTATTTTTCTGGCTTGGTAAACATGTTTTCATAGGCATCTGTCAAAATAAACACATGTTAAAGTTGCGCTAAGTAACTTCTACTGGAGGGTCTGCCACCTACTCGTCTCCAAAAAAAGGTTATTTATTTGCTTGGAATGTTTATTTTGACCAAATAAACCTTTGTCCAGTGACAAACTGAATTTCTCCTGTGCCATGTAAAAGGTCGTTGTTAACTTGGACAGTACTGGTTCATGACATCACAAGGTGGAACAGAGCATTTTTAGCTTTGGAGATGCAGACAGATTAATAATAAAGAGTCAAACATGAAACGAAACACAACTCTAGGTCTGTTTTTGAAGAGTTAACAACATTATAACATGGCTTAAAGCTCACGAGAGTCATTTTCTGTGTAATAAAGAACCTAAGAATTCAGTATTAAAAGCTTAATAAGCATAGTAATAATAATAATAGTAATAAATAACACTTCAATAGCAACAGATAAACAGAAGATGCAGCATATGTGATTTCTTTTTGTTGCTTTTGTGCGTCTGCCACTGCACCTGTGTATAATGTCTACTGCTCATCCTGTCTCATTGTGTTGAGTTATGTTGTTGTGCATAAGTCTTTGTGCTTTTGCAGGACGCTGTGACATGTTTCACCCAGTAATCTGCTTTTATGTGGCTTACTGGCTTTTTACTAATCTTAATGTACATAATGTATATTTTGTCTTTTGTATATTGCTAATGTAGTATAGCCCTAGACTACAAAAAAAGTGGACTAAGTGGGTGTGAGCGTTCAACTCCAGTCAAATGAGGTTGCAGTTATAGGAACAAATTTGGAGACAAGTTCCACATTAGGAATAAAAACGTATTTACAGACAAAATAGCGAAATAAAAACACCAGGATTATGTAGAGGGTTAATATTTATGTTGAAAGACCAAAATGAGAGGCCTGAGAGCAGCAATTACAGAAAGAGGGGTGACGTTTTCTCAATAGAATGTGAACTGAAGTGAGTCGATGGAGCCTGAAGCGCGCCCATGCACATTTCTGATTTGGAATGGTCTCCTGGAATGTTACAATTCCTGGCATTAGAATGATCTTTGTGGCATTTTTATTCCTGAAATGCCTTGAAAACGAGCGTTCTTACTGTGAGTGGGCTCCCCTCTTCACCGAACTGATCACCTGTCTGTCATGGGGAGATTTAATGCCATACAGTGGAACATTCTAAGCAATTAAATAACTTAATAATCTTCTTGGAGATGACCAGGTGGCAGGCCCTCCACTAGAAGTTATTTAGCTCGATTTTTAAACTGTGTTTATTTTGAGAGATGTCTATCAAAACAAAGGAAAAGCAAAGTAAATTCTTGCTAATGTAATGTTTAAATCTTGTAGTGTGTTTTTGGAATAAAAGCATTTCAAATACAAAAAAACCCCGTAGATAAAGTGAGATAAAACTTAGAGATCAGGTCATAAATTGCTCACAGTTCAGTTCCAGGCTCTTGGTGCTGCCATGCCTATGTATGCCAGGCTTTTAGAAGAATATGCAAATATTTTAGTGATCTCAAGAATTATTATGTAAGAATGTCTGGTCTGTTTTTCATAAGAGTATTTAATTTGTATTTCACAAGGCAAATGCCATGGGCTAATTTTTCATAACATTCAAGATCTGCCAGTTTAAATGTCTCTGTTATAACCTGGTCAAGTCCTTGGTGCCAACTTATTTTACGATGCACTTTTATAGCTTTGGCTTTAGTCCAAATTTAGATAATGTGGCACCTTTAAAGGTCCTATATTGCGCAAAATTGAAGCTTGCCAGACTTTAGTCACGTTATAATGCTGATATTGATGAGTAACCCTTTATTATTAGTCTGTTTACATCATCCAAAGCTCAAAATGATCTGCTCAATCTTGTCATGAAGCGGTAGTTTTCAAGTTAACAGCTCCTTTTACCTTAAATTTAGTAGAGATTGTAAATTCCAGGGCTAAAAATATTCCAAATGATTCTATTGGAGGTTTGTGGAGTTTAAAAACACACTGGAGCACCTCCTGTATTACCATATGCCATCGCAATGTGAAACAGAGTGTTTTCAGTTTGAGAGAAGAACTCCTCAGAAAGCCCAAATACACAGGATTTCTGTTAAACATGTGTAAAAGAAACAAAACAAAGCCCCCGGTATGTTTTTGATGAGAAAACAACATCATAACAGATCAGAAAATGGTGTAATAATGGACCGTTTAATGAATTTAAGCAGTTTGAACATGCATTTATTCATGCTTCTAAAGAAATACAAGGTTAATTCCAGCTTATATCTAGCATGTGAGTGTCATGAATGATGGATGGTGATTGTAAATGCCACTGGTACAGATTGATGGCCATGTTTCTGTTAACCCGAGGGCATCTGTGGCTGTAAGAGTGTAACACTTGTTTGACCTTTTCAGTAATTCTTAAAAAATGCAGCCGTGTCTAGTCTTATTTAAGCATTTTCTAGTGTGTTTCATATGTACAAATACACACAAACGCACCTTGTTTTATTATTGGTGAACGATGTAACTTTTCTCATTGTCCTTGGCTAGAACATTCCACAGTATGACACCAAATTATTATTATTTTTTTTATTTGGTATTTATTCAGCGCTTTTTTTTTTTTTTCCTCCACATAAGTCAGAGTATATATGCAGTTTTTTTTCCCACAAATGAGGGGCTTGCCACCAGCCTAAGTTACAGGTCAGCTCTGTGGACAGGCAATTCTGCTCACAGTAAGAATGCACCTTTTTCCAAGGTTTTTTCAGCAATTAAACCATCTGTATTTGACTAAAGAGATACACAAGTTTAATGCCATAGTGTGGGATGTTCCAGACTAACCAAAATTATAGATCAAACTCAAATTCACAGAGGCCAAAATTAAAAACTGAGACTGAGTCGTGGGCCAATGTAAATATTTATTGAAAAATTTCAGCAACATCTGCATGTTTTCCCTTCTTTCGAGATATGTAATATGAAACCTTTTCTTATTAAAATAAATGTTTAATAATAGTTTTGCTTAAACTTTGAATCTAGAACAAGCAAAATATAACATAATAATGCTGAGTTTGACATGTCTGATCTACATGGTGACACGGACAAAAGAGTAACATAATGCAGCTTTAAACAAGTGTGGTCACGATACTAAAATTTCTAACTTGATTCCAATACCAAAATTATAATAAAAACACTTTCTTTGGACAACAGAATGTGAGTTTCAACATTAAATCTAAGTACTTTCTGTCATATTCCCATGTGGTTTTATATCTGGGTAATCCCTCAGTGGTCCATGGGCGTTTACCGGTACTACTCTACGTGCTCTTATACTTGTTCTGATCATTTTAAAGCAGACCTGAGCATTGTACAGCTTCCCAGCCACATACTGCCCTTTGGTTGTCTCTGACCGACCCATTTAGGCTAATTTGGAATTACAAAATTAACATATTTTATCATTTTACCTCATGCAGGGACTGAAGCTGCATTGCTTTTATTTTAGAGGTGTTTTAATGACATTTTTTGTAAGGAAACCTCATGTTTTCATTGCTTATTCATAACATAAACTCTTACCAGCTCGACAAAACAATGCCATTTACTGCTTTTTATAAAGAAATCAAATATCATGCAGAATTGAGTTTAACATTTTGTTTCTCTTATGTGGCCTCATGGAAAAAATAATTGCCCACTCTTGCTCTACAGCTATTAAGGAAAGATTAATTTCTGTCCTGTGAAGGTGACTTTTTTAGTATCAATATCTGCTCAAATGAGTACCCAGTTTCAATACTATTTTTAGCTTTGATGTGTCTGATTTTCAAAACTATTTTCAAATCCCACTTGAAACAGTGGCTAAAGGAAAATCAGGTTTGTGGACACTTTTAGTTTTAGTTTGTGGTGTCACCTGCCTAGGGACTACTGATGGAAATAAGCATTTTTGCTATAATCTGGCATATTTACACTGCTGTATTGTAGATGTTCATTAATATGCACTGTCCCTATTAAATAAAACAATAAAAACTTTTGAGAACCAAGCTATCCAGATTGGATCTCTATTTTTGCCCCATTTCTTCTTCCTACCAGTCATCTAAAACACAAAATCGTCCGTATTTTGTGCATGAGTGTACTACTTTACCTAGTTAACCCTTTGCACATTCTGAACAATGGACCAGTGGCGCCACCTAGCTCTCACCCAACAGTAAAGCTGCAAGAAACCGTCAACACTGAGATTAAAGAAAGCGTCAGTGACACAGATCTGAGTACCAAACTATATTTATTGTATACAGTAGTAAAAGACCACAAATAATGTACAAATCAGTAGAGAAACATAACATGACAAAACACGGGCCCACTTCTTCGTATGAACCATTGACTCTTATATCCATTAATGTGCTTATGTTTATGAAAAATTCTTAACACACTTTCGCGGGACTATACAGATTTCTAAAAGATTGGGGCTATGGCTATTCAACGTTGCCTAAATCTTCGCCTAATTCACACACATACACAACATTGCACATGCACGTTTGAAAGAAATAAGTCAAATTATTAAAAAAAAAAAAACATCACAAAATTGACTCTTGTGAGCTTGAAGCCATGTTGGAATCTTGTTAGCTCATCAGAAACATGCCTGAAGTCGTGTTTTGTTTCATTCACACGTGTTTGGTTCGTTATTAGTCAGGTCAAATGCTCTGTTCCACCTTGTGATGTCATGAAACGGGAGCTTTCAAATTAGCAGCTACTTTTAAGTTTTAGTTCAGTAGAGGTTGACAATTACGCGACTGAAATTATCCAAATGATTCTAGTGACATCGCAAGGTGGAATTCAGCCTAAATATGCAAGGTTTGTGTGTTAAACATGTGCGAATGAAACAAAACACACACAAATACAAGTAGTTTTTCGATGAGGAAACATAACAGATCAGAAAATAGCTTAATATGGGCCCTTTAACTGCCAAACGCGCTACATACAAAGAAATGGGCCCTTTATGTAGATTGGTTTGTTCACCGCGCTCTCCCTGCCTACCGAATATTGTGCAGCCTTGTTGTTTACGCTCTGCAATACCGGAGACGCCGGCACGACATCTTTTTAGTTTTCACACTCTGTTGTAAAGGGTGTTCAAATGAATGGCCTGCACTTTCTTCCTGTACAAACAAGTAAAGTAAAAAAAAAATAATTTAAAATGGGACAGCAGACAACACAAGACGCACATTTCTCGCTGCTGAAAGCCGGGAACGACACACTGGCTTTCAGTAGCGTAACTGCAATGTTCAACAAACCCGAATTCACTTGAGAATATGACGTGAGCTGGACTTGTTCAAAAAGTTACACCAAAGAACTTTTCTACTTGAGGATCTCCCACCTGTTTTTCACTGTTGAGCTGTGATTTCTTTCCCAATATCCCACAGTATGGCATTACACTGAATATTCTCCATAGCTGCATTGAAAAAAATTTATTCTGACAGAGAATGGGATTACTTCGGGTTATAATTTGGACATTTTAAAGATCAATATTAATCTAAAAAGGATTGATTTCAGTGTTAGAAAATTCAGGAGCCCAATGGGAGTTGACGTCAGCGTAAAGAATTTGTACTTCCGATGGATAGCTGCACATTTCACCGCAGGTTTTTCTTCATTTGTACCAAAATTACAACGCGGCACTGCTGTATCACCAATTAAGAATATAAAATTGGAGGACGTAAAAAGTACAGAGCAGTGGGCGTGTCCCGGGAGTGGTGAAAATGGGAGTTCATTTGTAATTTGGCATGAAAATGAGTGAAGACCGCCATGCACAAGCCACTTCAAATCCAACTTTCGAGTGGTTAAATGAGGAGAATTAACTATAACACGGTTAAAACTCTTGAGAAGTCGAGTTTGCAAAGTAGCTCTGCTTTAATGCCATACTGGGGAACATCAAACATGAAGAATTCGTATCAAAATAGACAAAAGCAGGTGGCGGGCCCTCCTCCAAAAAGTTACACAATTCACCATTAAGCTATGGTTTAGAAAGTTGCACTCAAAATGAATGTTCTGCTCAGCCACAATTTATTTACTCCCACTCGTTTTGTCTTGTTGGTGTGTTAAAATGGCTATATCGAATGACAGTACAGCTGCAGCCAAGTTCCGAGACAGTGGTCGAACAAAAGCCACTGAAGTAGAGTGAATTTACAAGCCGACAAACCCATGAACGTATTCGCACAAAAATGAACTCCCTAAAATGCCATAAAAATGCAGATACCATTAAAATATATATTGACATGAGAGCAAGAGTCGAGACAATACAAGAATGTGAAATGAAAGTGAGCGGTGCCAAAATGGCTGACCGTGGGACAAGCGGAACCTACAAAATACTAGACCAGAGACAGCCCTGACACTGCCGGTCCCAACGCGGTTTAGACACACTTTTAAGTCCCGGTTTGCACTCAAAGACAAGAGGACCACAGTTCAGTCCAGCCGGGGACAGTATATACACGAAGACACGCCCCCCACACCTGATGGAGAGCGCCATGGCGACGACAAACTGAGGTCATTATAAGAAAAGGGGGAAGAGGGAGGAACGGTGGAGGCGGAGAGGGGGTCATGGTGGCGTGGAGGGGTTTAGCAGCGGCCCCCTGTCTGCTGTTGGAACACGTCTATGGTGTCTTCGTCCTCCATCTCCAGCTGCGAGACAAAACACAGAAAATACGTCATTAAACAAAATTATCTAAAAAACAAAACAAAAAACAATTGGATAAGGAATAGAGTCAGACCTGTGCTGGGGTGTCCGTCTCATTTATAGGCTGCCCGTCAAACCTGAATCTGATCTGCCTTATTGAAAGACCCTGTAAATACATGAATTTATAGTTAATATTAGTGGTACTGGATGAGACACAGGATTATGATGTTTTTTCCCCCAAGGTTTATTTATTTATTCACAGGTGTTTATCATTTTTAAGTTTTTCTTCTTCGAACCCCACCCTCAACTTATAAACATGACAACATGAGATAGACATGTCCAAGAAGTAAACACTAATGAAATGAATCAATAAATATTAACAAAAGAAAACCTAGTAGAAAAATAAATACAAATAAATGATATAAATAAAGTATGCAGTAAAAAAATAAATACATAAAAATAAAATTTTAAAAATAATAACAATATTGCATGAGTGAGTAAATAAATAAAGAGAATAAAATAATAATAAAAAATAAATTAAACTACATTTTTACAATTTCTCTTGCTTCCATGGTTTGGAAATAAGACAAAAATGGTTGAGTTTGTAGAGGTTTGTGGAGAAAAGTAGTGCCAGACAGGTACACGAAGTAAACACGAAATGAATCGATAATGACAAAAGAAAACAAACTTGGTACAAAAATAAATACAAATAAATTATATAAAGTATGCAGTAAAAAAATTAAAATTAAATAAATAATAGTACTACTACTACTACTACTAATAAAATTTAACAAAAAAAAAATATATATATATATTTAAAAAGGATTAAAAAGCGAGAAAAGGAATTCCAGTTGTTGAATTTCAGTGAATTGGCCGCAGTGTGTAAATGTAGTGCGGCCTAGTGGTGTTTATGTTGCACTACCATATTGTATCTCTTTTTTAATTTTAATATTCATGATTATTTATGTTTTGATTTGTTTTTATTATGATTTTAATGTATTTCTTATTCTGTAAAGCACTTTGAATTACTTTGTGTACGAATTGTGCGATACAAATAAACTTGCCTTACCTTGCCTACTTTTGTTTAATTTGGGCAGATTTGTGTTAGTGTCTGTGGTCAGGGGAAAATGGGGCTTTTTTTTGTTTGTTGTTGTTGTTTTTGTTGTTGTTTTGTATTTGTTGTGGGTGTTATGCTGATTATGGAAATTGTTAAATGTTGATTGTTGTATTTTTTTTTAAGTTATATTCTGTTGTCCTTAATTTAAAAAAAAAATAAAAAATTTATCAAACTACATTTATACAATTTTTCTTTCTTCCGTGGTTTGTTAATAAGACAAAAACAGATTCCAGATATTTATTTAATTTTTTTAACTGAGCATTTGGTTGTGTATGCAATTTTCTCCAGCTGAGTGTAGCTGTTTGCGGAGGTTTTGCGTAGGGTTTGGTGGAGAGTTTGGTGGAGAGTTTGGTGGAGAGTTTGGTGGAGAGTTTGGTGGAGAGTTTGTGGAGAGTTTGGTGGAGAGTTTGTGGAGAGTTTGTGAGAGTTTGTGGAGAGTTTGTGGAGAGTTTGTGTCTAAAAGTGGAGGTTTGCAGAGGTTTTGTGGAAGTTTGCAGAGGTTTTGTGGAAGTTTGCAGAGGTTTTGTGGAAGTTTGCAGAGGTTTTGCAGAGGTTTTGTGGAGGTTTTGTGGAGTTTTGTGGAGGTTTTGTGGAGATTTTGTGGAGATTTTGTGGAGGTTTGTGTCTAAAAGTGGAGGTTTGTGGAGGTTTTGAGGAGATTTGTGGAGATTTCTGGAGGTTGGTGGAGGGTTGTGTCTAAAAGTGGAGGTTTGTGGAGGTTTGGAGGAGGTTTTGTGGAGATTTTGTGGAGGTTTTGTGTCTAAAAGTACTCCCTGACCTGTCTCTCGCAGTACGCCTTCATGAGTTTGCTGAGCGGTGTGTGCCGTTTGATTTTGAACTGGACCACGGAGCCGTCCTGTCCCGCCACTTTCAGGTTGATGTGGTCGTTCTCGGTTTTGACTCCCTCCTGAAAAACACACACACAACGTAACACGAGTTAAAACGAGGAAAAGAAAGTGAAACATCCCCCACACAGAAGCAACAAGATACAGAGGCAGACAAGAGAGCCGCAGATAAAGAGCCGCAGATCTGTCCGAGGCTCCGCGCGGCTCTCGGGGCTAAAACCGTTAGCATTAGCATTAGCTCCAGGCTCGTCCCACACGCGAGCTCCACTGTCACAACCCGAGCCGGCTAAAGCTAAAGCTAATGCTAAAGCTAAACCACTTTACTACGGCTTATACTTCACAAATCTGCAGGGCAAACAAACACCACAGCCCGAAAACAGATGCTTTTAGCGCGCTGCGGCTGCCCCGTTTTACCGCTACATTTTTGCGCTGCTGCAGTTGCGGCATTTGAGACATTGCGGACTTAACGCGATCCGCTCTGACAAAGAAAACAAATCCGCTATTAATATAAAGATTAGAACTGACAAACGCAGTCCCATTCGAGCCTACGGCAGACACGCATCTAAACGAAAACATTTCACACGCAAATGCACACCAATGCGAGCGGATTGCAATCTCAAGGTAATAAAAGGACGGGTTAGCGGCTGCTCATTCATTTGCGGAGAAAACACTGCGCCGTTTCGGAAACGTGCAAACAACAAGAGCGTGTTCTCGTGTACATCCGAGCGCCTGCAGACCCCGTAGCGGCCTGTCTCCCCCGGGCACACAGTCTTACCTTGGGCTTCTCCTCTGACATGGTTGGGCCGGTCCGGGGGCTCTGGAGCTGTGGATTATTCGGGTTTTGTGAGTGTTTGTGCCGCTTCTTTCCTCCTCTCTGTCCTCCTCTCTGTCCTCCTCCTGCTCAGACCCCGGGAGCGCGCTTCAGACCGCTGCCGGTGCGCGCGATTGGCCCACGCGCTCCCACGTGACTCCAGGCATCGGGAGCGCGGACACGGGAGCGCGCACCTCAGCAAATACTCGATCACGATGCCCACACAAGCATGAAGAAATCAGCTGTACAATTTATCACCCAACATATTTTATAGGTTCGATAAATTACACATTATTCAAATTCAATGTTTTTTTTGGCACGAGCCTCCACCGAAAGAGGCTCAGGTCCAGGGGTCCAACAGGGGCCAGAGCACAAAAGGGTCCAGCCAAATAAGATGAGCCTCAGTGGGTTCTTTTAACAAGTCTAATCAATAATAGACGAACCTGTTATGAGTAGAGAGGAAACTGTAAAATAATAACCTTTTCTCACTGGCTTTTAATAAGTGACATGAACATTTCTTGTTGAGTATCTTACTGTTTTCTATGTTTTTTAGTAGTTGTATTCAGTGTTGGGAAGGTTACTTTTAAAATGTTTTCCCCAACAGATTACAGATTACATAGCCCAAAATGTAGTTTGTATCGTAATCCATTAAATTAAAGTGAGTAACGTAATCTGAATATTTTGGATTACCTGATATTGTCTTGCTTTTTAAAACTACATGAATGTAGCAACCACATCCTGAAAATTCTTGTTTGTTCTTTTCATATTGGCTGTTGAGCCCAAGTCTCCATGAACAGACATTTGTTTGCTGTAGAGAAGCAAAAACTAGAATCTCTCATAAAATGTTTTGTTTTGTCTGCTGAAAGAAGAAAAAAAAAGACCAGTCTTTCCTTAACCAAATTGAAAATATTATTGATAGAGAAATTATTTTTATATGAGATCACTGCTGCCTTAAAGTATGTCCACCCTACTGTTAGGTGTCATGTTGTTTAGACCTGGTTTTAGTCCTAATTTAGAACTGGTATAGTCCTGGTTTAGTCCTGGTTTAGACATGATGAAAACAGGAAAATACCACCATGTAATCCATTTATTTCATCAAAGTAACTGTAATCCAATTACCACTCATGGAAACAGTAACTCTAACTGAATAAAGTTACTCATAATTTGTACTCTGATTACGTAATGCCGATACATGTAATCTGTTACTCCCCAACACTGCTTGTACTGTGTATATGTACAGCACTTTGGCCTGATGTAAAGTTTTTAAAGTGCTTTATAAATAAAATTGGTACGGTATGGTAATTGCATATTGTGTTTTGTAAATTGTTGCTGTGCATATGACTGAAATAATTTATGTAATTAATGTCTCTCTCTCTTTTTATTTTATTATGATTTTTTATGTTTTGATTTGTTTTTATTGTGATTTTAATGTATTTCTTATTCTGTAAAGAACTTTGAATTACTTTGTGTACGAATTCTGCTATACAAATAAACTTGCCTTACTTTTAATTAGCCTTATACATTTATTGTATTCTTAAATGTTAAAGTTTTAATAAAACTTTGATGCTACTGTATTTACCACCAGCACTTTCAGAATGCTTGAAGATATGTAGTTGAATCAGTTTTGACTCCGCCCTCACTTTCTTATGATGTTTATCTGTTAGAAGCCATATCCATATGTGGTCCCCCCAGGGTTAGCAGTAGAAAAAAACAAATGTAACACACATCTTGTCATCTTTCATATTTCATCGGTAATACTACAAACTGTAAACTAAAGGTAACCAAAATGTGTCAAAAATGTAAATATAGTATAGGCCCATGTACATGCAGGATTTGGCTGAGGTCAAATTGAACAAGAATTCTAATCTGACATCAGCCCAAAATTATTAATGCAAAGAAAATACTCTTAACGTCATGGAAGGGGCCGTCAGTACCAAGCTCTAAAATGTGGCCTGTGAGACCTGCTAATATTTTACATCTAGAGAAAAAAATATATTTGTTAAAGGATAAACTAATATAATTTAAGACAGTGTGGCAACCTCTTATTTTTTATAATCTGTAACTACGTGAGAAACATCTCCAAATTTCACTTCAGATATAATCAGTGTTGGGGAGTAACAGATTACATGTACCGGAGTTACGTAATCAGAGTACAAATTATGAGTAACTGTATTCATTTACAGTTACTGTTTCAGTGAATGGTAATTGGATTACAGTTACTTTGTTGAAATAAATGGATTACACGGCGGTATTTTCCTGTTTTCACATTTTGGGCTATTCACTTTTTCCCCCTTTTTATTTTTTTGGTAAATTCCACTCATTGCCGGACACTATACCAGGTCTAAACGCAGGTCTAAAACCAGGTGGAAAACCCAGGTCCAAACCAGGTTTAAACCTGGTCTAAACCAGGTCTAAAACCAGGTCTAAACCAGGACTAAACCAGGTCTAAACTAGGACTAAACCAAGACTAAACCAGGTCTAAAACAGGATTTAACAGGACTAAACCATGCTGCGTGGACGTGTCTCCTACTCTTCTATCAATAACATTTTTAATACGGTTCAGTAAAGTCTGGGCTTTTTATTTTCTTTTATCAGACAAAACTTATGTTACGATATCCTGGTCTTTGCTTTTCTACAGCAAACCAAGTAATCCAAAGTATTCAGATTACTTTAAGTAATTTAATGGATTACGTTACGAACTACATTTTGGTGTATGTAATCTGTAGGGGAATACATGTTAAAAGTAACCTTCCCAACACTGGATATAATTATGTACCTCTGCAGGCTGTTATGTTTGTTCTCAGTTTTGTGTGATTTATTTTTATTTTAACTTTTATATACCAAAAAGCATTGAGCGCTATTGATCCTGTCCGATTTGAGTTGTAAACCGTTTTTAGTTCGATAAAAATGTTATGACTAAATTTAACACAAATCCAAACAAAGGAACAGGCAGGTTTTTTTTTTTTCCCCAAATAATTTATTCCTACTAAAATACACGTGGCAGAGATATTTAAAACAATAAGATACACATTAGAAAAATCAAAGCATGAAAAAGGATCGTGATTTCTTAAAGGTAAGCAGCAGTATTCACAGCAGTAAAACGTACTGTGTTATGTAGGCCTTTTATTTACAATCTGAAAGACACATGTTACTGGTGCACACGCCTCTGATCAGAACAGAACGTGAACTCTGTCTAATGACCAAAGGGCTTCTTGTTCTAATTGTTCAGCTAAAATGTATTCATTTACACAGGTCCACATCCAGAGGGGCAGCGGGCGTCTCAGGCAAACTTGGAGTAGGGGTTCTGTCCACTCAGACCTGAAGGGAGAAGACAAGAGGATGTTATTAGAATCCCAAAAATAATGTAAGCTACAATAAAGAAATCTTAATCCACTCCACGAACAAGCATAATGGTTTTCTAATTATAGAAATATGCTCAAAATTAAAGTTATTTTGATATCACCTAGGAGAATTTCTGCATGAGACCATCTATGTGCACATGATTATTTCTGTCATGCTGTTAAAGATGTTCTGGATTAAACCATTTGGGAAATGATTGAGCTGTATTATCTAACTTTTGAGGTGCAGAGTCCATCACCTGCTCATCTCCTGAAATGTTATTGCTTCGCCATAATTGTGTGCGCTATAAACCTGTATAATCTTGTATTTATTTAACTACAGACATTTTCATTGTCAGGCCTCCGTGGAGAGAAGGTCTTGGACCCCCCCACACCTTAAAATACACAGTAAATATTTTCAGTAGTAAAGTTTGTGAGTTTGAATGTAATCTGTGTAGGACTAATAATATAAATTATAATAATATACCAATATACTACTACTAATAATATAAAAATTGTGGCCATACCAGCCTGATCCGTCAGATTTCAGAAGCTAAGCAGGGCCAGGCCTGGTTAGTATTTGGATGGGAGACACTGGGAATTCCAGGTGCCACAGTGGGGCGCCAGGGGCTAAAACTGTCGTTGTGTCCTTAGGCAAGACACTTCACCTACATTGCCTAGTATGAAAGAGGTGTGAGCATGAGTGATGGTGGTGGTCAGAAAGGCCGATTGCGCAGATTGGCAGCCTCGCTTCCGTCAGTCTGCCCCAGGGCAGCTGTGGCTGAGTGCTGAATGAATGAGCAATGAACTGTAAAGCACTTTGGGTATCTTGAAAGGTGCTATATAAATGCAATGATTAATTAATGTGGGAACTGTAGTCCTCTCATGGGGGGGGAAATAAATAACTAAATCAGGTCCAGTTAAATAAATCTTTCCATATTAGCTCATGGTTTTAAAGTCAAAATGTGTGTTAGGATTAAGGTTGGCTAAGTAGTAGGTCAAGATCAGTCTCCAAAAAATGTATATGTGCCAAAATGGTCTACCACATGCCAGGTCAATGAAGACCGGTCATTCTTTTTGGGGACGTAACATTTCCATGACCTAAAATTACAATTAAAATTAAATACAGAGTGCCCTTACCATATTTCTTCCTGATTTCGTCGTGTCTCTCCTTCATCTCCGCCTTCCTGTGAAAACAAATATTGCCTTATGAGAAACATTGTGACTAATTATAAGTGAGTGCAGGCTAAACACAGCCACAGACCTGATAAACCTGTTTGGGCAGATGGGTCTGTGTGTGACGCGAGCGTCTGACCCGCTCACTGTTCCTCTGTGATATGGATCATACACACAACTATGTACAGGTGTCTGCTGGGTCATGTGTTACATGTTTAATGGCATTCGGTTTGTTTTCAAATGGTTGTCACGATATGAAGATTTAACACTTGAATTTGCTCCGTAATACAAATTTGGATACCACAATGTCAATAACAGTTTTTTATACAAACTACAGCAATTTACAAAACAGATCTTTAAAGGGACTGCATTATGCCATTTTATGAACAATGTTGTAATGTTGTTTCCTCATCAATCGTTGTTTCATTCACACATGTTTAACGCAAAAATCCTGCATATTTAGGCTGAGCTCTTTTCTCAAACGGGAAATACTATGTTCCACATTGTGATGTCATGTGGTAATACAGGAAATGCTCCACTGCGTTTTTAATCTCCACACACCTTCACTAGAATCATTTGGATGACTTCAGTATGGAATTACCAGAGGTGGGACCAAGTCGTTGTTTTGCAAGTCTCAAGTCTCAAGTCTTTGACCTCAATTCTCAGTCAAGTCCCAAGTCATCTGATTTGAGCTTCAAGTCATTTCAAGTCTTTAAACCAAAAAAGTACCAAATACAGTTTAGATTTTTGCAATTTATAAGACTTTTAAACTAAATTGTACTTTAAAAGTCATGGTGTATTTATATATGAGTATTTATGTAAGAGTTGTAGAAATGCTAATTTATTTTTCCTTTTTAAATGTCTTGACAAGATTTTAGTGTGAATCATTACGGTCAGCACAGACAGCTTTGTGTTGCTTTTTTTTATATGAAAAGTGCTCTATAAATAAAGTTTGATTGACTGATTTAATGCTTAAGTGCTTAATAACAGTTATTTTGTCATGTAGTCTGCACTAAAATGGAAGGATGTTGTTCTGATCTGTTTTACTGTATTGTACTGTATATTACTGCATATTACTATAGTACATTTGAGTATCACAGTACTTCAGTTACAACCAAAGTACCAAACAGAAGTGGGAGGGACATGTTTCAGTTTATTCCTGTAAAATATGGTGCCGCATTTATCAACTGTAAAGAGAAAAGTATTTTTAAAAAACATATATATATTTTTTTAGGAGAAGCATCAAGTCTCCTCAAGTCACAGGCCTCAAGTCAGAGTCAAGTCCCAAGTCATCGACCTTCAAGCCCAAGATGAGCCCCAAGTTTTAGTCTATTTTATCAAGTCAAGTCTCAAGTCCTAAAAATAGTGACTCAAGTCTGACTCGAGTCCAAGTCACAATTTACAAGTCCCCACCTCTGGGAATTACCAAACTCTACTGAACAAAAGGTTAAAAGAAGTTGCTCACCTGAAAACTACAGCTTTGTGACATCACAAGGTGGAACCGATATTACATAGGGGTGCGACAACATCCAACTCTCACGATACGATGCCGTCATGGTTCGATATTTATTGCGATATTTTGTGGAGACTTACAAAGTAGTGAATATGCGACTTTTCCCTCTTAAAATGCCTTTACAAGACTTAATCCAAATAACTAGATCTTAAACGTGCTTAGAACTGTTATTTCTTCTTGTAGTCTGCACTGAAATGGAGCAAAGAATCATGGTCTATGTAGTTCCCTCTGTTCTTTTAGCTATTTCTACATCATAACTCTTAATTTAAGCAAAGACTCTTGTGATTCGATATATTGTGATGGTCCATGATATTACTGAGACCTTTGACGATACGATATCACAATATTGCGGTTATTGCTACACCCCTCAACAAATTAAAGTCCATTTTGTGTAATATAGGATTTTTAATATTACCTTGTGTTCTGTTATGATCAAGATGTTTTTTGTTCAAAGAGATACTAGTTTTAGTATCAATTACTGTGTATTTGGGTGTCAAGATATAATTAAATTCAGATGAACTACAAAAATCTATAAAGAATTATGGGAATGCAACATGCTGTCATCATCTCCCTGCTTTAATACTATCTGGATTTATACAAGTCACAGATAAAAAACATAAAAACATGAATTTACCTCTCTTCTTGTTTGGTCCTCAGCTTGTTGGCTTGTCTTGCCATCTTTGCGTCAAATCTCGCTGACCTGGAAAACATGAAATCAACCACACTTTTGTAACATTGTCTTGAATGTCATTTAATCGGCCTAAATTACGTTACACAATCGCATTTCGCACAAGATGGCCGACCGGGGTGGACATACAAAGCAGCAGAGAGCTCCACTTTGTTAAGCAAATGGGTGGATCTGAGTCATTGTTCTCCGAGAATTTAAACAATGAGCATTCAACTACGTTCATATACAACTCTGTGCTTTTATTTAGAGAATAAGTCACCGTTTATGTGAGCAACAACCACACGCTAAATATGATAAGTGGATTAAGAAAGCTGTATTGTGCAGAAGGGAGGGAGGGATAAACAAAAGGAGGATGAGAGGATGAGATTACAGATGAGAGGTGTGATATTTGGTAAACACATGACGATGGGAGGAGCCGTGCTGGAGGAAAGCGCGGATAATCAACATAATCTCTACATATTTCTGTCTGCATAGTTTGGCCAGTTTAACCCATTTCTTCTTCCTGAAACTAAGTGTTTAACATGCAAGAAAATGAATCATGAAAATATACAAAGCTTGGGCTGTTTTTGAGGCAGTTTAAAGTGCCTATGACATTTTACAAAACACTTTACAATTTTTTAAAGGTTTCAAATTTTACTCCTTGGTTGGAAATCATGACGTCACGCTAGGGAATTCCCCAACTGTTACCAAAAGGCCAAAACTTCTCTTATGTGGACAGGAATTATTATTTGATAAATAAAAATATAAGAAAACCTTAGGGAAGAGACACAGTTTCTATGAGGCGAGATGTGTCATGAGATTTGGTCCACGAGAACGAGATAACAAGACATTTTAACATGATTTCTCAAGAATAATGTGTACAATTTTAGTTCACAATTTCGTCTTAAAAATTATTCATTTAATTTGATAGTTTTGCCCTCATTATAACACAATTTTTTGGAACTACATTACTCAATACAAAGTTAACCTTTTTTATTGGAGGCAAATGTAAAAATATGAGGAAAGAAGATCTTTTTTATTCTTGTGGTTTTATTTTGTGGTAATCTAATCTCACGAGATCTTGTGGAATGAAATTTTGTCCCATCCCTAAAAAACATTTTTATTTTGTTGAAGCAATGTTTAAACTATTGGAAAAAATGTTTGTCCCCTGAGGATGCCAGAGGCTGAAACGCATCAGGACTTTGTAAGTTGTCCATTAAGACATGCTGTAAATTAATAAAGGCATTTTATTTTAACCAGTGATTGCCTTTACATCGACTTCCCTTCCCAAAGAGCACCACTGAGTTCCATCTACTGTGTATTATCCTCTGGAGGTTCAAGAAGCGCTCCTTTTGAAAAAATTGTTATTGGAAAAAAATGTGTTTCTTGCGTGTAAATTACGCTGAACTTTTGGATAAGAATTCTCCCTAGTGTGATGTTATCAACATGGAACCATCTACTTCCTATCATTTTCAACATATTTTTCAACTTTCCTTCACAAATTAATTCTGGATTGGCCTAAAACTATAATTTATATTCACAACAGGTTTTAAATTTTCAGATTAAGTCAAAATCAGAGAATCATCAGAACCTCTCATACACACTTCTGTAAAATAAGTCCATACTAATGATTTTACACAGTGGCTTGTATCTTTTATATTTCTGGGCAGGGCTGGGCAATGTTGATAAAAACTGAATTGCGATCTCATTCCTGTGACGTACGCCGTTTTAGTAATACTGATACATACTCAAATATTGTCTTGGCTGCAGCTCTGTCCTCAATCTTTTACACTTTTCCAACCACACCTCCAATTAGTCATCAGCATTCATTCTCAGTAAGGTGGATTTAAAGAAAACATTGTGCTTGTGTTTGCTCTATAGTTATAATCCATCACACGACACCTCTGGATGTTATAATTAGAACATTTTAAATCGCAATGTTGATTTAAGAGCCGCACATCACGAGTTGGGAGATTTTTTTTTCATTTGTTTTAAAATGGCTACCTGATGCTGCCAAATCCTACATGCATGACTGATTAAGAAAATAAAACTGAAGAATGAAGTAAGTCCAGAGTGGGCGTGTTGATCTGCAATAGGCTCTATTCACGTTCACGTCACAAAACCAGAAGACGTTTGGAAACATGCGGATGACGACTTCATTTAGGCTCTGACAAAATTTGAGAAAACTGAGAAAATGACCCAATTTTCTTCATCTAGATGTATTCTCTTATTAATTTGTGTTCTATAATTTGTTTAACTTTTTCCAAACATCTTACAGTAAAATCCATTGTAATGTGTATGTATGAAAAAAGAAACTAAGTTGTTGTGCATAAAAATTAAGATTTCTGTTTCCAATTGATTTGATGATTGTGACTGAGCTGAAACGTACTGATCTGAAATGTTTTAAAGTGACTATCAGTGTCGATGTTTTGTCTTGAAAAGGGAAAATGGGGCAGATAACATAAGATAACGCTTCTTTCTGCTCCTTTTCGTTCATTTTTTGTATGTTTGATGATGTTGTGACACTGTTGATGTCGTTTTATACTTTATGAATGAAAAATAAAGTCAATTTGGAGTCTTGAATCTGTTGAAATCTGTCGAAATTGCGTGTCCCCTAAATGCAAGTTAAATACTGTGTTCAAATACAACACAGTTCTTGCTGGTAACAATTGTGATGTTAATTTGGTCTTAATTACCAAAACAATGGACATGTTGTTTACGCTAGTTTGGTGTCACGGTTTTCAAGACGATTATCCAATCAGAAAGAGCAGCACGAGCCTCACACCTAAAATGGTAACAACATTCTAAAGCTCACAAGTCAAGGGAAGGAGTCAATTTTCTGTAATATAGGACATTTAAATGAAATGAAATAAAAAATTAAGCTGGTACAGAAACGTGATTCATCAGCCGGTTTCACTTTGTGGAAACCGTCTGACCTCGCAGCATTAGGATTCGTTCACTCGACGGCCGGCAGGTACTTTTTTATTTAACCAATCGCTGCTATTTGGTCGTGATGTATGTAATGTGCCAAATCCCGTAGGAAGAAGGGCAATAACGTCTTTCCCCTTGATAAAATTTACTGAACATTCTCTTTGTTCCGGCTTTAAATTCTCGATCTCGGGAATCGTTGCCAACACAGAATGTATGGCTTCGTCTACATCCATCTTGACCGCTTTGTTTACTGTTGTGCTGTACCACAAAAAGGACCCAGACAGGCGCTTGAGTTTGAGACATCATGGCTTCACAGCTCTTCACTGATTGGCCAGTGCACAGTCTACAATTTCCGGAGTTCTTGCAAATCATCTAGTGTACTCCGATTCCTGATTTGGTCGCAAGGCAAACATTCTCAATCTCAAACATGAAATGAGAAGAAAACAGCACGACGCTTCTGTGAGACGAGTTTCCGGGTAATGTTCTGTAATAGTTCGATGACGCCAGAGCAAACCACAGAGAAATGTCAACAATGAACTGGAGGTGTCCTTGCTAAGACAGGGGCAGTGGATGGAAAAGTGTGTGGACTTACCCGATGTTCTCACACTTGCAGCAGCAGAACATGCAGATGACGAATGCGATGATGATGACTCCTCCCACGACGGAGAGGGTGATGATCAGGATCTGGAAGTTCACTGCAAACGCAAAACAGAACAGCTCTATCAATTATCAAGGCTCCAGATACTCAATCACTGTCGCTCTGTTTTTGAGAATGTCCGATAGAGAGTTGTACTGCAATTCTGATTGGGCTGGACGATTTGAGGAAAAATATCCACTTGCGATTTTTGTGTTTTTATAATAGGATTTGGTTCAAAGTTCACATTTTAAACAAGCCCAGAAGAATTGGCAAAATTGACAATGAATAAAAACCCCATGAGGACACAGAAACAGGGCATAAGGACACTATGGAACATGTTTGTACAGATCCAGGGGTGGACTGGGACCGAAAAACGGCCCTGGACTTTTCCCCCACCAATTCGGCCCACATTAAAACTTGAGGACCAGTGCAGCCCCCATTCAGATGTCTGTTCTGGACTTTTCCAGAACGTACAGATCACGAGTCCACTCCTGTACAGATCTAAACTAGAGACAGGCCGATATAACGAACCAGTGTTTGCACTTTTTCACATATCGGCTTTGGGTCTCTCCAGCACATTATATTTTGTTTTGGCTGATCTGCTGCTACCACACAAAGCTTTAATCGCTCAACACTTTAATGCAAATAGCTATAGAGTCACATTTTGAGCAGTTATCTCAGATTTTTTTGTTAAAAAGGGACTGCAGAGGATAGGGTTGTGCAAAAATATTGAATTATCGATAAACCGTATCATTTATTATGATGATACAGTAGTGATATTGTGGGCTGCTGTATCGATATATCGCCAAGAGTATTTTTTGGTATATTTTACCAAATTATTTTGTTACAGCGCTACAGTAAACTTGTTTATGCGACACATTTGACATTTTCGCTGTTTTGATGATTAAAATGTGTGTGTTTCATATTAACTTTGCACAAGAAGTGGTTTAACAAAGACTTAATATCACAGCCATGATTTAGCCATATTGAATCGATCTGAAATATATCGTAACGAATCGTATCAAATCGAAAGCTCACTGTATATGCTAGCTCACTGAAATATGTATTGTATCGAGGTACATATCATATCGGCGGCTTCATTATACCCAGCCATAGCAGAGGAGTTTATGGCAAACTAAAAATAGAAAATATCTGAGTTTATCACCCATCAGTTGCTCTGGATTCGCCATCGACCATGAAAAAACCCATATTGGTCGATCTCTAACTACAGGTTTAGCTGTTGTTGCGCAGAATAAACCAGAATATTTTGTGGTTTGTGGAGGAATTGATGGTACTTCAAAAATTGCTGCCTTTGATTTGCTAATTACGCCCATTCAAATTGTGATCTCGATTTGGCTGATTAGTCTCGCCGTCCTGAATTCTAGTCTAGTTCACTTTTGATAGGCCTTTTATGGTTGAGGAGTGGCCGAGCATCAGTGTAATGTTTGTGTTGTGACAATTGTGATGGAAAACATTGCAATTATACAGTTACCACAATGACTGACACCTGTGCCTTTATTCTGTCCTACTTTCACCGTGTTTATTCCTATCTCTGTGCAACAGGAATGATAAAAGGTACATTATATCTTTTCAGCCGCTCGTCTCCATGGAGATGTTATTGCTTGGCCTGGAATGTTCCCCAGTGTGGCATTAAACAGCTCCAAGTAAACAACTTTGTAAATAATGAATACCCGTGATATTTGTTTAAATGTAATACCAAAGTACTTGTACTACCCAGCAGTGGCACCAAGTCTTTGTTTTGCAGGTCTCAAGTCTTTGACCTCAAGTCCAAGTCAAGTCCCAAGTCAAACACAGGCAAGTACAATCCAGTCTCGAGTCACTGGCCCATAAATCCAAGTCAAGTCCAAGTCGTCTGGTTTAAAGACTTGAAATGATTTGAAGCTCAAATCAAAGTACCAAATATAGCTTTGATTTTTTAAATTTATATGAATTTTAAACTAAATTGTGCTTAAAAAAAATCATAGTATATGAGAGTATATTTATAGACTATATAAAAGTTGTAGAAATTAATTTAGTTTTGACAGGATCTAAGTGTGAATCATTACAGTCAGAATAGAAAGAATTCAGTCAAGTCACAGGCCTCAAATCCAAGTCAAGTCCCAAGCTAAACACAGGCAAGTCCAAGTCGTCTGCTTTGAACTTCAAGTTATTTCAAGTCTTTAAACCAAAGTACCAAATATTTAGATTTAGATTTTTGCAATTTATATGAATTTTAAACTAAACTGTACTGAAAAAGTCACGGTATATTTATATATGAGTATTTATAGAGTATACAAAAGTTAGATCAATTAATTTAGTTATTTTTTTTCTTTTTACATGTCTTGACAGGATCTTATTGTGGTCTTCATTATGATCACAATAGAAAGAATTCAGATTTAAAAGTGCTTCTCAAGTTTTCCAAAGTCACAGGCCTCAAGTCCGAGCCAAGTCCCAAGTCTAAGTACATTTTATCAAGTCTGCCTCGAGTCCAAATCACAACTTGCAAGTTCCCACCTCTGGTACTACATATCGATAGGAATTCTATAGACTACAGACTGCCGTGTGTTTCAGATGAGCGATAACACAGAAAAGTACACCTAGTTCCTACAGCCTGTCCGTGGGTTTCAGTTTACTACAGTTTTATATGGAACATTTGTAAATCACTATGGCAACGATCCTAGATTTCCAACAATCTGAAGCCCACATATCCTGTAAATTGTAACTTAAAAAATAACATTCACTTTAAAAGAAATAATATGCTTGCGTGTCATGTTTGTTTTTGTAGTTTTGTTGTTACATGAGTTAATGGAGGAGGCCAATTAAGTGAGTAAACACAGCAGACGTTCAAAAAATGTCCCACCCAATTTGAATATGGAGTTGATCATTTGTGGTAATAAATGCTGCAAAAAAAGAGCGGATTTAAAATTAAAACTGGTAAAAAAAATAAATTAAAAAAAAGATGTAGTTCCCTTCCAAATAAGGATATAAAAAGACACTCCTGACAGTTCGTGTGAGTAATTTTACAGTAATTTTCACATTTGGATGTTACTTAAAGGTTGTATGGAGGATTTTTTTTTGTTTTTTTTGTTTCAAGTTGTCAATGATAGCATTATAGAGGTGCAGTAGCCTTGTAATTATGATGACCAAAAAAAGAGAATAAAAATTCATCAACTCTGGACGTGGTGGGGCCAGCTAAACATTTGCCAATAGATAACGACACGGCCTCGTTATCTGTTAGCTGACAGCTATCAATCAAACTCCCTACGTTTCTAGCGTAACTGACCTGCCTGCGCGCCGCCGGTACGTGGTTTACGTACGCCTGTCACGCAGTCCACAGACGCAAGACGCACAGACGCTGTTTACTCCACCAATGCAACAGTTCTTTAGCGGCTTTTTTTGACCTATATCTTCCTCGCAGTTAGCACAAAGTTTGTTGCAATGGCAGACAAGAATCCAGGAGCAGTTAGCCGCAAAAGAAAGTCCGTTTTTGAGGTCGCTGAAAGAAGAAGACAAGGGGAAAAGCAGCGAAGCCAAACTAAGGTGATTCTTGTAGATTCATTCCAGCGATGGCGCGACTGAAGCAGACGCAGGGTCTAAAGACTGACGCATTGGTCGCCAAATTACTCCTGGACAGGTAACTTCTGCTTATTATGAAAACGTACTTTATTTTCAAGAGCTAGTCAAACGTTTTTCAGGACACGAAAGCGATATCCTATGTCTGAAAACGTAATTTTCAAGGCAAAGAAAGAGTCCGCTTGCTGCTGCGTGTTGTAGCTAGTTCATTCGCACTGAATCTCCGCGCAACCTTCTCTGCTCCCCTTTCCTACTCCTGTCCCCGCTGCCCGTTCCGCTCTTCCCCCTTCTCCTCACTTCTACGGGCACGGAATCTCCGCGCACCGCTCCCCTCTCCTCTCTCCTCTCTCCTCTCTCCCTGCTCCGCTCTTCTCCCTGCTCCTCACTTCTCGTCCGCGAACGAAATGTCCGACCCGCTCCCCCCGCTCCTCACTTCTCCGCCTTGCCTAACCAACACTGTAGTTAGTTGTTTACAAGTCATGTGCAGCTCACCGGCTGTAAACAAACCTGTTTCTGGCGTAGTGAGGAGGCGGGAGAAGGCGTTTCTACGTAGGGAGCTGTAGGGGAGGGGGGGTGGTTTCACGCATGCGCAACATTTGAAAAAGGACAAACAGTCGCTGGATTTCTCGTTCCTTGAAAATCCTCTATACCTTAATCCTCAAGTAATACAAAGTAGTCAAAAAACGTCCTTTTTGTCTTCTTTTTTATACTGTATATTAACTTTCTGGGTTGTTTTAAAGACAATACAGTAGGAGATATGTTTACTTTGTGGACATGTTTCGGCTGTTAGCTGCGGGCCATCCTCAAAACTGTCACCGAAACACATCAACAAAGTAAATACAACCCAGAAAGTTAATACAGAGTAGTAGTTAAGTCGCATCGCAGCCAAAAAAGATTTCAGCCAAAAACAAAAAGAAAAAAGAAACAAAAGCATATTTATTTACAGATATATCAATCTATATATATTAGTTTTTGTCAATGTCATCCACCCTCTACCCACTTCTACTTTCTAGGGATGTAACAATATCCAAATCTCTGTACGATATTTATTGCGATGTTTTGGAGATGTAATTGTAGATAGGACGCTTTTTTGCTTTTAAAATACCCTGACAAGATTTTGGTGTGAATTATTTCCATCATAATCCCAAGAATTCAAGTAAAAAACATATTTCTTCATGTTGTCTGCGCTAAAATGAATCATGGGATATGTAGTTTCTAATGTTTATAAGCTGTTGCCACTATAAAACCATGCATTTAAGCAAAGGAACTTGTAATTCGATAAATTGTGATGGTCCATGATATTGTTGTGAAACTTTTGACGATACGATATCACAATATTTTGGTTATTGTTACATCCCTACTACTTTCCATGAAAAATACTGTATTTCTTAAGAGAATCTGGGTGAGGGGTGTAACAGCATTTACAGTCATTTGAATAATTTTGATCTCCGAAGATTGACTAATAATAGTTTTAAATGTAATGTGCATGAGTTAAAAATGCCCTATATTACACAAAATGGATTCTTGTGAGTTTTAAAACAGACCCAGACCTGGAGTTGTGTTTTGTTTCATTCGCACATTTGAGTAATCCTTTTAAATGTTCTGTTTCATTTTGTGATGTCATGAAGCAATAGTTTTCAAGTTAAGATTGTCAATTCTAGGGCTGAAATCATCTAAATTATTCTAGTGAAGGTGTATGGAGTTTAAAAACACAGTGGAGCACTTCCTGTATTACCACATGACCGAGATAAGAAGCCTAAATATGCAAGGTTTGCGTGTTAAACATATTAAACACAACTCTAGGTGTGTTTGTGATGAGGAAACAACATTATAACATAGTGTCCTAGAAAGAAAAACTGTACTGTACTAAACTGGGTACTTTGTCACCAAATAAAACCAGTGTTATGAAGGTTTTTTTTGGTACTAATTCAATCTTGACAAAGTTTTATGGCTCAACTCTGTCTTGTTTTTGAGAAATCTTGATATGAAATGTGCAGCAACTAAGTAAATCAAAGGAAACATTTAACTTTTAACTGCAGAGCCCAACTTAAACACAGACACAGACACTTCACTTCACTTTTCTGTGGTTTTACTGGAGAGTTTTTACACAACTCTCGGATACTGCAACACGTTTTGTTCTCTAATTCTGAAATGAGTGAAAATACAGACTTGACACTTTCACTATTTCTTATTCAAGACTTAAACTAGAAAATACTGAATGTTTCTGATGGCAACACCAACACTAGGGATGTAACAATAACCGAAATTTCGTGATATCGTATCGTCACAATATATCGAATCACAAGTTCCTTTGCTTTGCTCTGTGCATCTGCCCCAAACTACTATTTATGAAGAGAAAAGTACTAGAACTTTATATAAAGACTAATTTAACTTGTGAATCATGAGTTTAATCTACCTTTTTGCAGATAAATACCAAAAATTAGGGATGCAACAATCCATCTTTTCAGTTCCGATACCAATAACTTTGACTTTAAGTACCTGCTGAAACTGTGATTCATTACACAACATTATTATTATTATTAGGGATGTAACAATAACTGAAATATCGTGATATCGTATCGTCAGAAGTGTCACAATAATACCGTGGGCTGTCACAACATATCGAATCACAAGTTCCTTTGCTTAAATGCATGTTTTTATAGTAGTAACAGCTTATGAAAATCAAAAACTACATATCCCATGATTCATTTCAGCGCAGAAAACATGAAGAGATGCGTTTTTTACTTGAATTCTTGGGATTATGACAGAAATAATTCACACCAAAATCTTGTCAAGGTATTTTAAAAGCAAAAACGTGTCCCATCTACAACTAGATTATCAAAATATCACAATAAATACTGTACCGTGAGATGCATATCGTGATAATATCGATCATTAATGCAGCTCTGAGGAACAACATCAAAACTTTGAAGCCATTTTTCTCAGTTTTTGCTTTGTAGGGCAGCACAGATCAGAAAATAGCATAATCTGGGTCATGAGGTGCGAATACTCACTCCAGCAGAGCCCCCAGCGAGCTTCGTTCAGCGGGCAGACGGCGTGAGGCGGGAGGATGGTCCTGACAGGGTACGTGATACAGGACTTGGTCGGGATGCACCAGAGACACTGCCAAAATACATACGTAACATTATTATTACATCTTATTGTTATTGTTATGAAAACAGAGAAAGGATTCAGGCCACAGAAAGAGAGAAAACAAAGAGAAAGAGATAGGAGAAAGGGAGAAAAGAGAAAAGGCGAGAGGGAAAGGGGGTGGCGGATCAGGTAGTCTCCAAACCAGAAGAACAGGTGCAGGATGGAGGAGGAGGAGGAGCTAGAGGCCTGCTTTTTTTTCACCAACTTGAGCAACTTGTACTTTTCCGTGAACACAAATGCATAAAAAGTACGTTAAAATGTACTCACAGAGACATTTTTAAGGCATTCATCGCAGCTGGTTCCGTTTTTAGACTCACAGGCTGAAAAAACATCAACATTATTAGTCAAATAGTTAAGCAAATCTTGAAATCAACTTGAAAAATCACATTTGAAGAGAACATTTCTGGTTCAATAATGATGAAAAGAAGGGGTTAATTTGACGTTGTGGCCTCGTTGCTGGGATTTTGGTGTTACTAATGCAACTTTTAATCCTTCTGGGAGGTTTTTCCATAGAGATCGCTCTCAGGGAAAGTAAACAAAAGTCTCTTTCTTTAAGTCCTATTATTATCAGCATGTTTAACCTCTTATCAGAAAGCTCGGTTTGACAAACAGTTAAATGTGTGAGCTGAAAGAGAATTACAAATGTCGTTTGAAAAATGTGTGAAAGAAAATAGCTGAGATCAGACGCAACGACTTCCTCATTATTAGATCATTATACGAATTTTAAGTACTTTCTCTTAAAATTTGCAATATATTTTAACCATTTTATATCAGAACAACAACTTTTACGAACATAGACTTGACTATTAATCACAGATGTACAAGGAAGCCAAAAAACAAGAAAAAATTTAATCGTTTTCATTTCAGTTTGGTCAGATTTTTAAATTTGATTCAAACTTTTTCAAATTGCTATGTTATTCTGATTATTTAAACACGAATACTTGACAAAAAGACAAATTAGTAGTCAATTACAGTATGACGTGCACGTTCTCCTCGCATTACTTACTTTGTGCCTGGGCCAGACCAAAACCGAGGATTAAAAGGAGGGCAGGGAGTAAAATCCGCAAATCCTTCATGGTGTAATTATTTCTAAACAACTACTTCGACGTGTTGTTGTTTCAAATCAAGAAAATAAAGTGAAAAACGTCCCTGCGTCTTCCTCCAATCTCGTCCTCCCTCGAAATGAGCGGAACAGCCCCGCAGTTCGCCAAAAGTCTTTACGCACACCTGTTACGCACGGGATCAGACAGCGGGGCGTGGCGTGCGCTCATTATCAAAGCCATTCCAGTAAATTACACGCACACAAAGAGTTTGGCTTTCAATAATTTATTAAAGCATATATTTGTAAAGCCATGTATAAATAAAAACAACACGCACATATCTCTCTCTTTCTCTGAGAAGGAGCACGATGTTGGACAGAGTGGAAGATGAACGAGGGCCCACTCCGCCGCCTGCGGCTCGTCAAGAACCCAACACTTGGAAATTGCTTTAGGTAACACTTTTTTTTTTAACGTTTACTGGTTACATTAAAGGTGCAACACTTAACTTTTCTAGTGGAGGACACGTGAACTGCTCGGATCTGAAGAGATGTTATTGCTTTATATGTTTCACAGTGTGGCATCAAACTCAAAAATGGGTAGTACTCGGTTGTTTTTACTCATTTACATTTACATTTTAGAATAAATAGTTATTTTCTAGCTGCATACTTTGTCATACTTGAGTCGTATTTCCATCTGAGATGCTACAGGCTTTAAGTAAACTGAAAAAAGTAAGCTAAAACAAAGTAAAAAAATTTTTTTAAAAAGAGTAAAATTTTTTAGGTATTGTTACAGAAATTGAAAGGGTCTGTTCCATTTTTTTACACGTGTTTTCTAAAATGTGTCTTGCCGATTTCTGCATGAGATTATAAAGCTCAGGAAGTGCATGTTAGCTTGCTAGTTGTTGTTAGTATTACCATGATGGCCGCTCTGGGCTTTGAAAGTTGTGAAAAGCGCTTATAACCTCAAAAATGGGCAGTACTCGGTTGTTTTTACTCATTTAAGTTTACATTTGAGAAGAAATTGTACTTTTCTAGCGGCATACTTTGCCATATTTTAGTCATGTTTTTATTGAAATACTCTTATCTGAATTGTGGTTACTCTTCATCACTTTTTTGCAAATGATAAGAACAGACTGGGTGGCTGTTTTTCTGACTCCCTGGCTCACACAGTTTTAGAAAGTTTTAGAAAGTTTTTGTTTTTTGAGCTCAGTTTTGGACATTTGAGTTGCTACAGGCTTTAAGTAAATTGAAAAAAGTAAGGTAAAACAAAGTTCTTTTTTTTTTTTTAAGTAAAATTTTTAGGTATTGTTACAGAAATTTAAAGGGTCTGTTCCAGTTTTTACACGTGTTTGCAAAAATGTGTCTCATCACAGTACAGATATATTGTAAAAGCAGCTCTTGAAGTCAGAATAAGTCAGCTGTGTCCGATTTCTGCATGGGATTATAAAGCTCAGGAAGTGCACATTAGCTTGCTAGTTGTTGTTAGTATTACCATGATGGCTGCTCTGGGTTTTGAAAGTTGTGAAAAGCGCTTGTAACCTCAAAAATGGGTTGTACTCAGTTGTATTTACTCATTTACATTTACATTTAAGAAGAAATTGTACTTTTCTAGCTGCATACTTTGTCATACTTGAGTCATATTTTTATTGAAGTACTCTTATCTGAGTTATAGTTACTCTTCTTTACTTTTTTTCACATAATAACAACAGAGTGGGCGGCTGCTTTTGTGGCTTTCTGACTCACACTCAGTTTTAGAAAGTTTTAGAAAGTTTTTTAGTTTTTTTGACCTCAGTTTTTAACATCATATCATGGGATTTTACCCGACTAAGAAGTTCAGCATGTGAAGTTTAAAGGACACAAGTCGCTAAGGAGCTGTTGGATTGTGTGAAATGAGATGGGTTTTTCCTGTAACCATGGAGACCGCGCAAAAGGCTGAGAAACTGTGGACATTTGAGATGCTACAGGCTTTTTTTACACCATATGGGGCAGCAAATGTGGCAGGAGATCTTCCAGAGAAAACACTTTGAAGGAATCTAACATTTCATCAAATACTGAAACACCAGAGCAGAGTAAGAACAGCAGACAGAGACAGCTCTCTTGCTTTTCGAGCAGGTCAAACATGGAATACAGTGCCTGCTCATATATGAGAATTTTCAGCACTTTTCTTAAGCTTTAAAACAGTGATTGTTCAGTGGCCAAATATATCACCATGTTTAACCAAATAACTTTTTTTTTATTGTGGGGTTGTTGGTTTAACTCTTAAACTCTTGACTTTGGACTTCAAATTAACTGTTTAAAATGTACTTTTGTGTTATTGTTGTACTTTTCTCTGTCCTGTAGATGATTTCACATCAACCTGCCGAGGGACTGAAGATGGAAATTAGCCACACTACTATAATCTTTACATATTTAAATTTTTACTGTTCATTAATATGTGCTGTCCCTTTACAAATAAATAAGAAACGAGGCCTTTCCTGTTGTGTTCACCTGGCGCCCCCTGGAGGCCGCTGTGATGCTGCAGGACACAGAGGAGAGAGACTTTTGGCTCTTCACAGGATCTGCTGACTCTCCCTGACCAGTCCTCCTGTTAAAACTGCTCTGGCACCTTTGACTGAGACACAAAGAACACAATTTTGCAGCTGATGTTGTAGCAAAACTTGGAATTTCCCTCAGGATCAATAAAGTATCTCTCAATAAAACTCTCTTCTCGCTGTAAGTCTACAAGTGACAAAAGCTTTACGTTGACAATATCACATTTGAGTTTCTTGCTCTTCTCTTTTAGATATGATTTAGTTTGTCTCATTTTTGTGTCTGGACATTGAAAATATTAGATTTTGTGAATTATTTTGTCCTTCCATTTACAGTAGGATTAGAAGACAGGCATGGGATTAAATAAGTTTTCTTTTCTTCCTTTTTGGACCAATTTTTTTTATTTTTTATTTATTTATTTTTTTTCTGCTATGATTTCATTAATGTTATATGTTCAGTTGTAAAAGAATGTAAAAATCATAAATCTAAAATCTAAAAATCTAACTTAGTAGTAGTTTTCCCAAATAGTTTTTTACTCTGTTATTTTTACTCGTAGTTTATTGGATCTCTAAATTGTACTTCTAGTTGAGTAATATTATGTCGACGTAATGTTTTCCAGCACCAATTGAACGTATCTACCACTAAGCCAAGTTTCAGGTCAGATCTGTACAGAGGCGAATCTACTTTTTTTCCTGAAGGCGTTTTTAAGCCGTAATAAAGCATGTAATAAGTAAATAAGCATGTAAAAAGCTAGATGTGACACTGTGAAACATGCCAGACAAAGCAATAACGTTTCCATGGAAACAGACCGTTCCAACCCATGTGAAAAGTTACCTAGTGCAGCTTTAATCCTCAAAAACAGAAGTAGATGAGACAGTTCTCCAGATACAGCCCCAAGAGAATGGCTATGGTTACTTGATCCGACTGTGCATGAAGTAAACAAAAGGCGGGCGGCTGTAAGTGGAGCAGGTCTCTTCTGCCTCCATCAGGGGTCTGTCCCAGTGGGCCCTGGGGTGGTTTAGCGTGGGAGCTCAGCAGACAGGTGGCACACAGGCCGACGATACCTGATCACTTTAAACACCTTATTTATTAATGGGATAAACCTTGGACGCTGCTGCAGTCCAATCAATTTTGCTTAGTTAATGAATTTGTGTTTTTTTTCCCCTAAGCTCAGTGGTGGAAAGTAACTAACAAAGTAAATTAAAAAAGTGAAAAAAAGTAAAACAAAGTAAATATGTTAAATTAACTAAAATAAAGTGTAAAAATAAAACACCTTTGTGTATTGTTTAGCTAAATCAAGAAAACCCTACAAACTGTTACCCATTTACTCTCAAAACATTAATATAACTTGATTTCAGGGTTAAACAGGAACTTTGGTCCAGTGTTAATTAACATTTCCAAAAATGTTAAATTAATTCTAGAACAGACTGGACTCATATAAACCCAGAGAAAATGTAAAAATTTATTCAGTGAGTCAATTTTAACACTCCACTTTTTGTTGTGTAGTTTGAGACCTCCTGAAATGTTTTTTTTTTTTTTTTTTAATCAATATTATGCAACATTCTGCCTAAAAGTTGTGAATCAAATTCTTGACTTAGAGCAAACAAGAATGAGAAAATAAAAATTGCTGGTATCTCTAAAATCAGAATCACCAAATCTGACACTTTAATGGTTTGCAAAAATCGCTGCAAAATACTTTTCCCTCAACACTTTTACTGAGTAGATTTTTTGCTGTGATCTTTCTTCCACCACTGCCTTCGCTGTGTGTGAGTGACAAAGATGGCCTCCTCCTGTCTGCGAGCTCGCCGCTGGTGAAATTACAACATGAGTTCAAAACAAGTACGTACAAAGTCAAAAATCCTGTTAGCGTTCCAGTTCTCTCATTAGTACCTCTCACAGACTCACTGCATCACATACACCATAATATGAAGAGATAAAACCCCCCCTTTCCCCTCTCCCTCCCCCCGCCCCGCCCCACAATTCCACTGACACCACAACAGCCCTCGTCCAAAACGTTAGTCATTAAATACATCTCATCTCCAATACAATAAACTTTTCTTTTACACTTCTCCCGTCACGTTTCTGTTCCGAGCATTTGAGTTACATGTGACACACGTACAGCAGCATTCCAGACACAACACTTGAGGGTTAGTGGGAAACACATATCGTAATAATATCGGTAATAAAAATGACATGTAGAAATCCTCCAAGTTAAAAGAATGGACAGAGTTCGTATGGCTCTGATGCTGTGGGCGGTGCGTGGAGCAGACAGTGAAGCATCAGCCTGGCTCAGAGTGGAGCTGTGCATGTCCAGAGTTCACATTATGGCCTAGTGCAGGACACACACACACACACACGGTCATCACACACACACACATATCAATTATTTCTGCACTTAAATTACACAAAGGTGTCACATTGTGTTGTAATATATTTAGACTGTACAGTGCAGAGTGCCAGTCGTTGAATACCAGTGTTAATATGTGATATACAGTAGAAAACAATACAAGTCGTTACTTCCTCTCTGTGAATATACAGTGACTTATGCATCAGTTAAATATGTGGATAACATGTCTTATATCTGTCTGTGGATATCTCTCTTCTCTTTATTTTCTTGTACCATTGCAGGGGACTGGTTTCCATGCACAGATTCTTTATAGGCAATATCAGTGGTATAAGAACACTACCTATTCTTCTTAAGAATATGTATTATAATATATGCTTTTAAAATGTTTTAAGCCCCTTCCATTGGCTGAGTTTACCTCTCGTGGCCACACGGTGGCACTGATGTGTGACTAATGGTTCACAGAGACTGAAGCAGCTTTAGCCCCGTAGAAAAACACTTTATCATAGAGTCCTCTCTCTTATTGACAACTACATATAAATGTAATACTGAACAGAAACACCAGAAAACCAGGCAATGTAATGAAACTTGATGCAGCGTGAAGACGAAGAGAAAGAGAGAGACGTTTAAAAAAAGAGTGACAGTGTTCGGAGGTGGGTTGGCTGGCTCCGGCAGTGCACTGGGAGGGCATCTGGGACACTGGGCCAGAGGGACTTTGTGCTTGGATGGATCACTCCTGTGGTGAAGACTGAGGTGTGAACATTTACATGCAGGACAACAACCAGCTGAAAATGGAACAGAAATAACACAGGGTCCTCCACACACTTTGTCTTCACTGACTTTAGATTAGATTACATTAGTCAGACATGAGCCCTATCCCAGTGAGAGCCCAGAGAGAGCCCAGCCTGAGGAGTGTGCGTTGGCTTCTTTGTCACCTCCATCTTGTTTTGCGTTTGATACTTGGCCTTAGTTCTTCTCCGGGGCCTGCTGGTCACTGCTCCAATAAAACCAGCTGACTGCTCCTGTGCTACGTTCAGCTGGTGCCACTGGATCAAGCTCCTGATGACGGTGGTGATCACCTGACCCAGGGACTGCTCACGCTGGTCACTGACATGATGCTGCAGCGTTTCTTCACCATCATGTTGATGTAAGCCCTCATGATCTTGTAGATCTCTCCCACCTAAAACGGAAACCAGGTGTTAAGTGTTTGATTGTTTCAACTGTCCAGTGTGAAGTGGCCACGGAAACTGGTGTAAGTGCCAGACTGGAACTGTACAAAACATGAAACTATTGAAATTGAACGCGTAATGAAAAACAGTTTGTATGACACTATAATAATCACTCAAATTTTCTAGTATTTCCAAATTGATATGCAAACAGGAATAGATGTTACTGTGGGTAATTAGAAAATGTGTATATGCCATATATTCTGACCATTGCCGTCTCAAAGTACATCTCCCTTTCGTCCACGATGATCTTGTAGGTGCAGAGTTGTGACGCTCCAAAGAAGGTGATGTGTTCGTAGGGGAAGGTCTCCAGAGGTTTGGGCTCTCCTCTCTTGTACACAGACACGTTATCTGCACTGACACCCAGCCACAGGTCGTGAGGGAAGCCACCCTCTTTACACTGCACAGAAAACAGAACACAGAGAGGTTATGTGTGCACAAACACAGGGGCTTCTAGAGGTACAAGAGTAAACAACAAGAGGCCAGTAAAAGGGAGAGAAGTGAAAAGCAGTTGAAAGGATACTAATTCCAATGTTCACATTTAGTTAAAAACAATATATGAGTTCATTATTATCATGCATCTTTCCACTCTCAGTAGTGGTACACTTCTTCTGTAGCCACAGATGCCCTTGGGTAGACTGATAGAAACCAATCTTTGACCACTACAATTCACACACACACACACACACACCTAACGTTCACACAAAAGTAAGGCATGACCTGGTTGGACCTGAAATTGTCATTTTTGGGCTTGGTGGGCAAATGTAACTGCTGCCACATCTATTGACCTAACCGAGGTCATTTGGTGATGCAGTTTTGGAACTTTAACTTCATTTAACTTCAATTTTTATAGCCCTCTTTGCTTTTATGTGTGTCAAGTGTGTCCATTTGAACAGAAAGCACAGCTGTCACCTCCACATCGAAGAGCGTAGATCCATATCCGGGCCACTCCTTGATGATGCTCATGTACTTGAGCATGGCCTGGTGCTGGGGCATGCCCTGGAGCCGGGTCCACTTCTCCAGGACGCTGGTGCGGGTGGCAGAGGTCTCCTCTTTTACCCACATCTCCAGCATCTGCTCCTCCTCCACCTGCACACACACAAACACACAAACACACTCATAAATGTGGCTGCTGTGTGGCTTTGGGACAGTACACTGACTTGCATTAATTTCCTGGAGACTAATCCTACACTCATTATACAAAATTAACTTCAGATTATGCAAAATTTTGAGCTTTTAACCTTGTTATACAGTTGTCCTCTCATCAAAAACATAGCTGGAATTATATTTAGCTTCATTTACACTTGTTTCTTCTCTGTGACTCTGTATTCTGTGACTTCTCCTGCTTAGTTTTAAGTCTTTAAACCATCAGAAGTCTCTCCAGTGAAAATGTGCTCACAACAAACACATGGCTCTCTTAAAATTCACATTGTAGTATAAGCCAATTTGCTAAAAGTGCAAATATCAGCCAACCAATATATCCCCACTAGCGGTCTATCCTGAGGAAGACCGCTAATGAGCAGTCGAAACTGTCAGGTATGAAACATAACTCTAGGTCTGAAAAAAGAACTTAATAACATAACCAATATATCAGTCTGTCCCTAATTACAAAGTCCTGTGTCTCCACTCACCTTCTGTTTCTTTAATGAACCTGTTTTGAAGCTCCTCCTCAGCGTCCCGTCCAGGAAGCTGGGGGTCTTCCTCTTCTCTGTCCCGACACTGACCCCTCCAGGCCCGGCTGTTCCCTTCCCCTCCCCGGCCCCTCCAGCAGCCCCTCCTGCCCCGGCCCCGGCCCCCACCCCGGGCTTGGTGGAGTGGAGGATGCGATTGCGTAGGCGCCCGATGGGGTAGACGGTGCCTAAGCTCCAGCCGGCCCGTCCCGCTCCGTCCCCGTGGAGGTACTGCAGGCGGAGGGAGGCCAGGTGCTGCAGGGTCTCCTCAGAGCCGGGGAAGTGACCACTGATCAGGGACTCGTGAGCCTGAGACACGAGAGAAGATGAGCAAGTTAAGTCACTCCCAACAATGTAAAAACAGTAAATTAGTAAAAAGTATACCTTGATATTCTGAATTAATTTGAGTGGTTTAAATGTATTTACAGGAAGGGTCTAAATGTAGTAGTAGTAGTTTATTCGGTCATTTTACAACTCAAACAAAACAAAACATAGACTACAATCCCCTAGATCATGACCGAAAGGGTTTAGGCTGAAGTAAAAAGTACTTATAATGCCAAACCCTATTAAACAATGACAAAATTTCAAGAAAAAAACTGCGTATGATCAGCAAGTTTACATTTACAATTTCACTTAGGACTTACTGTAGATATAAGGGACAAAATGTAAATGAAAACTAACTAAATTTAAAGTTAAGGTTAAAGGTTAAAGTAGACGGTTACCTGCTCAAACATAAATGCAAACTCCACCCCCTCCTTGGGCATGCTCTCCACGTCCAGGAAACAGTAGAGTTTAAAGTAAAGCTTCCACTCTCCTTCCTCCTCCTCTTCCTCGCTGCCAGCCAGTCTGCAACCACATCAGCCACAATCAATGTTCATTATAGGCAGCAATATTTCACAGCGCCTCGGGAATGGTTTAATGTAGAAATATCTTCAGAGATCAGTGCTTGTAGTAGTAGTAGTAAGTAGTAGCAGACGTCCGTGAAGTTGGCCCCTCATCAAACGCAAACCTACACAAAAACTATATTGATCGTTTGTGCTCCGTTTGTGTTGCAAAAAGTTTTGTGATGTTAACAGTTCTTTTATAGGTCAAATTAGTCAGCCTTAAAATGCTCTAAAACGGCCCAGAATGGTGTCAACCGTTAGTGTTTTCTTTGTGCTGTGCTAAAATGTTTCGTTTGTGTGATTATGGCTCTTAAGATATTAGCAGCTTTATTTTAGGCCGATGACGTCATCCAGCCCCTCAAAATGTTAAAATAGCCTCAAAACAGGCAGAAAATTATACGAAACGTTTGAATTTCGTTGGTGCTGTTTTGTGCTGTGACAATTTAGATTTGTGTAAGTATATTTCTAAAATTATGAATTATTATTTTTAGCAATACTCCACAAAACTAGTGAAGAGAAACGATCTCAGGCTGTGGAAAATTATGTATCAGTCTTGAGTAACTTGCTTTTTATTCATGTTTTATATAATAATACAGACTTTTTCACAACCTGAGATCGTTTATCTTCACTGGTTTTGTGGAGTTTTGCTAAAGTTACTGACGTCAGAAATAACATCATGTAATGTCCGCAAAAATAATAATTAATAATTTTAGAAATATTCTAACATAAATGAAAACTCAGCACAAACTCAGCACAAACGAATGACAAAATTTAGTTTTAGACATTTTTTAAGGCTGGTTGACCCTAATTTGACCTATAAAAGTATCGTTAATATCTCAAAAACTAAAGCAGCACAAACAAAGATTTTGCAGCACAAAACACCACAAACGATTGACACAGTTATTTTGTAGGTTTGCTTTTGGATGGGGGGCCAATTTCACGCAGGTTAGTAGCAGTAGTAGTTAATAGACAGTACCTTTCAAACTTGGCGAGCACGTCGGCCACGATGACTCTGCTCTCCAGAGCTCTGTCAGTGAAGGAGTTGTGTTCAAACAGAGAGAACAGGTTCTTACTCTCCTCCATGGCCAGGCCCCGGATCAACTTCTCCACCACCTGCAGCACACACGTTTATGGTTATGTTCCAAATCCAAATCTACTTTGTTTATGTAACACAAACAAAACAGTTTCCAAATATAACACAGATGCACATATAACAAAGATACCTGCTTTTCTATTTTTTAAAACTCAGGTTATTAATCTTGTTTTCAGATTTATTATGTACTTACTACTTCTGAGACTGCTTAATTCCAGTCAAGACATAGTTTATTTTAAGATAACTTCACTAATTTCACATAATTTCACAATTTTTAAGTCATTTTCTGATAGATTTAAGTGTTTATATCTCAAATTTTCCATGGAGATTATATTGTTTTGCCTCAAATCTTTCTCACAGTATGAAATTAAACTTAAAGAATGCATTTTTAACAGTCTATGTTTAGCAGTGAAAACTCCTGTAATAGATTGAATAAATGAAAGATAAATTAGTTTAATTCCATTCCGCTGAATCATCCTCCACCAGAAAAGTTACATAACGCATCTTCAACAAACTTTTACATAATTACTTTTTATATTACACTTACAAATATAAAAGAACTCAGAATAAATTCCTTAATAAAGCTACTCCTACAATTAAATTAGTTACATTATAAAAGAAATCGACTGCTTGCGTACCTCTCCGGCTGTGGTGTGCGAGTTGATGGAGATCTTGCAGGAGCCTCCTCCGTGGCAGTAGACCGTGGTGCTCATCTCCTGTCTCACCAGCAGGGCGGCGATCTCCTCTTGTGACGGAACAAACTCACGCGTCTTTGTCTTCTTCAAGGACTCCCCGATGAAAGTGGCGTAGCGCTCGATTTCTGTGTTCGGGTACCTCTCTCGGACCCTGAAAAGTTGACATCAGCACAGTTAGGGTTATACTTTTGAAGGTGCACTATTATTATTATAAATAGTGTGATAATTAATTGTTGACGCGCCTCTTGAGGTGAAAGCGGAGGTAGCGGAGGATGGCTCTGCTGGGTAAGAAGGTGCAGCTCATGCAGGTGAGCAGGTGCCAGTGCGCCCGGTTGGCTGGGCTGTTAGGCTGAGGCACGTGATTGGTCTGCTTGATCACCTGACAGTACACCTGGAAAAAGATAAAGAAGCAAATGGAAGTGAATTTAAAGGAGATGTTTTTATGACTTTTTATGGCTTCTGGAAACACTTTTGGACAATTTACATTTTCCTACTTCATAACTTTAAATGCATTTGATTGCATTTTCATTATTTTAATTTTTTTTATTTAGAGTGACCAGATTTGAAAAAAACAAACAAACTGGGAGATTCCTGGTTTGAGGTGGTTGGTAATAATAAAATTGTGAAACAAGTGCGAATTGTTCTGGAAATTGTTGAGGAAAATTGTTCTGCACTTGGTACTAAAGTGAGTCAATATAGTCATATTTTCTTTGTGTTTTGGTCATTTTTAAGCAGCTTTTCTGTATTATACCTAAAGAAATGACAATGTATACCTCTCTTTACTGTTGGTAGAGATCAGATTGGTCAAAAATATGGACACCTGGGACATTTCTTGTATAAAACTGGGACAAATCTGGTTTGGGATAAATCTGCTGTGACAGGGGACACAGGGCTCAAAACTGAGACTGTCCTGGGTAAATAGGGACATCTGGTCACTTTATTTTAATTATTATTTAGTTTAGTGGTAAATATTTATCATAGTTTTACAGTCCAGTGGCAGACGGTGGAGAAAAAGTGAGAAGAAAAGTACAAAATAAGAGGAAGTAGAGTTCTGATATGGAATACCTTTACCTAATTCATCAACACAGAACATTCCAGCAGTTTAAAGCTTTGCAAACCTTAATATAACAAAATAAATGTCTTGCCATATATTTTTTGTTGTAAAATCATAATGATTGTATAATTAAGACACAACTGACCTTTGTTTAATATGGTTGTTAGGTAACTAGGTAGGCAATTGAAACACTAAGCAATTATTAGAATGAGACAAATTAAAGTGACACTTGATTTCAGCTGCTTGCATAGAAACTGAATCTGAAAATATAGTTTGATTAGGAAACATGACATGTTTAAAAGCTTAAAAAGTGCATAATATCCAGATTGTAGTATGTAGTGTGTAGTAGTGTGGCTAAAGTACCTCGTCCCTGAGCGGGCGCAGGTCCTGGCAGGTCTGCAGTATCCCCTGTATAATGGGCACAGTGTCGGCCAATGTCTCCATCTCCTGCAGAGAGTTAAAGACCCGCACAGCCTCGTCCTGCAGACTGGCATAGCCCTGCTGCCGGTGCACTACAACACACAACACAACAGGCGTAAGATTAATAAACAACAAGAGATGGATAAAAAGAGGTAAAAAAAAATGTATTAATCCATGTGTCACCTGAGAAGGTGCCCATAAAGACTGTAATTATTAACATGAGACTCAACACTTGAACTCCTCCCACAATCACAGTTTAAAAAGAACTTCTAACTTGGGCCGCACCTGGAGGACTAAATGGGAGATGTGGCAAAAAGGGGCAGAGTCTGGACAAATATATAAGACCATTGCTTTAGACTAATGCATTATTATTAGTTGTTGTATTTCTATTTGCTAAAATCATAATAATTACAATCATATTATAAATATATAGAGTTAAGTAATGGATACTATAATGATAATGGATCAGTTTTATATAGTTTTTCAGAGCAGAGCATTATTCATTCACTCCAGTGGTGGTAGCCACTCTTGCAGCCACAGCTGCCCTGGGGCAGACTGACGGAAGCGAGGCAATATGGGTGAAGTGCCTTGCCTAAAGACACAACAACAGTTTTTTTCACTGACTCCCCCTCGTGGCACCTGATTTTCCCAACAGTCTTCCATCCAAGTACTAACCAGGCCCTGCCCTGCTTAGCTTCTGAGATCTGATAAGGTCTGATAGTACTAGTATCTTATAGTACACTGATAGTAGTAGTATCTTATAGTCGTCTTATAGTACTGGTATGTTGACTCACGGCTGATGACCTCTCCGTAGGGCAGGGGCAGGAGGGGCGAGTGCAGGGGGTGCTGTGTGTATCTGAGGATGGGGTTCCTTCTGTACATCTGATCCACGATCTCCGGGTTCACACTGTTCTCCTGGAGGAACAAAAAACATTTAACACAAATACAGTCTCTTTGGTTTCACACACATTCCTGGCGCTCTAATCTGCATGTACCTTGATGTCCCTGATAAGCTGCAGTGTGGGGGTCTCGATGGGCGTCTTGCTGTCGATGACTGACTGAATGGCAGCGGCCCACCTCATGGCTTCGTTCAACATTTTGGTGTATAGACGATATGAATGCTTTCTTCCATACACAATGATATTCCAGTATCCTGTTGAAGAACAAATGTTACGTTAGCTAAATTTTCTCACTCCTCATAGTTTTTAGGAAATAATTTTAGAAGATATATAACTTACAGTCATGGAGGAACTTAAATTTTTTGTTGCATTATCAGAGTAATAATATTCTAAAACAGTAGAATTTTTGTTCTTTGTTCCAGTGCTCCTGACTGTTTGTAGCATTTGTTCTTCCAGAAGAACATTTTCAGTTAAGAAAAAGTTTTGTGAATGCCAAAAATGTTCAAAAGAAGGTCTTAAGTAAAAAATTGTTCATGAATGAGGCCCTTTGTCTTTCTTTAAGTATATTATCCTATGATGCTGATATTTGAAAAATGTTATTCAATAAAAACATATATATCTGAGAACTACTTAATCTACAAACTGCTTAACCCATGTTGCAAAAAATCTCCCTTGTCTAATCCCTCATGTCACTGTTCATCTCTGCGCCTCCTCACCTGTTTCCCGGTGAACCCGTTCATCCGGCTGAATGACAGAGCACAGTGAGTTGAGGACCAGGGTGCCCATCTTGGAGGAGTTCTTCTCTGAGCTTTTGTAATAATCCAGAGAGCCACTGGTCAGTACGAACCAGCGCTTCTTCAGCTTCAGAGACGTGCTCTTGGCGTTGGTCTTCATCTCCTTCTGCAGCCAGCCTACAACAAGGAAAAGGAGATGAGTACATTCTATATACAGTCTGTTGATAAAGTTGTAGTAAATCAATGGAGATTTTAAGAAGCGAAACACTGGATTTTACATTCACGACACTAACAACCTAAAACATGCACAACAGGTAAAATCCTCCAGTGAAGGAAGTGCTGACCAAGACTAGCTCATGATCTGGAGATGAAAGACGGATCAAATGCAGATGGCAAATTTCCCGATGGGGACAATAAAGGCAAATCTTAACCTTAACTATAAAGAAACTGGTTTGTTACACAAACCAACTGGGTTATTTTCCTGTTATGGCTAATAATATCTATTTGGACAAACATTATCATGTTTGATCCTTAAATCTGTATTGTTGTTTTGTGATTTGTAGAATATGCTGACGTCCTTCTTCTGACTGTGCTGACTGTGATCTGTTTAAAAATGGGATCAGCTGGATTTGGGTAAATGTTTGTGACAAAAATACTATTTATTCCCTCTGTAAATCATTTTGATATACATGATATGCATGAAAAGTGCTTTATAAATAAAGTTTGATTGATTACTTCCCTCAGAATGGGGCAGGTGCCAGTATCAGCAAACAGCATTTTCATTAGAAAGATTAAAATGACCAAATTGAAAATATAGATGCTGAATCTGATCATGTATGTAATTGATGCTTTATTTTATTGATTACATCACATGTACCACACTTACCATACTAGAACTGTTCATTAAACTATTATCTGTTCTCATGTAAATAAACACTATGTCAACAATTTACCTTATCTCATCTATATATAAACATATAAATTAATACATCGTCGAATGGCTTTAAGGGAAACAGTGAATAATTTAAAATGTCAGACAGTGAAAACAGGAGCCATACCTCTGACTAGGAACTCCTGTCCGTCGATGCGAGCGTCTCCTTTGGGCTTCTGCAGCAGGCTAATCCAGTGGTGCATCTCCTCTGGGGTGTCACTATTACAGTGGATCACACGGTTGGCTGTGATGATCACAAATGAGTTGGGCCTGCACATGGACACACAGGTCAGCAGAGGGAACATCACCGGACTCAAAGCATGACTGTGTTTGTTTTCTTTTGTCCAATCAGAAAGACTTTTATAGTCGTGAACATAAGCAGTTTATTTTTGTAATTTCCTGAAAACCTTGAAAACTTGGAACACTTATGCAATTATGGTGTGAAACAAAATGTATATATTTATGGAAAATCTGGCCTAGCAAATCTATCCTTTAAGTGCTCACAAACTGCTTTTTGCCCCCTCAAATCTAGAAAGTGCCATGATTTTAAATAAAATTTCATTTCTGATAAAAAAACAGAACTCTTACCGATCAGGATTGTCTGAAGCACACACTGAGTCGATCAACCCCACATCAAGAGTTCCCTGCACAAACCATCAAATATTAATATCAATAATAATATGATAAGTGAAATACTATATGTACTTGACGGTTATATACTGACCACAGCGTTCTTTGGGTTGGCCTGTTCATGCCCCATGTCCAGCAACTGATCTGGTGTACACACTCGCACCTTCGTCAGGACGTTGAACCAGCCACTGCAAAAAGATAAAATTACATCATCGTATTCACTCTATCTTCATTTTGCAGATAGTACAATCCTAATCTGCTACCTTTGCTTTTCAACCAATCATCTCAAGACACAAGATTTTATTTTGTCCAGACCTTGCATCCTCTGGAGACTCTGCAAACACTTGGTAGGTCCTCTCATCCGTCACGATGTTGAGTGCATTCTCCTTCTCATGGTTGTCCACTATCTCCCTGTAATCAAAGGATACATATTTGAGAGTTGAAATAATGTTTATTTTATAATTATTATGTTGAGAGGGTCTTACTTAGCAGCTCGGATGTCTATGGTCCCTTTCAGTTTCTCTTCACTGTCGTTCTCATAGTACATCAGCTTTCCGTCTCTCAGGACAAACCAGCGCATCTTCCAGTTTCTGCAAGAAGAAATACATTACACAGGGCCTTTTTTGCTGCTGACACTTAGTCCATTGTGTTTTGTAATTAAAGAGCCCATATTACACTGTTTTCTCATCTATGTTATAATATTTCCACATCAAAAACATGCCGGGAGTTGTGTTTTGTTTCATTCACATATGTTTAACACACAAACCCTGTGTATTTAAGCTGAGCTCTAAACAGAAAACACTGAAATTGCCAATCTCTACTGAACTAAAAGTAAAAGGCAGTTTTTAAATTGTGAACTATTGCTTCCTGACATCACAAGGTGGACCAGAGCATTTTGAGCTTTGGAGATGTAAACAGACTGATAATAGAAGGTTCCTAGATAGATGGATAGTCTGTGACGGGTACAACAACCTCCGGGACAGGGTGGACAGGCCTCCTCCTTTCTTGTAGAGCCAGCCCGACTTGAGTGAGTCCTGTTTGGAGCGGAACCACATGAACGTCTCATCCTTCAGCACACACCAGCGCCTCCTCCAGGGGATCATAAGACCAGCTGCAAAACAACAACATGTTAGACACAATACAGACACATGTGCAGTATATCCATGGGTTTCAGAATGATTTTCAAACTAAATATTATTAGATTATATTATTCTTGAATATAATAGAATTATAATTATAGAATATTATATTATTCTGAGGAAGCTACTACTTCAGTAATAGTTTTGCCAGATACAGGTACAGTATATAACATGTGTAATGTCTGATAACCTTCCAAAATATAGTAAGCACATTTCAGAGTTAATGTCTAGAAATAAGCACCTAAAAATACCCAATAAGCCAAACAAATCAGAAATTTAAATTACAAGTAGAACAAATCCAATAATTACCTTTATTTGTTGTAAATACAAGATACATATGGACAACCATGTAGTTAATCATGATTTAGATTTTTAATTAATCATAAGTATAGCTCAAAAGCACACAAAACAATTGAGCTACAAAATAAATACATCTTAACTTGTCAAAACTGAAATGAAGATGAATAATCTGAATTGAAGTCAAACACTGAATTTTTTGTCGTTGTGCTCTGATAGTTGGTGAACATGTTTTTATAATTGGTAAAAGCTTTTAATATTTCCAAACCAAGAGAGTGTCTTGGTTTGTCATTGTTTAGTCTTCTGTAGATTTTGCTGATTGGTCTTCAGTAGATTTTTGAAAAGTTACCCTACCCTATTAGTATTTATCAAGTTGAAAAGAAACCCTCCAAAAAGCACCTGTCTATATGTTGGATGATGCTTGTACCTGCAGCATTCTCGTACTTGTATCTTGTGCTATTGTTTATAGAAATGTTCCAGTTTGTACCTTTCATGTAGAGGTAGCCATGGAAATACGGAGGTCCGTTTCCGTTCAGAATAGTGACCCTGCCTGTGGTCAGGTCTTCCTCCGTGTCCATCATGCCGTCATGCTCATCGTCACTGTCAGCATACTAGAAATACACAGAACGACACTGTCAAACACACCAAATCGTATCAGGCGTAACTACTTTTAACATTAGTCAGATCAGTTTCACAAAGAAAGATTTAGAGGGTCTTTAAGAATAAAGAAAAAATAATAATTGTATACTAACCTAATATAAGTTCCAAATAAACAAAATATTAAAATTTTTAAAAGGAATTCACAGTTAGTATAATATTATATTTTTATTTCTTTTATTTAAGGAGTCAGAATTCTAAAGTTCTGACTAAAGTATTGTTAGTAGTATGTTAAATTTATATACAAGTTATACACCACTACTTTACTGCACATTAAAGTTCTGGAGGTGGCATGTCACCTGCATGGGTCCATGAAAATAGAAATGTCATACTGAGGAATAATATAGCCAGAGCAGGAATATTTCCATGGAAACAAGCAGAAGGAAGTCCTGCTCCAAGCCAAGTAAGAGTCAAGCTGGTGGAGAAGCAAACCCAGACTCGTTTTACAGAGTAAGAAACATAAACAAAATGAAAATACACAACTTTATTTTAGGCTACTTGCCTTTTTTCACTACATACTTACTTAACTTAGCTTATACATCCCAACTGTGGGAATATTACTGACTTCTTACCAGAAATATGGCAAAGAATTAACCCATAAAGTTAGTTTATTTTGTTGGGAAACCTACTGTAAATACATGAGATTGTCAGATTTATGGCAAATACTGTTAAAGCCCAAATTAGATTTTTTTTTAAACTGTACAAAAATGAACAACTCAGAGCCAGTCTAAATCTTCCTTGTGAAACTGTTCCCTAGTCACATCATCTACAGCACTAGCAAAAATTACAGATAATTCAAATAGATTGCGTGTCGCTGCTCATACATGTCTGCGTGCTCGCGTGAAAGGATGCGTGTAAGTGTGTGCCCTCACAGAGTCCGAGCTGCCTCTGTAGGACTCTATGCTGGCGTTGGTGCACGTGGACTTGCGAGGATGCTCGTCGTCTCCCACCGCCGCGCTGCCACGGTTGCTCCCGGATACGGAGCTGCTGTCGTCACCCGCGTTAACAGACCCCTCCTCCTCCTCCTGGTCGTAGTCCGACTCGGTGTCGGCGGGCATGGAGTAAATGGGCTCGTCCCCATCGGGTAAACTCTCCACCAGGCTGACCTACGGAGACATAACAGTAGCTACGTTCACATCTACACCAAAAATTATTCCAAAATTATACCAAAAATTTTGATCTGATTTCTAGAGTCGTCGGATTATTCAAATGTCGTGTAAAGAGTTAGCCTACATCTGATGTGAATAATCTGATTTATTTCTGATTGGCAAAGGAGAAATTCAATTTGTCAACTGGACAAACATTTATTTAGGTCGAAAACACAGCTCATCCAAGCTGCTTCTTCAGTTAAGATGAGCTGCGTTTTCGACCTAAATAAACATTTGTCCAGTTGACAAACTGAATTTCTCCTTTGTGATGGATTCCACCTGGATGACTGAGGGATTCCACACACTTCTTTCTGATTGTTTACATCTATGCAAGTTTAACAAATAAAATTATTTTTAAAAAGACACAATATTTGGACCATAAAATGAGATTTAGACAGAAATAAACACATACATTTCCTTTTATTTTGCACTGATCTTGAATTTTTGTCCCATCCCTACTTATTATAATTTAATCAAACGAGCACAAGACTACATACACACTTGACTTAAGGGTGATTGAAATGTTCTGACCAAAGCCTGAGCTGGAAACAACCTAATTTTAAGGCATTTTCTATGACGCTCCTATGGTGTAGATCAGATAGTAATCAATATTAAAACTGGTATAGAAAAGTAGATGCTCATTAGAGCAGGTATCAATACTGAATCTTGAGTTTTATCAGAACTAGTGTAAGACCACATGCTATAATAAACAAATGCTATTATTTAGTATCACAACTTTTAAAATGATCATTACTCAAAATATGAAATGTTGAGTATGTTTTGTAACGAAATCAAGTTAAAAATGTTTGAGAATACTGCTATGGTGACTTCTTAAACCACCATTATATGTAGAATAATAATAATTGTAACATCTCCACAGACCTTCCTGTCCGGACCGGGCTTGGGCTCCTCTGTGGGGGGCAGGGGCGGAGGGGGTGGGGGCTGTGGAGCTCCGGTGACGTCCGGCGGCGGGAGGGGCGGAGGGGGAGGAGGGCCACCGTTGGCGGGTAAGGGGGGTGGAGGAGGGGGGGCAGGTGGCACCGTGCCCTCGGCGAAGGCGGGCGGAGGAGGCGGTAGGTTGGCGAAGATGTCCTGGTCCACAGGGGCGTTGCTCTCTGCCGGAGGGGGGAAGTCCGGCAGAGGGATGCACTCCTCCTCCGCGTGGAAGCCCTCATCCACTTCTTCATCCTTAGAGGCGCCTGGGGAAAAAGAAATTATATCTTTGAATTGCTTAATGTTATATTTTGATTTTATTCAAACGACCACACAGTAACCCCCTCAGCTCAGATCAGAAACCTTGGATTCATCTTCGATTCACCCTTCGCCTTCAGACCACACATCCGCCACATCACCAAGACTGCCCTCTCCCACCTTCGAAACATCGCCCGCCTTCACCCCTCCCTCTACCCCTCCGCTGCCGAAACTGATCATCACTGCCTTCATCACCTCCAGACTCGATTATTGCAGCAGTCTCCTCTACAGATTTCCCTACACTGACCTTCAAAAACTTCAATAAAGTTTATTTGCATAGCACAATTTGTACACAAATTAATTCAAAGAGCTCTACAGTATAAGAAATACATTAAAATCACAATAAAAACAAATCAAAACATAAATAATCATTATAAAATTAAAAAGAGACAGAGACATTAAATTAGCAAGAACAGTGCGAAATGAAAAATGAAAACCTTTCAGTCGTACAGACAGCTAAACAGAACTGTTTTGAGCCTGGATATAAAGTAGAGACCCATCTCACATGTTCAGGAAGACTGTTTCAGGTTTTAGCTGCATGAATCTGAAACTCTAACTCCCCGTGTTTAGTCCTGACCCTGGGCAACAGCAGGAGGCCGGGCCCCGAGGTCCTCAGAGTGCAGGTGGTTCATATGGCACTAACATGTCAGAGATGTACTTTGGTGTCAGGCCATGGAGAGACTTGTACACAAACAGAGCCGCTTTAAAGTCTATTCTCTGGGGGGCCCAGGATCGACACCTGGGCCCCCTTTTGTTCAATCAATTTCAAAATACTTCCTGTCTACTAGATAGGACATGAACCAGTTTAGTGCAGTACCAGAGATGCCCACCAATCCTCTAGTCTCTGTAAGAGGATCCTATGATCGACAGTGTCAAAAGCAGCACTGAGATCTAACAGAATCAAGACTGAGACTTTGCCTGCATCAGTGTAAAGGCGAATGTCATTTGTCACCTTGATAAGAGCAGTCTCAGTGCTGTGGTGGGCTCTAAAACCTGACTGGAAAACATCAAAGGAGTTGTTCATTTGGAGAAAGTTAGTAAGCTGTTGGTAAATATGTTCAAAACTCTGTCGCCCGCCTGCAACAACTCTGCAGGCTCCCCATCAATTTCAAGATCCTCTTGATCAGATACAAAGCTCTCTCTAACTAGGCCCTCCATACCTCACAGACTTTGTCCAGCCCCACCATCCCTCCTGCTGCCTCTGATCAGCCTACTTTAACCTTCTCACTTCCACCGTCAAATCAAAGTATCGGACCTTGGGGGACCAAGCCTTTTTTATCATTTGACTAAACTTAATTTGATCCAGATAGCTCATTTTTCATAGAAGAGCACTATAATGTTAACACGACCCATTGCTTTTCCTCAGCCTTACCAGCAGGGGGACCTGAGGCTGTTTTGGGGGTCTTGGCCTTCTCCTCTGCAGGTTTGGGGGAGGCAGCGGCCAGGGCAGGGTCCACCCCGCTGAAGTTGAGCACGTCTATGAGACTGGTGGCTTTTCGAGACGCCTCTTTGTTCATGCGTTTGAGCTCCGCATCGCGCCGCAGCTGCAGCTCCTGTTTGGACGACTCGCACAGCTGAGACACCTCATCCTCTCGCTTCTTCTGCAGACGCTCGATCTCACGCTCCAGCTGCAAGATTTCTTCCATCTGCTTCGTCTCATCCTGGACAACAACATTTCCTTAGGAAGGAGACTAAAGAGTTTGGAAATAGTCAGTGGTGGATGAAGTACTCAATTTTGTTACTTAAGTAAAAGTACAGATTAGTATTTAAAGTATCTCGCGCAGATGTAGAGATCTAATAAAGCTACAAATGCAGTGATTTTGACAAAGATTTGTTTTGAATTTTGTTCAACAGAAACAATTGAATCAGTTGGGGGGTTTTTTCTTAGCTGTTTTTATGTTTAAAATTTTGTTGGCTCAAACTATGAAGGTGTTAAATAAGTCCCTCGGGCTTTTCAATAGGTCTCAAACTATAATAAAAAATACTTTTACTTTTCAGTCCTGTTCAAAAATGTAGTGGAGTAGAAAGTATAGATGCCTGCTCTCAAATGTAGTGAAGTGAAGTAAAAGTAAAAAGTATCTACTTGAAAATGTACTCGCAAATGTACTAGCAAAGTACTCCAGATACCTTCAGTATCTACAGTACAGTATTTTACTACTTTGACTTTGTTAGGTTCAATCACTGGAAATATAATATAACAATATAATCTACTGAGAATATAAAGCGTTACTCAAAAACCTACAGGGCTCAAATTTAGAGGATTACGGGACCAACATCAATACATATGAAATTCTGATTGTTTATGACATGTTATTCAATATTTATTTTCATTTATTTAATATTTATTATTTTCATGTATTTATTTTCAAGAGCTCAGAGTAGATCCGCTGCTCTTCCACGTCTAGAGGAGCCAGCTGAGATGGCTCGGGCATCTGTTTCAGATGCCTCCTGGACGCCTCCCTCGGGAGGTGTTCTGGGCATGTCCCACCAGGAGGAGGCCCCGGGGAAAACCCAGGACACACTGGAGGGACTATGTCTCTCGGATAAGCGAAAGAAAATGGATGGATATTTTCAATAAACCTCACTGGTTGCACGGCACTCATGTAAAACAAAACATTTTATATTTCCAGTGCATAACCCATCTAAAATGAGCCAAACCCACTGCATTACACAAACAGCAGAAAAAAACTGATGATAAACCGGAAGTACTTTAGTGTTTATGCAAGCTATTAGCCACATCTCAGAGCGCCACAAACTTTAAATTATTAAACAACTTTTTGTGAATGGCTGAGATCTGAGTGTGATGGAAAAGGTGCTATAGAAAAGTAAACTCACTGCGCTGCCACTTGCCTTCTTCTCAACCGACTCATCCTTCTTTCCATCTCCCTCCTCTACTCCATCCTTCTTCTTCTCCTCCTCCTCTTTCTTCCTCTGCTCCTCCTCTTTCTTCTTCTTCTCCTCTCGCAGTTTTCGGACCCGGGTCCTGGCGACCTGCCCCCTGCGGTGTCTCTGCAGCACCAGCACTGCCTTCCTCTGTTTCACGAATCGCTTTCTCAAAATGTGTCTCCTCAAATGCTTCTGGAGGGTGATGACGCTGGCACGGGCACGCTTGAAGAACTTCCTGTTACCAAAAGAAAATTCAGAACAGCTCAATATAAATGTATTGAAATTCTGAATGGTAAAAAGCGATAAAAGTGGCGGTACTTTGCGGAGAAGGCGAGGAGGTGAGCGCGGATTATCATGGCAGCCTGGCGTCGGATTTCGTCTCGATCTTTTTCCAAACGCTGCTCCAAAGATTCCTTCATGAAAACCTACAGAAAAAATATCTAAATTAAAAACAGCACTGAATAAATCAAGTTAAAAGTTGGTGATTGTGTGGTCGATTTAATAGTTTAAAACAATTAATAGTCTCATTGCTGATTTTTATTGTCTTCAAAATGTGAAAAAAAACCAAATAAATCAGTTTAAATGGTTTGTAGTGGTCCAAAGTTATTCCTCATTCATTCACAACTTTCAGAGGTCAGAGTTTTTCCATCACAGTAAAACTTATAACAACTAGCATGCTAACAGCACACTTTCAGATTCTCTGAGCATAAAACGCTTTAAAATTTTAGTTATTCAATATAATTACAGTACACTGTGAACTTATTTTGAGTGCTTATACAATATACTTATACAATACTATGATACTGTGGCTCAAATACATGAAAAAGTCACTAAAAAGTAAAAGTAGAGATGATTTGTCATACTTTTGTTTTGCCCAGCTGCCACTCTTTCTTGGTCTTGTCATATTTGAATAGAAGGTCTGTGCTGTTCTTCTTATCATCTCCGTTCTTTGGCGCTTTGTCCTTCAGAATAATTTTATATCTGTGAAACGAAAAAATATGTAACAATGACTAACACAAACTGATGCTGTAAAATTATTAAAGGTCCTATATTTCTCTTGTGAGATTTGAGCCATGGTAGAACGTTGTTACCTCCTCAAAAACAAATCTGGAGTTGTGTTTTGTTTCATTCACACATGTTAGAACACTTTATTATTAGTGAATGAAACAAAACACAACTCCAGGGATATTTTTCATGAAGATACAACATTATAACATAGATCAGACTAGAGCACAATATGGACCATTTACCGTAAAAAGAAGTCTTTGAAAGTCCTGCGCACTGGGAAACCAGCACGACGGATCTTCACTGTCTCCAACATGCCCGAGTATCTGAGCTGGTTCAGAACCACCTCTGGGTCAAACTTGTTTGGATTCTACACACAAATGGAAATAATAATCATCAGAATAAACCACCCACTTACTTCGGAATTAAATTTAATTCCAAATAATCATTTTCATTAGGAATTAAGTGTTTACGTGTTCTTTTTAAAGCAGAATACATTTTTTTTCAGAATTCAATTATTTTTATTTGGAATTACAGCTCTAAACGTGGCAAATGAGAGCAAAGATGTGAAAGAAATAGATATTATAGGATTGTGCCTGACCTTTTCCATGTTGGGTTTGATACAGCGGATGAAGAAGGGGTTGGAGACGCTCAGGGTGGCCATCAAAGCGTGGAGAGAGTCCTGGAATAACAGAAGAGGATCAACACCATCAACACCAGAGATCAACCCATCACCAACCAATATGCGTTTTGCTATCGCCGATGCTGATATCATTCTTTCAAACCCAGAGCAACTGATGGCCAAAAAGCTGATATTTTTGGGCCGATATGTTGGACGGATTTAGAAACTTATGTGATTTAAATTTACAAGAACTTACCCACAACCCTTTTTTTTTTTACCAGAAGGAGAGCTCTGTAGTTGTTTTTTGTTATCTTTTCATACTCAAATATTCACCTAAAGTTTTTATGTGTATTCTTCAGGCAGCAGGTCAACTCAAACAAAATGTAAGGCTAATACACTAAAAAGTAAATATATCGGTCTATCTCTAATAATTAGTTTCTGCTAATTTTATCACTGTGTATAAGGTGACCAGATTTTCAAAATAAAAAACTGGGTAATAATAAAATAGTTTAATAAGAAAAACTGTTCTGCACACAGCCCATTCAGGACTAACATGTGAAGCAGTATAGTCACATTTTCTTTGTGTTTTTTGTTCATTTTTGAGCAGCTTTTCTGTATTTTACCTCAACAAATAACAATTTAAGCCTCTCCTTACTGTTGGCAGGTGTCAAATTAGTCAAAAATAGGGATACCATGGATATTTATTGTGTAAAACTGGAACAAATCACTGGTTTTGGATAAATCTGCTGGGACAGGGAACACAGAGCTCAAAACTGGGACTGTCCCGGGTAAATAGGGACGTCTGGTCACCCTGAACGTCGTGTCTAAGCTTTTTACAACAGCATCTTGTAAAAAAGTATATTGTCTTTTCCACTTTCAAGGCCCTCAAAGCACTTTACATCAAGGAACCACTCACCCATTCAAATACACCCATTCAAATAGTACATAGATACGAGGGGCGAGGACGGATAAGTGTTTTGCCCAAGGACACAACAACAACAACAACTCACCCTGAATTGGGAGCTGACAGTGGGCTTGCGTCTGGCTGTGCCCATCTTCTCCTCGTTGTTCCTGCTGCCCACTTTCTCAAACAGGTCGTAGATGAAGTCCAGTCTGGGAGAAAGTGTAATATAAGTGTTGTTAATACTACGGTAGAATTTACTGTTTAACTGTCACATTGCAGATTTATTGACCTAGTTTATGATTAAAGTTGTGTCATTATTCAACACCAAAGACATGATTGTTGTCAGCTTAAAGGGCTTTAATTCTAAGGTGACCAGAATTTCAAAATAAAATAATTGGGACATCCTCGATTGGTGGTTGGTAATAATAAAATTGCAAAACAAGTGTGTAATTAAGGAAAATTGTTACGCAAAGAACATTCATGACTAACACGTGAGTCAGTATAGTCACATTTTCTTTGTGTTTTGACCATTTTTACGCAGGTTTTACCTAAACAAATTACAATGTATGCCTCTCTTTATTGTTTTTGGTAAAAAATAAGAACACCTGGGACATTTCTTGTATAAAACTGGGACAAATCAGTGGTTTTGTATAAATCTGCTGGGACAGGGGACACAGGGCTCAAAACTGGGACTGTCCCGGGTAAATAGGGATGTTTGGTCACCCTGTTTAAATCATAAAATTAATATGATAAGTTTTTGGAGCTGGTTCCAAAACAAATAATGGTAAGGATCAACATTTGTGGATCTGACGTTTGTAGATTTCTTTCAAAAACAGTAACTCTCCCATAGAGTTGTACAGACTCCTGCCCTCCATCTGAAATCATGACGTAATTTAAGTCTAGAGTGAGCAGGTTCATGGATGAACAGGATGGGAGGTGGGGCCTTCCTCCCTTCCTGGGTCTGAGAGGTCTTAAATCATAATGCCAGGAAAAATATAACTCCATTAGGTGAGTCGTTTATTGAATGTGACATAGTTCGTAAGACATACCTGCTGTCCTTGAGCATGTTCAAAATATCATCTCTGAATGTGTCCCTGTTCTTCTCCAGGATGCCCTTCACATCATAGAGTACCTAACAGACACAAGCAAAAGTCAAGTACTTTTAAGGAAGACATATCCTGCTTTTGTCTGCTATATAGTTATAATTTATGATACTCATGGATAATTGTGTTGTAATTTGCCATTTTAAATCGCAGTATTGATCTAAAATGACTTCATTAAAGAAACAAGTTTGCTTATTTCAGGCTGATTCCCACTTGTCCCTTTCAGCAACAACAGAGCCGTGTGCTGTTGGCTCCTTCTGTGGATAGCTTAGTGTTGTAGTCAAGATCGCACTAATCAAGACCAAGACCTGTCCGAGACCATAGAGTCCTAAGACTAGGACAAGACCAAGATCTTCAAGACCGAGACGAGACCGAGTCTAAGCACCTTCAAGACCAAGACAAGACCGAGTCCAAGCACCTTCAAGACTGAGACAAGACTGAGTCCAAGCTCCTTCAAGACTGAGTCCAAAAGTCTTTAAGACCGAGACAAGACTCAGTCCAAGCTCCTTCATGACTGAAACAAGGCCAAGTCCACAAGGCAGAGGCCAGTCTTGAAACAAAGACCAGTCTCAAGTACAATGACAATAGGATAGCTGCACACCACGCAGGCGAGCAGAGGATTTTACGCGGTACTGCTGAATTCTACATGTATAACAGATTAAAAAACTAAATTTGGAGAACAAGTGGGTGTGAATGGGAGCAGCGAAAAAAAGGGGTAGATTGAAGCAATTAAGTCAGGAGGAGTCAGGAATATAAAGATCACTCATGCTCAAACATGCTCAAATCACTTTAAATACACATTACACATTTTTTGAGACATCCAGGAATCTGATAATGTAATGTACCTAAAAAGTCAAGTTTTTTGTTTAAAGGTTGTATGGAGGATTTTTTTTTGTTTCAAATTGTCAATGATAGCATTATAGAGGTGCAGTAGCCTTGTAATTATGATGACCAAAAAAAAGAGAATAAAAATTCATCAACTCTGGACGTGGTGGGGCTAAACATTTGCCAATAGATAACGACACTGCCTCGTTATCTGTTAGCTGACAGGCTGTCAATCAAACTCCCTACGTTTCTAGCGTAACTGACTTGCCTGCGCGCTGCCGTTACATGGTTTACGTACGCCTGTCACGCAGTCCACAGACGCAAGCCGCACAGATGCTGTTTACTCCACCAACGCAACAGTTCTTAGCGGCTTTTTTTGACCTATATCTTCCTCGCAGTTCGCACAAAGTTTGTTGCAATGGCGACAAGAATCCAGGAGCAGTTAGCCGCAAAAGAAAGTCCGTTTTTGAGATTGCTGAAAGAAGAAGACAAGGGTAAAAGCAGCGAAGCCAAACTAAGGTGATTCTTGAAGATTCATTCCAGCGATGGCACAACTGAAGCAGACGCAGGGTCTAAAGACTGACGCATTGGTCGCCAAATTACTCCTGGACAGGTCAACTTCTGCTTATTATGAAAACGTACTTTATTTCCAAGAGCGAGACAAACGTTTTTCAGGACACGAAAGCGATATCCTATGTCTGAAAATGTAATTTTCAAGGCAAAGAAAGAGTCCGCTTGCAGCTGCGTGTTGTAGCTAGTTCATTCGCACTGAATCTCCGCGCACCCTTCTCTGCACCCTTTCCTGCTCCTGTCCCCGCTGCCCGTTCCGCTCTTCCCCCTGCTCCTCACTTCTCCGGGCACGGAATCTCCGCGCACCGCTCCTCTCTCCTCTCTCCTCTCCCTGCTCCGCTCTTCTCCCTGCTCCTCACTTCTCGTTCGCGCACGAAATGTCCGCACACCCGCTCCCCCCGCTCCTCACTTCTCCGCCTTGCCTAACCAACACTGTAGTTAGTTGTTTACAAGTCATGTGCAGCGCACCGGCTGTAAACAAACCTGTTTCTGGCGTAAGAAGGAGGCGGGAGGAGGCGTTTCTACGTAGGGAGCTGTAGGGGAGGGGGGGGGGTTTCACGCATGCGCAACATTTGAAAAAGGACAAACAGTCGCTGGATTTCTCGTTCCTTGGAAAATCCTCTATACAACCTTTAACTCACTTACATAAACTTTGAGAGGGTAAATGAGAAGGAGAACCGACTATATTACAGTTAAAAGCTCTGAAAAGTCGATTCTGCATTATATATCTCCTAAATGCGCCCTTCTCTCACCTCTCCAGCGTAGTGCTTGATTCCAAACTGGTGGTCTGCGAGCCTGGGCTTCACGTAGTACGGATTGGTCTGTGGTAAACAAATGGCACAGGTGAGATATCAGATAAAGAATATGTTTTATAACTCTTTTTCACGTGACTGACTGAATGTCGACTGTGCAGCTTCTCCAGCAGAGTGAAGTCTGTGCCTTTGGGGAAACGGCTTTCTTCATTCACCAGAGCCAACAAGCCCAGTTTCTGTGGAGAGAGGGTTCGTTAATGTCAATTACAGAATAAAAAACATGATACTCCAATATGACTTTGTTTTTTCATTCATTCAATCATTTTATTTACATTAAAGGTAAGCACACTGGACTCTCGTAAACATAAGCTGATTTTTTTTAAACACATGTAAAGAAAACAAACACAAGCTCTGATCTGTTTGACTGTTGTTGTTTTTTTATTTGCAGACTTTATTTGTTTATTGTGTCCTTTGCATATGACCTACATTTCCACCAGTGTATGTAACCAACTTTTTCATCTGCCACAATATTTGTATAAAGGTCAAATTTGCTTAGAAAACATGATCGTATATTTTCTCACAATGAAATCAAGACTTTTTTGTGTATACTGGCATTCAGCGTTGTAATATATTTGCACCTAAGTATCAGTGACCCTTAGCCCCCATTTCCAGATGTAAATTTCACATTTGTTTTCCCAACAAAAAATGTATATTAAAAATCCGAAAGCTTGCTCAGGGCCAATCAGCTCTGTGGTGACTAATGACCACAAGACCAACATTTTTATTTAAAATCTGTTTCTTAAACTTTACACACTGCTAAGTTATTAAATAATTTTGCTGAGTTTTGTATTTTAAATTAGCTTTTTGCACTTAAAACGACTGCATTATGGACATTACTTAGCACCTAGAACTCTATGAGAAAAACAAATGGGAGATTTACTTCTGAAACCAGAGTGGACCTCAAATTGGAAAGGACTGTCTAGCTCCATTCTGTCCTGACTCTCTGTCCATTTTAGATTGATAAAATGCACCCAAGGATCCAGTCGTTTTGGTCAAGAATACCTACTGTAGCTATCTTTGGAAATATAATGACATTTGCAAACTCCACACAAAAACAATCCACTCACTCTGGGAACCTAGACCCCTCTTGCTGTGAGGCATGAGTACTAGGAAATAAGTATTTGATCCTTTGCTGATTTTGTTGGTTTGCCCACTGACAAAGAAATGAACAGTGTATAATTTTAATGGTAGGTTTATTCTAACATTGAGAGATGGAATATCAAAAAGAAAATCCAGAAAATCACATCATAGAAAATATTTTAATTCATTTGCATTTCAAAATCAAAATCAGCAAAAGGGATCAAAGACTTATTTCCTCCACTGTAGATGCCACCAAGTATATGGTATATTCTTGAAAATACATGCTAATACAAATTAAAATTAAACAGAATTACATTATTTACAAATACAAAAATCCATAATCTTACTTTCTCAATTAGATCCAGACACTCAGCGTTGTCCATCCAGTCAATTGCATCCCACTGGACCCCCTCCCTGTGCAAAATAACGATCATTATTACACATTTTTTATTAGTTCAAGCTACACTAACTTGTCTTAGAGCGGTAACAATATGATTACATGGTTAAAAGCTTAGAAGAATACATTTTGTGTAATATAAGACATTTAAAAAAATAACCACTAGACCTGTTGTACTCCAGCTGCTCCAGAGAGAAGATATGTTTGTTGAAGTACTCCTGTAGCTTCTCATTGGCGTAGTTGATGTTAAACTGTTCAAAGCGATTCACCTAACACACACACACAATAATAAATATATGTGTAAAATAAAAGTTTAAGATTACAAAATTCTTAAAGTAAGTGAATATTGATCTGTAAAATTATACCTCAAAATTCTCAAAACCAAAAATATCCAAAATTCCGATGGACTTGAAATTTTCCTTCCCCTTGATTTTCTGGTTGATTTTGAGAATGATCCACGAGAAACACTGGGAGTACAGCGCCATGGCAACTGAGTCCCGGGAATCTACAGCCTGGAGGAAAGAAAAAAGTCAGAGCCAGTGATAAATTTGTTGAGATATACATGTATTTGTGTCATAATTTTTGTTGTATTTTTACTGACTCAAATTACAACTGATAGTAAATATATTAATTTACTAAAAGTTTTGTTATTTTTGTTTAATCTGAAATAAATATAACTGAATAAATGAAAGCAAGAGCAAAATATAGCCGCAAGCGGCAATGATCGGCCCTCGCGCGTGCTTACGCCGCGCCCCGCAAACACCGCACCTCACACTGACCCTAATAAGCCTAAGATTAAACCTTACCCTAATCATAATCCTAACCATAGCTCCACCCCTAGCCCTAAAAATCTTAATTTAACCCTGCAAATTTCAAAATTTGGCAAAAAAAATTATCCAAGATGGCGGTCTTCCGGTTTGTAATGGGGCGTGGTCACAATATACATTTCTGTTCTTATTGCCATGATGCATCTGGCTACCAAATTTGGTTTGGCTACGCCAATGTTTGTGTAAGGACGTCCCATTGGCAAGGATACAATTTTGGCTTGGCTGCCATGGCAACACAATGTAAACGGGATGTGAGCATCATTGAGTTTTTTAATCGAGACCATGTCACAAATGTGGATACCAAATTTTGTATATCTGTGACAAATAAAACCTTATTTTTACATACAAATTTTCTAGGGGGCGCTATTGCACCCATTTTTGTATTTTCTTACATCAGTCTGGTCGGGGTGTGAACCCACGATTAAAATTTGAGTGAAATCGGCCAAAGTTTGTGCAAATTATCAGTCGTTGAAGTTTGATGGTGAGCCCTAAAAACTAACCCGAAATTTGCACCGTTGCCACGGCAACACCGTGTGACCTTTTAAAAAGCTTTTAACAACTTTTAATGTCCCACTTGTCTAGATGATACAGAATGATTCTGTCTGGGTCAAACGCCCTAGGACGAGTTCGTTCAAGTACGAGGACAGGTCGCACGATCAATCCAATATGGCCGACTTCCTGTTGGTTGCCGAGCAACTGCGTAATATACTTTTTTGTTCCTATTCCCATGATGCATCATCAAATTTTTTTTTGTGTCATTCGTATTCCCTAATGCATTTTTGAGTCGTTTGGGGGCGCTGACAAGCCATTTTATTTCTGTTTGGAAAATGAAAATAGCCAAAACGTAGGGAAGCGCGAGTTTTACCAGATGGCAAAATTTCCAGGACTTTTTATTATTGTTTAGTGGGTGAAAAATGGGTGAGCTGGTTAGGAGAAAAATAATAAGAAAGAAGAAAGAAGAAAGAAAGAATAATATTCTGATGCGAGAACAATGTTCCGCTTTTTTTTGGCCGACAAACTATACATTTTCGGAAACCTCAGGCGCATTGCTACATCATGGCGAGGGTCCCTGGTCAGTACGGGCGAGTCACGTCGCGCCATTCCATTTTTCGGCCACTTGGAGCATCGCTTTGCGATACTAATAGGCCCTTCGCCAGCCTCTGGCGCTCGGGCCTAATGAAAGCAAGAGATCAATGTTAAATTTTTCAAACCCAGAGCCACAATTTAACATCCAAGGAACATGTCTTGTCTGATGGTGAAGCAATGCAATTGATATTTTATGGTTGGCTAAAATTATAAGTTTGCAGTTCAGTGGTTAGAGCAATGGTGTGTGTGTGTGTGTGTGTGTGTGTGTGTGTGTGTGTGTGTGTGTGTGTGTGTGTGTGTGTGTGTGTGTGTGTGCGTGCGTGTGTGTGTGTGTATGTGTGTATGTGTGTGTGTGTGTTGGTGTGTGTCAGAGGGACTAATGATGTGGGGATTGGCACTCAGTTCTGTCAGTTTGCCCCAGGGCAGCTCTGGCTACAGTAGTTGCTCATGACTAATGGATGTGAAGTGAATGAACAATGACTGCAGTGTAGTAGTGTAGGCTTTGGTAAACCTATAAAGTGTAAGGGATTATTATAAGAAAAAAATAGGGGTGGGACTTTACTAGTTAATAGTTAATTACTATTAATTAATTTGAAAGAAAATAATGCATTAAAAATATCAATGCATTTTACTGAAGTTTGCCTAACAACCTGGAACATTTGTCAGAGCACCATGTTGTGGTATGACAATTATACTGACGCACACAGTTCCAAACAATGGAGCATGAAAGCGTTCTGAGTTTGCTGGACGGTAAATTTCTATTCAAAACATTACCCGCCGGAAGTATTGACAAACGCGTTGTTTATTGCAAACTGTGCAGAGAAGAGTTTGCATATCACAGAAGCACCTCAACCCTACAATACCATTTAAATACAAAACATGTCACAGCAAGCACAGAAGCATTACGTTCAGAAGGTAATAACTTTTAGTCTCTTCAGTTTTGGACAAGGACCTTACCTTTGTCTACTATTTTGAAATCAAATGCAAGACATTTTTCCAGACATTAAAAGAGGTTCAGTTTAAAAGTCATGTCTGGGCATATTATTTGAGAAATCGTCCACTAAAATTCATTTACATAAAATAAATGTTGCTTTTGGGGCATATATTGTTACGCTATTAATTGAGATTAATTAATTACAAAGCCTGTAATTAATCAGATAATTTTTTTAATGAAGTCCCACCCCTAATAAAAATCTCTTTAGAAACAAAACATAATAAAAATGTCTTGTCCAAAATGAGCACTGGTTTAGTTGTGTTGTAGTGTCCATGTTGCGCTGAAGAGGAGCCTGACCTGCTCGATGGTGAGTGGGGAGCAGATCTCTTCTCCTCTGAGGATGATAGAACGTTGGGTCAGCACTTCAGACAGTTGGAAGGCGTCCAGGCCCAAGAGCTCGCTGACGTTTGTGACCACTGGAAGTACGTACAGTAAAGGGGCGTTAGACGTATATGTATACACAGAGCTTTACATGCATTACAAGTTAATCATTTGCAACTAAATGATCAACAAATGTAGAAATCAAAACAAAATATGTCATGTGCTCTCTGTCTCAAGTGGTATCTCTTAAATATCTCTTTTCTGGTGGGGGGTCTGCTACCTTCTTGTCTCTATGGAGATGTTATTGCTTTTCCTGGAATGGTATGACATTAAACATATCCATCTACGCTTTATTCATTATTGATTACAGGTGTTCCTCAGAAATACTATAATTCCTTTTGTGAATAGGGGCGACTCTCCACTGATGTAAATTGTAATCTAACATAGTCGCTGTCTCCCTTGTGATAGATAGGTTTAATCTGTACTGTGGAACATTCTAGACAAAGCAATAACATTTTCATGACAAGCACGTAGTGGACCTTCCACCAGAAAAGTTGTACAGAGCACATTTAAGCTTCATCTGGGTCAAATGCACTAAAATATCATATTCATAGGGCTTTTACAATCTAAACAACTTGTGGAATAATCAAAAGAATAACTAATTCTTTTCATTCATAATAAATCATTGTTAGTTGCAGCACAAACATACATAATGTTCCCGTTTTCCTTCACAAATATTGACTCAGTTTGGAATGTGTTAGTGTTGTAAAGTTAAATATGCAAGATCTAAATAGATAGAAAATAAAACAAAATAGATAGCTTTATTTGACCTTTATTTATCCTAATGAGATGAAGAATCAGAATTCTCTTTTTCCACCCAGAAGAAACCTACGCAGGCACATCCAAACTCCACACAGAATGGCTCCAGACTGCCCCAGAATCGAACCCAGGACAGTCTTGCTGTGTTTATTTTGTTAATTTATTTAATCAATATTTTACCAGGTAAGTCAATTAAGAAATTTTTTTTAAACTCCATACACCTTCACTAGAATCATTTGGATAATTTCAGCCCTGGAATTTCTGATCCCTTCTCAAAAAAGGTAAAAGGAGCTGTTAACTTAAAAACTTCATGACATTTTGAGTTTTGGAGATGTACACAGATTAATAATGCAGAGTTACTCAAGCACGTGTGAATGAAACTAACCACAACTCCAAGTATGTTTTTGATGAGGTAACAATATTATAACATGACTTAAAGCTCACAAAAGTCAATTATGTGTAATATAGGACCTTTAAATATGAGAAGAAAGAAGATATTTTGTCATTTTAACATATTTTTAAATCCCCAAATTTTACTCCTTCAATTTTAAGATTTATAAGTAATTTCTTTCCAAACTCATGAGCAGCAACTATTATAATGCATTTAAAGTAAACAGGATAATTTTATAATTTTCTGCTTCTATCAAGAAAAGGTCACGTCAGGAAAAGACCCAAACACCTCCAAAACACCTCAAATACTTAAAGCAAAAACTGACCTACATCGAAATAGTTTTAGCCGTAGTCAGGTCAGGTCAAGATAAAAACACAGTTACCTTGCTTGGTGGTGATCTGAGCGCCCCCTGCAGTCATGAACTCGATGTTGCCCAGCTGTAGGACTCCAGACAGCAGCTTGAACATGTCTCGGATCTCCTCCTCACTAAACTGCAGCACCTTCAGCGCTTCCTATACGCACACACACAACGCAAATCAATACTGAGAGGCTACCAGAGGCTTAACAGGCTGCTCTAGCTATAAGGCTCTGCGGCTCTGTGTAAATACTGACAATGAGTGTGTGCGCGCCTAATGGAAGACGGTAAACAAAAGCAAAAAAGGACATGACGTCACATTATAGAACTGAAAAATTTGCAGAAGGTTTAGTAAAATTGTCAAGATTTGCAAGCTTGACTAAAAACATGACAAGACGTTACACTTAACTGCTGTTTTAATATAAAAAAAAAAAAAAAACTATATTATTTGCTGACAGGGCACCATAAGAAGCATCAATGACTACACTAGGATCTAACTTAGAACTAAACCAGGAGCTAACATCAAAACTAAACCAGGACTAAACCAAGTCCATATAACCAAGAGGGGATTGGAACGCATGCAAGACTTCTTTTTATTGACTTTTCATCTGCGTTCAACACAATCCAACCTCATATTCTTTGTAAAAGACTTTTAGAAAATTTTAGCCTTGATTTTAATATTGTGGGGTGGATTCTTGATTTTTTAACACAGAGAACACAAAGAGTAAGAGTGAATGGTGTTCTCTCTGACCAGATGGTGTCATCAACCGGATCACCGCAGGGATGTGTTCTTTCATCCCTGTTGTTCATACTGTACACCAACAAGTGTCAGAGCACCTATGAGAATAGAACAATAATAAAATATGCGGATGATTCTGTCATTGTGAGCTCGCTTCACAAAAATGAAAACCAATTGGGCCATGGGCCAATTGTTGAAGACTTTGTAAAATGGTGTGAAGAGTCAAATCTACACCTAAATGTATCCAAAACGAAGGATATGATTATCGACTTTCGAAAACAAGCGCCTCAGTGTGATGTCACAGAGATAAAGGGGCAATCAGTTGAGTGTGTGGACTCATATAAATATCTTGGAACACTCATTGATTCAAAATTGAGTTTTGACGATAATTGTTCTGGTGTGTGTAAAAGAGGCCACCAGCGCCTTCACTGTCTGAGAAAGTTTTCCTTTTACCGTGTAGACAGAACCATGATGACACTGTTTTATAAAACATTTATGGAATCAGTTTTAACGTTTTCATTGGTCTCGTGGTTTGGGAGTATTTCTGCTAAAAACAAGAACTCCCTGAATCAGTTGGTTAAATGGGCGAGTAAGGTGATTGGCCATCCTCAGAGCCGCCTGGACTCACTGTATTCGAGACACTTACAGCGGATGTCCCAGAGTATTTTGGGAGACGTGCAACATCCACTAAACTCAGAGTTTCAGCTGCTTCCCTCTGGTCAGAGGTTTTTAGTCCCAAGATCTAGAACGAATCGTTTTAAGAGGAGCTTCGTTCCGGCTGCTATCATACTTATGAATAAATTGTAATCTATTTATCTAAGATTGTGTGTTTTTAACATATCTAAGATTTATTTATTGTGATTTTAGACAAGCGTGTTGGATGTTTTTAATTGGTTGTTTATGGAACAAGCCATTCTGCACTGGAGCGCTGTAACACTTTATTGTAACACTTTATTGTGTTTTTATGTGTGTTTTGTGGATGAATGAAATGTGAAATGTGGAACCTGTCTCTTAAATCTGCAAAGCAAATTTACCTACGGGTACGAATAAAGCGACCTAACCTAACCTAACCTAAGTCTACACTGGAGCAAGGGCGTAGGTTTGGTCTCAGCTTTTAATAGATTAATTATATAATGTTGTTTACTTTTTGTACGATGCACACTGCAAAAAACAAACAGCACATCTTTATAAGAAAGGGTAAAATGGAATAAGAAGTTACGTATATGTTTTATGAATTCTTTCCAAAACACAGAGTTTGGGCAGGTCCAAAATAAGTGAGAGGTGATTTAATTTTTTACTTCCCAAAATGTACAGTTTGTGTCCATTGTCTTTCTAAGATGATTCTTTAGCGGATAACAGCAATGTAGAAGTTTGTAGCAGATTTCCGTTTGCTTGTTGGTGATGAGATATTTGTGAGGTTATGTCCAAACATTTTTCCATGGAATATTGTCACTAGAGTCGGGCTGCTAACAGTGCACAAGTAGGGCTCCGTTTGGAAGGTGCACTTGTGGTGATAGTCGCTCTTTTTCCGCGGCAACTCATTATAAGTCAAGTTTAATTGAAGATGAAGCCAAGTAAGTTCCTTTTGAAGAGTTTTTCAAAGTTTGGTGCACATAGTCTTCACTCACGCCTGCTCAAGCCGACATCTTCAGGTGCGCCCCTGTCCTGCCACTTCCCCAGTTTAGACTCCTGGCTCCACTAATGACATCACTCTGTTGCAGCCAATGAAACAGCGCCAGGAGAAACCCTGTCGTCATATCACTGAATACATCTTAGAATGTCTAATAAAAAAAAGCGAACTAAAACTTGTTAAATTAATACTACTGAGTTTGGGAAAATATCAGAATAAATGTATATTTTTGTTTCTTAATATAAAATGTCAAATATTGGTAGGGACTATTTTGTCTTCCCCAAATATTGGTTGTGACATGTCCCCACCGTCCCTGTGCAAACCTACACCCTTGCATTGGAGTTGAACCTGTATTGTAAAGCCAGGTGAGAATAAAAGAAGTGTGCCACTGTCTTTCAAAACTTTATAAACCTTTATTTGGATCATTTCAGCCCAGGAATTGTCAATCTCTATTGAAATAAAAGGTTAAAGCTAGCTATAAACTTGAAAGCTACACGGTGGAACAGAGCATTTTGAGCTTTGGAGATCTACTAATAACAGACTAATAATAAAGGATTACTCAAACATGCATGAATGAAACAAAACACAACGCCAGGTATGTTTTTGACTTTGTGTAATATCAGAACTTTAAGGCTTTCATAAAATCGGAAATGTAAATTGAATGTATTATGTCTCCATTTCTATAATTGTTTTCTGTTTCTCACCATGACGCTGTTGAAGAGCTCCTTGTCGTTCAGGCTCTTGTCTTTACAACATCCCGCCTGACTGAGGTAGTGAAAAGACTCGGCTCCTTCTTCCATAAAGTACTGGCCTGAAAAAGCATTAATAATCATAGAGATGTAATAGATGCAATTATGCGATGAAAACACCATAAGGTTCTATTCATTCATTGTTGATAATGTATTGGTTGGCTCACTTCGATGCTCCTTTGTAGCTCCTGCCAATAGTGCGTAGAAGATATGGTAGTTTCTCTCCCCCGGGTTTTGTCGTACAACGCGATTCTACAGCAAAATCAATACAACAAAAGACTCAACGTTTGATTCAGATGTACAGTAAAGACATATAGTATTTAATAACACTGGTCTGGAGAAGTGCAGCACATGTCCTCAGGCAGGTTACCTTTTCCAGTAGATCTATGAAGCAGAGTCAAGGACATAACTTATAGATAAATTGTCGTATTTATTGTTTGTCCCATGAAGTAAATGTTACCCCAGGCTCAGACTGCACAAGGAGCAGCTCTGGTGCAGAGACCACAAGAATTCCAAATAATTAAACAAACTGAGAGGAGCTCAGTCTGGACTTGGAGCAAAACAGAGTTGCCTGCGGAGGTGCCATGGCATTCTGGATTATCGTGTCACAGCACAACTAAACCGCACCAACACAGGAGTCACAGCCAGTCCTGCACCGGGTACAGGCAAATAATTGTTGAAACAAACGGGTTTTAACGTTCTGGAATTTATGGGCGGGTAGTGATTACAGACGGGCAGGTCAGGACTAAATCAGGACTAAACCAGAACTACACCAGGACTAATCTTGGACTTAAGAGAGAGAGACAGAACCCTGAGCCAGTGGAGCAGGATGTCCGCAAAGCACAATCGGGCGACGGCTGCAATTACCTCCGTGTGGCACAAAGCTCTGCACTGGTCCTTTCACCTGCAGTCACTCGACTGACTACGCGGGCACACCTCTGGACCTGTCCTGGTTCAGTTCTGACTTAGTCCTGGTTTAGTCCAGATTTAGTTCTGGTTTAGTCCTGGTTCAGTCCGTGGCGTGTGCAGCACAAAAGTCTGGCATCTCGATCAGTGTTTCTTCTGCTAATATCTGTGAAGTGATGACAGTGAAGTCGTATTTGTACTAAAGAAAGCATAACCGTTTCATTTCATTTCGTGATCGTAATTCTTGAAGTCGTAACTTTTCAATTTGTATTCTGATGGATGCTTCAGTTAGCATGCTTGTAAATTGTGTGTGATTTATCACGGGCAGGGACGGGTAACAGGTGGAGTGTTAAAGGGTCCGGCTGGGTGTGGGTTTAACTTTGATATAATCACGGGTTAACGGGCGGGTGCGGAGCTGTACTGTGCAGATGCAGGTGGGTGCGGGTCTCCAAAAATGGACCCGTGCAGGACTCTGGTCACAGCTGCACCAGTCCAGTCTGAGTGTCTGAGTGAGTGTGAAACATCCATTTGAGTGAAGGATACAGTCGATGACACAGCCTCCCTGGATGTTGCCGCACTCAGAGAAGTGCAGCTGGATGAACTTCCCAAAGCGACTGGAGTTGTTGTTGTAAACAGTCTTTGCGTTTCCAAAGGCTTCCATTATGGGGCTGTACAGACACACAGAGAGAGGATTTTAGTATTTATCAGTGCTATTTATTCCCCCGTGATGCACTGTTGTTATTGTTGTTGTTACTGAAATGTAGTGTAGAAAGTTCTGTCGGTGCAAATGTGTTAGGACATTGCTGAATTGTGTGATACTGATGAATACCTGCTCTGTACAATGGCCTGCTCCACCCGTGTGGTCTTCTCTGAGGCAGGAGTCCCAGCTGAGTTCTGACTCATCACAGACAGGAACTGGAGCAACAGTTTGGTGCTCTCTGTTTTTCCTGCTCCTGACTCTCCACTGAGAACACACAAAGACAGAGAGAGGGAGAGAAAAAGAGAGAAAGAGGGAGGAAATAGACACAGTGAGAGAGAAAGAGTATGAGAGAGAGTGTGAGGGAGAGGGAAGGAGTGAGAGAGAGGATGGGTGTGAGAGAGTTGGAGTGCGGGAGAGAGTGAGAGAAAAGAGTGAGAGTTAGAGAGAAATAATGAGGAAATAAGAGAAAATGGTACAGAAAGAGCATGACAGAGAGGGAGGGAGTGAGAGAGAAAGGGTAAAAGAGAGACAGTGTGTGTGTGAGACAGAATGAGCATGAGAGTTGGAGAAAAGAGTGAGAGTTGGGGATAAAGGGTGGGGAAATAGAGTGAGAAAGAAAGAATAAAAGAGAGACAGAGTAAGTGTGAGAGAGTGAAAACAGTGAGAACGAGAGTGTGAGAAAGACATGAGTTGGAGAGGGGAAGAGGGTGATAGAAAAGAGTGAGAGTTAGAGAGAAAGAGTGAAAGAGAGAGTGTGATAGAGTGAAAATATTGAGAGAGCGTGAGAGAGAGAGTATGAGAGAGAATTAATGAGTTGGAGAGGAGGAAAGAGTGATAGAAAAGAGTGAGAGAGAGAAAGAGTGAAAGAGAGTGCAAGAGAGAGTGAAAAGAATGAGAGAGCGCGACAGAGAGAGAATTAATGAGTTGGAGAGGGAGAAAGAGTGAGAGAAAAGAGTGAGAGTTAGAGAGAAAAAGCGAAAGAGAGAAAGAGAGTGTGAAGGAGTGAAAAGAAAGAGAGTGAGAGAAAAGAGTGAGAGAGAGTGTAAACAATGAGAGAAAGCGAGTGAGAGTATGTGAGAGAGAATTCATGAGTTAGAGAGGATGAAAGAGAAATAGAAAGAAGTGATTGTTAGAGAGAAAGAGTGAAAAAAGAGGGAGAAAGAGAGAGAGAGAATGCGAGACAAGGAAAAAAAGAGAAAGAAAGCAATTGACAGTTAATCTGATGAACAAGACGTGACCTTCTGTGACCTTCACGTATCTCATTTAGTGTGTTTAATGCATGAGCTGAGGTTTGATATCTGCAGCAGTCGTCCCTCCCACTCGATCAGCCAGTGACTAAGCAGAGTGTAACAGGAACGAATAATACAAAGAAAACACGAGACAAAGCTGCTGAATAATGTGTCAAGTCATAAGTCACCAATAACTGTCTCTATGGTAAAACTTAAAGGTCCTATATTGTGCAAAATTTACTCTTTTGAGCTTTAGGCCATGTTATAATCTTGTTACTGCATCATAAATATAACCGGAGTTTTGTTTTGTTTCATTCACACATTTTGAGAGAAAAACTCTGACTCTGTGGATGACACAAAACGTTGACGAGGAAACAACATTATAACATAGATCAGAAAATATGCGCCTTTTAATAATCGTATCTATAAATGTAATAGATGTAATTCTCTGTAAAAGGAGGTAGAATAGTAATCAGTAGATTGCAGATAGTAGTAGTAGTAGAAGTAGTAGTAGTAGTCGTACTTGCAATTCAGTAATAGTAGTTCCCGTTATAAATACAGAGTAAATAAAGTCATTTTTTTATTCTGCAATTTAAAAATCACATACTAATTAAGTCTGCGTACCATTTGTTCTTTTGAATGTCAATTAAGAATAAAAAACAATAAAATGGTAAAACGGTTTGTTATTTCATTATTCCAGTTTAGTGTCAAACAGATTTCGACCTCTACTCTCAATATTTAATTTAAAGTTTATTTTAAAACATCAATCAAAAAACAGTCTCTGTTTTAATTTTGATATTTTAGTCTCTCTGGTTTATTTGCCCTGGAAGTTCTGTTTCTAGAAAGACTTTCCTGAAAAATCATTGCAGTTTTGTGGACAAACATGTCCTCTTCTTCCTATAGTGATGTGTTTAGTTTTGCATAATTGTTGAACTCCATGACGAGAAACAGAAAGCAACGATAAACTCTCCTTTGTTCATTTGACACCATAGAACTATAATAAAAATTGTTTTTATTATAGATCCGTGGTTGACACTGAATTCACACATGGAGCGCTAAACAGAAGAACTTCCAGAACATATAAAAAAGAGAAAATAAAATACCAAAACTGAAATGGGAAATGTTTTCTGATTGGTGTTATTTGAAAGAAATTTTAAATTAAATATTGTACTTTTTTTTTTTTTTTTTTTTTTTGACACTAAAATGTAATGATGAAATAAGAAACTTTTCCCCCTTTTTATTGTTTTTCATTCTTAATTGAAATTCCAAACAACAAATGGTACACCTAATTAAGATGTAACTTCTTCATGGCAATTACTATTATTATTACTATTACTATTATTATTACATTGCCTGAAATTTTATCTATCTTCCATTGTGTGCTTTTGGCCTGGCCCTCCACTCCACAGAGCTGACCAGCAACTTGTGGTGTAACTCCATCAGAAAAGTTACATAATGCACCTTTGATTTGCAATCTATCATATTTATTTCCTGGAGTCAAAGAACCGCACACTGTCCTTTTCATGACCCAAAATCAATCTGCCTGAACAGCTCCTTTCCCATAACCTTGGATTTTATGAGGCCCGCATACACAATCAAGCACAATCCATCAGGCATTTTAATTATCTTATTTGTATTGTAGCCAAGAGACCAGTGTGTGCAGCAGCTTATGAAATTCTGCCCACCTGATGAGGACACACTGGCTGTCATGGCGCTTCCAGATGCAGCGGTAGCATTCGTTAGCCACGGCGAAGATGTGAGGGGGGAGCTCTCCAAACTGGTGCCTGGAGTACTGGTGCACCCGCTCCAGGTCATACATGCCTGAGATCTGCTTGTACGGGTTCACCGCCGCCAAGATGCTGCCGATGTTGGTCTGGAAAAACACAACCAAAACACTTATCATTATAATCATCTTTCTGGAGACTCTGCCACACAAAAACCATGGGCCTCATTCATGAAGTAGAATGAACAAATTCGTACTTAAGGCTTTCTTACCAGCATTTTCGGCATTCACTAAATGTATTTTTTTGCTCAAAATGTTCAGGAGCACTTGTAAGAATATTATTACTCAAATAATGCAACCAAAATGTCTAATTCTTGCATGATTGTAAGTCATATAGTTTCACAATATTATTCTTATTAAGCAGTGCTATGTTGATGTTTATGCCTTATTTGACACCTCTCTCTTGCTGTCTTTTTTGCTACTTACTTAGAATGTATTATTACCATTTATTTGTAATTATATTATGTTGTGATATGTGAGCTACTGTGTTCAAATAAATTCCCTTGTGGATCAAAAAAGTTTGTGTAAGTCTGTTCCAGCCCCAGTGCTCTCCATGTGGATCACTGTTCCAGCCCTGTGCCTCGTCACCACACTGGACTCAGCATTCCCATCACACTCCATTGTCTCCATACAATTATCCTTCTACATATCAGAGTATTTTTCCAGTACAGTTACAATATACATACAAACAACAACAACAAAAACAGGTTCAGTAACACTTCACTACACTGGGATGGGAATACATCAGTGCAGAACTAAACAAGACATGAATTATTGCTTAGTACAATATAACTTCATGTTCAAATCTCAAATGAAGGGCATGTACCTAACATATTCCGTGGATCTATAACAAAAAAACGGCATTCCCCCTCTGTCCCAGCTTGAGACCAACTAGTGGCCGCTCCAGGTACTGCGGCTCCCCGGGAGTTTGGGCCCAAAAATAATTCTCCTGTAAAGTGCGATGCATTTTTAGGGAATTCAAACTGTCCGCATTCAGCTAATAGGACATCGACAACTTTCACAAAGGTCAGATTTTGTAGGGATTTTTTTCTATTTGTTTTAAAAATTTAAATGCTAAAAGCGCCTAAAAGTTAGTTTTGAAAGCCTTAGCCCCAGTAGCTCCACTCTAATAGCTCTCGCTTTGATTGGTCATAATGCTCCACGCTGTGCACGTTACAGACGTCACACGGGTGGGAGGAGCTCGCCCGTATTCAGGAAGAAAATGTGGAAGAGAAAATGATTTCTGGGTCCATGCACCAATGAGCACAGACCACTGAAAACAATACAAAGCAATCTTGGTGTCACCTTCAGATTTTATTATAGTTTTATGGCACATCCTTAGTTGAAGAGATACTATACAACAGAATAGGGAGAAAAAAAATGATTGTCTGAACATAAAGTTGTATGCAGCAGTAATTCACGTATTGTTTCTTATTGTACTGATGCATTTCCTCATTCATCCAATAGTGTTTGTAGTAACTCACAGGTTTCAAAGGCATTCGCCCAAATGACTTCCTACCTTTGCTCGATATTATTATTTAGTATGACAGCAGCTACTCTTTATATAGTCAATAAAACACAACATATTACACTCAAACAATATATATCACCATTTCAAACATTGTAGATTGTGAAAGGGGAAGATAGAAACCCTGCGGTCATCGTCTGTGTGAATCTGATCTGATATACAGTGTACTTAAAGCGAATCAATGAACCTATAAAATATGCCTGGCTTAGTTCCAAATAGCATTTAATGTGTCAGCTAATGGAAGTCTGAGGAAAGCTGGACAAAAACAATAATGCTCCACTGTGTTAAGTCAGCACTAAATGTTACACAGTCTCCTTATAAATAAAAAAAATAAAAAAATACTGCCTCTAGTGGTCATTTGAAATATTGGTCACCATCAATATTAAATAATCCATGTATACACTTTTACTAAATAAAAACATGAAAATACTTCTTATATTAATCAGTAAATCCATTTCTGTCCAGTGCAGTCCAGTCTATGCTTTAGTTGTAGGGAGTATTATACCTCTGATGATGTAGGCCAGTACATGAATGCGTGTTGTGTCCTTGGGCAAGTCACTTCACCCATGTTGCCTATTTATGATTTTGTCTAAAGGTCGCCACACAATACATGATTTTTTTTGTCTTAAATGATTTTTAAATTAAAAAGCGCACACCACAGACACGAGGAGAATCTTATGAAACTGAAAATCTCTGATCGCACAGACTGCAGCGGGATATATCTGCGTCAGTTGTTTCCTGTCTTCAGTAAAACGACTCGCTTTGAGACTCTTAAGCGTTCAAAAGATCAGAACACACTGCACTTCTACTTTAGATACAAGTCAAAACTGTGTTATTATTATTTGTGAAATGTGGTGCAAAACATGATTTGTAAAGCATAAAAGATTGGCGATAAAGTCCACTGATTAAAAAAGTCACATTCACAGGACAAAAATGAACCTTTCCTGAATCAAAATAAGACTGATGGTATGTTTAAATCACACTCTATTGTCTAAAAACTGTTTTTGTTATTTTTTCTTTTTAATTATGAACGAGGTATTGGAATCAGTATCAAGTAAGGGTGTAACAATAACTGAAATATCGCAATATCGTATCGTCAAAGCTCTCACAATGATATCGTGGACCATCACAATATATTCAATTACAAGTCTCTTAAATTAAGTCTGCTTAAATTAAGAGTTATGGTGCAGCTAAATAGCTAAAAAAAAAGAGGGAACTACATAGACCATGATTCTTTGCTCCATTTCAGTGCAGACTACATAAAGAAATAACGGTGCTAAACACTTTTAAGTCTTATTCTTTGGATTAAGACTTGTCAAGGCATTTTAAAAGGAAAAAGTTTTGTTCACCTCCACAATAAACACAGTACTGTGAGGTTTATACTGTAACAATATCGTATCATGAGACTTGCATATCGTTACACCTCTAGTATCAAGTCTATTCCTTAGTGTCAGCACATGAATACACTGCTCCTGGTTCAAATGAGTCAAACTTCAAATGTCACCTGCAATTGCCATCTTTTACAAAATATCATAGAGCAGTCAGGGGCAGAGCGTGTTTTTAGAAATCGTTAAATGTTAGGTCAGCACCCTTCCACGGAGTCATATTCCCCTGTATTTGCACAAACTCCACAGTCGCCCACATGCATGACACAGAAAAATGACCTGCACTGTGAGTGAATTCTTATGATCAGCTTATGGGGAATCCTTGTATGGATAATATGTCATCATCTAGATTAGATCACATAAAGAGTCTCACTGCTGGACCATAATCCTCCGGGTTTGCTACTGTACAGGCTGCAGCTAGTGCGCCTGACAGCTCTATGTAAAAAAATAAAGAAAAAGAAAAGTACAGTCACAGAACCACATTCAGGCAGTTTGTGGTCAGTAGTGGAAATAAAGTATATGTAGTGATTGAGTTGAGTATGTAAAAATCACAAAATCGCACATTGTAATATAGTGATTAGTGAGTCTTTTAAAAATAATAATACTGGAATTATAACTGAATTGTATTTGGGTGTTAATTACAAATGAAATGTCATCTAAAGGTGCATTTTCATAGGCAAAGTGACAAATGGTTAATGAAGATTTCAATCAAATTTCTGAAAGGTCCTATATTGAGCTTTAAGTCATTTTAGAATGTTGTTACCTCACCAAAAACAGATCTGGAGTTGGGTTTTGATTCATTCACATGTTTGAGTAATCCTTATTAATAGCCTGTCTACATCTCCAAAGCTCAAAATGCCCTGTCATGGAAGAGATTGGCAATTCCAGGGCTCAAATTATCCAAAAAATTCTAGTGAAGATGTATGAATTTTTAGTCTCTTCAGTTTGAGAGAAGAAGCTAAATATGATGGGTTTGTGTGTTAAACATGTGTGAATGAAACAAAATGCAACTACTTTTATGTTTTTTATTGTAACATAGATGAGAAAAATGTGTAATGTGGGCCCTTTAAGAAACATAAAACTGTAACTTAAATTCCTGCACTTCTAGCTATCTATCTTATTATAAGGTGTGACATTGGAAACCAGGTTTGCCCACCAGCTGAAGAGTAACCAGTTCAAACCAAGACCACACAATGAGGCTGGTCTCCCAGTAAATATACTATGTGACTGGAAACAACAGAAAGGGCATCTGGCATGATAAACAGGGATACACCGACATCAGGTGCTAGTCCTTATCATAGTACTCACCAATGGGCTGCCGATACCAAGAGCCATTACCACTGTAACTGCTGTGTCTTATATTATACTCACAACTCGCCTCTGAGCACATTAAGCTCAGCTTTAATCACCAGTGACTGTCAAGTGAACTATAAAAATATTAAGGACTCTTAAAGGTTGTTATAGTTCACAAAGGATATCAGTGCAGGGCTTGTGTTTACGACTTGCTAAAGTCACTAAAGGGCTCTGGCGATGTGTTCAGAGCTTTTCCAAGATCTGGTTTTTGGTTTAGGTTTTTACCTCTATCAACTTTTAAAAACTCTATCCAGAGTATTTTACAGGATCATTGCACATGCTTTTAACACTTTTATATCTTTAATCTGCAATTGTTTCACTGTCTCATGTTTCTATTCACTGTTTCATGTTATGACATGACATGTGAGTGTTTTCTGTTTGTGCTGTTTTTTACTGCATCTTGGACAGGTCTTCGTTGCAAATGAGAAGGTGTTCTCAACTGACCTGGTAAAATATTGAATAAATAAATAACATAAAAAAGACATATAGCATGGTTGTAGCATGTCTATATTGGTCAAAGTGGGGCCATGGTTAAAGTAATGGAGGTAAAGTGGTAAATATTAAAGCCAGGTGATTATTTACGTAAAATATACTGGAATTAAATCTAACTATAGTAATTTCTGTAGATAAGGAGTTTTCAACCTGTAGCTCAGGAGCTACCAGTAGCTCTCCACCCCCTTCCAAGTAACTCGCCAAGGGATTTCTGAATTACACGTATTGTACTAAAACTGGATTGATTAAAATGCTATTACCATTGTACATGTATCATTTTGATGACTAACATTGTACACTAAATGTACGTATAAACATCTAACTGTGCTCCATCTAAGGCTGTGGCTCTTAAATTTACTCAAGTTCTTGTGACTGTTAAAATGAGGAGCTCTTTAGCATTTTCATTTTGTTAAAGTAGCTCATTGGAGGAAATAGGTTAGAGACTCCTGCTGTAGATATTATAACAGACTCTCAAATATGTACTAGTGAAAATTAAGTACACTTATGCATACTTGTTTTGGAAAAAGTGGTATGGGTGCATCCAAAATAAAAATAAAAAGTCTAGATTATACAGCTACTCATACAAGTTTTAACCTCCTATACAGAGAAAGCAACAAACCAGATTGAGCAGTGGGATTGTTAATAAAATATTATTTATAAATAAAGGAGCTAGCCGGGCATTTGACAGAGAGCTGAGGTAGCGGCTGCACTCACGTAAATGTTGTCCTTCTGGTAGCGCTGGTACAGGTTGTGCATGATGGCAGCCTCGTGGAGCTCAGCCAGGGCCGACATGTCCTCCACTCCATCAATACTAGACTGGTGCATGGCGTAGACCTTCTCCCTGGTGACCTCCGCTGTCTGAAGATACAGCACCTGCGCACACAAAAGCACGACATGTTTAATCAATAACTAATTGCAAAGTTCAGTTGAATATTTGCAGCATCTTGATACACTTTAATTAGGAATGTCTTTATGTTGAATTTACTAATTAATTAAAGAACCTGTACCCAGTATTTTCCCAATGTATTTGAGCAAAATGGGTCATGCCCCAGTGCAGATATACTGAATAAACAGCTCTTGAGGTCAAAATAAATCCGCTGTGTGTTTTATCTGCAGCTAATTAGAAAGGATTTATTGTCTCGTAATCAGGAACGCTGGAAAATTCTGCTGTGGTCTCTGAGAGTAGAGAAAAGTGCTTATAAACTCTTCATGGTGAATAATTAGGATGATTGGAATGCAAAAGTTAAGGGAGAAATAACCTTCGACTACTGCAAACTGTTTAATATTAACTATTTTCTTTTTAAGACAGTAAAAAATAAGTAGGTAAGTATTTTTATAGCATTTTCTAAGATATTTTTTGTTTTAATCATGTGGGCTCATCTGTACTCATTTTTTTTTTAACCAAAGGACTTTTTTTTCTTTTTCCACAAGATTTTCTTTCTAAAAAAAAAGTTTGACCAACCCGTGCAATTGTAAATGAAATCTATTTGGACATATTCCCCTGTACCTACACTTGACATAACCACACTTGGCAAAAATAGAGGAGAATTGGGTCATGCACAAAGAGAGTCAGAGTAACAGATCTAATGTGACACCTCACCCACAGGTAGGTCCTCAGGGTGCACCGGCCATTCTAACACCACACCTCACATCAGCAAACACAAGCTAATAGACTATGTTACTATTTTTTGTCATTTTTTACCACAAGCTAAAATTATGGCTCATAACATAACATTGTGTTACCAGGAATCTTGATAAAGTATTCAAAAAGCCTACATGTAAATAAAAATATAAAAATGTTTGCTTACTCCAACGGAATACCTGAAAGTAGGCTAAAATTTTGGCAATCATGTGAAAACCAGGCCATTAAAGTTGCAATTTTTCTCCCCAAACAAAGTTATGCTGCACAACAGATAGGCTGCTAAGCGAGCATTTTTGTCCATGTGATTATGAGCATGAAAATCAATAAAAAATTGAATACGATTAATAAATTTTTCTCAATCAGGTAAAGGTTATGATTATAATTAGGGTTAGATTTAGGAAGTGTTGAAAATTCTAAGATATTTTAGTTTATTTAGTCAGGCATTCAGAGGCAACTCAGGGGTCCTTGGGAACACCACGGTAACGCTGCTATTGGTAAATAATAAAAGATGAAGGTATGCACACACATCACTGGTGCAGGGCTACTACAGTGAACATGGACAGTGAGACAAACCTGCACACTTACTCTTAAACTGCTTCTAATGAATGACAATGATGAGTGGATCTTTGTCAGGACGACCTTTCACCAACTTAACACTCTAGCTCCTCATGGACTTGATGTGGACTTTAACCTTAGATGTTTTTTTTGTGATATGGTCAAACTATTTTTGTATTTAATAGAATGTTTTTTTATGTTGTTGTAGAGTGAGCTGATCTCACTGGGTGACCTCACTCTGGGACCTCTCATTCGTTGGAAGGGGATGTGAGCCCCTGGACTGCCAACCATTTTCTGTACTGTGGTCAAAAGCAAGAAAAACATCTGATGAAAGCTTTTTTGCCGAAACGTAATTTAAAAATAAAAAAGCTTTTGGACAGCGGCCATCTGAGTGTGCGATGCATTTTTTCACTTTTATAACACTGTTGTTGGTACCATGGTGACACTGTTGCTTCAGGCCTTAATGCTGTGGCTTCACTTTTGTCCTTTATCTAAGTCTGCGTCTGTGATAGAGGTCACCAGATGAAAGGACAGACTACCGGAAAGACAGAAGATAAAAAAAAGGACATTAAAGCTTCACCTCATTTACTCTGTGACCGGAGTATTGTTGGATGAAATGTCCCAGTACATAGTCTACAGTCCTAGGACACTAGGGTGACTAAACATCCGTTTTTCCCCGGTCATGTCCGTTTTTCACGTCCTGTCCTGGCCGTCTGGTTTTTTTTTTTTTTTTTTATGTCCGAGTTTTCATTATCTTTCACTGGCCTATTAAATTGACTGGCTCTTGTAGCAGACACAGACAGTCAGTCAGCTTACCACATGCCAAAGCACAATTGCGCATTTAACGATGACTTGTACAAGAAATTCCCGCTTTTCGTCCTGGTTGGGACAAGTGGGAGGCCATGTGCACAAGCAGGCACATATGTTTCGATGTCCAGTGGCGGTTCCAGGGACCTCAATGCTCACCAGGACAACGAAAAACATTAAAAAGCTTTGCCAGGTGAGAGTAGCTTAATGTCGAAGACGAGGCCCCACATTCAAGTTTAAAACATGATCACATTTTAGACTCTGAAAAGAAAAAAACTTAGAGATATTATTAATATATTTATTTTTTATGTTGATTAGCAATTATTAACAATTATTTTTGCTACTGCAACTTCCCTAGCCAAAATGTGGAATACTTCCTTGTTCCTTGTTAGCAGTGCTGGCTAAAAGTGCATTTGTTCTGAAACATTAGTAGCAGATGTTGTGTCTGTCTGCTGAGAGTGGCAGAAGGAAGAGCTGGAGGCGTTTCAACATCTTGCTCTTAAATAAATCTACTTCTCTCCACTTAAGAGCTCTTCATTGCTAGCTCTGTGCAGACAGATCTCGCGGCTATAACATCCATCCAACTGTGTGCAACTCAAAAGCTAAATGTGACCTACAAAACACAAACCTGAGTACTAGCAGCTTGAAAATATAGCAAGAGAAAAAATGGCTGACGGTCATATGTTCTTGTCCATATCCATCTTCTCTAATGCTGCATCAAAAATACGCTAAACACCTCTAACTGGACACCTCTTCATTTGAGGGCAGATGCTTAAAACTCGTTGATGTCTGGTGAAATTCACAGACAGTTCAGCCTAGCTATGTGCTCACCATAATATTTACATGTAAACCTCTGACTAAGCATAAAACTAAAGAACAATACTTTATTAAAACTGTATCAATCTGAAATGGACAATTCAGTTTGCAGGTCTCTGGTCAAGTCAATAAACCCTAAATAAAATCATGTAAAGACAACATGCAGCACACATTCAAACCTCTTAGTGCAACAGGGAACACTTCCAATACAGTCCTTTAGCAAAACAAATTAAATCTGCAGTTCTTGAATTTGAGCTTGCTTTGAGAATCTGAAATTATTCTCTCCAGATTTGTGAGTGAATCTTTCAGCAGTTGGTTCTCAGTAAAAATATTCTCCTTTGAGGTTACATGGAAATAATAATTCCTAATTGAGGTTTACAGGGAAAACACATTAAATCGTCATTATTTGGAGGTCAGGAAGGGTTCTGATTGGACAGGGACATGAACGTATTTACTTCTACCGGAAGAAAAAACACACTTCAGCTGCTACCGGCTTTTTTGTCATTTCGGTTTGTTGTCACGTTGTGGACACAAACATGATACAAACTTTTTTCACAGTTGTTTTGATGATAATTAAGCAACAGCTGGAGAATTTTATCATCACGCTTCACGTCTGTCAGCTGAGGAGGAAGAAAGAGTGTTGGAGAAGGAGGAAGAAGACAAGACGGCCGGATCGTCCGCATCGTGACAGAAGCACGACCCAACGAGCATGCACTGAACGACCGAATTATTTTTAAGAAGAATAAAAGTTTACATGATCGAAGAATAAATTTATTTGGCTTTAAAATCAGAATAAGCCACCCACTTACTTCGGAATTAAGTTTAATTCCAAATAATCGTTTTCATTAGGAAGTAAGTGTTGACATGGTCTTTTTAAAGCAGAATTAATTTCTATTCGGAATTAAAGCTCTCATGTAAACGTGGTAACTGTCAATGATTATATGGTCCTTAGACAGCAGCAGTCTCAGATGTTTGGGTGAGTGGCAGTTTGACACGTCGCATTACTTTCCATCGTAACAAGTGTGACCTCCATGCATCTGTTTTGCATATGTTTATGAGCCCACTCTGGTTTATTGACACGCTTCATTAACTGGTGACACGCATTCGACACTGCTTGTTAGTCATAGATGAAGCTGAAGAGGCTGTCCAGGCCACACACTTAGGGGAACATCACTAGACAGTAACAGATAGAGATATATTTGTGACCAGTGGTGGAATGTAATGAAGTACAAGTAGTGAAGTACAGTGCTTAAAAGTTCTATGTTACTCAAAACTCTTGTGAGCTTTAAACCATGTTACAATGTTGTTACCTCGTCAAAATCATACCTGGAGTTGGGTTTTGTTCCATTCTAAATGTTTGAGTGATCCTTTATTATTAGTCTGTCTACATTTCCAAAGCTTAAAATCCTCTGTTCCACCTTGTGATGTCATGAAGCAGTAGTTTTCAACAGCTACCTTTCACCTTTCTTCACAAAAATTACTTCCTTCACGCTATTTTAAACCAATTCTTTCTCTGCTTTAAGGTGCATTGTCTAACTTTTCTGGTGAAGTGTCGGTCCAATTCTTGTCTCGTTGGAGATATTATTGTTTTGTCTGGAAAGTTTCACAGTATGACCAAACCAGAGTAAGTTACAGGTCAGATCAGTGAAGAGGCAACCCCGCTCACAGTTAGAATGCCAGGTATCCTTTAGCTAAAAAAACAACAATGGTATAATTCAATAAATGTAAGATAGAGCTGTTTAATGTCGTACTGTGGAACACTGCAGGCGGAGCAATAACACAGAAACAAACAGATGATCCCCAATCAAAAAATTACATAGTGCACCTCCAAATCTGAACCTCACTGTCTTGAAATGAGCGGTTTGAGGCTACGTTTTTATGATGACAGTCTGAACAGAAGATGCAAAAAGTGGCATTGCATCTTCACTTTGTATTCCACATTTAGACGAGCATTTTCAGGAAGAAATCCAGGCGCAAACGGTGATGCAAAAGTGTGTGGAATTCAATTAGGTTTGCATGCCAAGGTTTCCGTGTAAACTGTATGTATGTGACG